TCGTCGGGGAGTGCGGGGGTGGATGGGGCGGTTGTGGGGGGACCGGGAGGGACGGTGGCGTCGCGTCGTTTGTGGAAGAGGTTTCGCAGCCGGCGGCGCATTTCATCGACGCTGTAGGATTTAGACAGGAGGCGTCTTGAGCCGATGCAGGTCATCTTCGGTAGGGCGGTGGGCTGTCATGGTGCTGGCGGGCAGTGCAGAGAGGGACCTGAAGATGACAGGCCAAGCCAAGCTCGCGTTGATGCGCGGCGCGGCGCGGAAGTCACGGTTGCGCTTGTAGGGACACCGTGTACGCGGAATACGCGAGCTCGCAGATAAAAGCTCCATTGCATAGTATGGTATATGTACATGGAGGATAGTAAGGACTAAGTACGAGCGCCATCTCGAGAGCCGAGATATCTCTTCATGCTCTCCATGCTCTCCCGATCCCCCAACTCAGACGATACGCCGACCCGCCTCCGACCTCCCGAAACACTCAAGACCGTCCTCTTTCCCAAATCCGCCTTCGCCCTTGTCTCCAACGTGCTAGCGACAACGTCCCACCACTTCTGCGTCTGGTACTGCCCTGGACCAGAATCGCCCCGCGCTTCAGGCGCACGCGCACCTGATATCTGTATAGTGGGGCTGGTAGGGCCAGTGCACGCCGTGTCTGACAGAGCATACGGATATGCATGGCCACGGAGCGGTAGTCCATCCCTCGTAGCCTGGGACGGTTGACCCCAGTGAACGCGCGGCCCAAAGCGCAAAAAAACTCCCGTTCAGTGTGGACCGTCTCAGCTACGGCCGCGTCGAGCGTGAGGTTTCAATGCGCGAAGCCGATTGAGGAATGTGGTGGGGGAGGACAGAGAGCAGTGTCGCGCGCGTCGTTTTGTTCGTAGGGAAGGAAACCTTGAAGAACGACAAGTCGGTTGTAGATAACGCGGAGGCGGAGGCCGCTTCGGCCTGCGGAAACGCTGAACATGGCCATGTCCATCCTATCGTAAAGCGAATGGTCCACCTCTCGTGCGTATAGCTCGAGCAGGGCTTGTACATACGGGAGCGGGGCATGATCGTCCGACGCGAGGGGCAGGCTGAACTCCAGGTGTGGAAATCCGACGATAGGTTGTCATGCGTCTGCATTCGCCCGCTCTGCCTCGACGCAAAGTCTAGCGCGCGTGAGACGGTCGAGAGGGAGTTTGGTGTCCCAGCGAGCGCATGCTCCGACTGTTGCTCTGCGACGTATACGTCGAGGATCTCCAGGAGCGGGCAGGTGCGAAGGAGGCCGCACAAAGCCGCGAGGTGGATCCGGCTTACCTCAACGTGTAGATGCAGTTCGCGTGGGCCTTTAGCCAGATACCCGGGCAGAGAAGGCACATCGACGATGGGTGCGACGGGCTCGACAGGCAGCCTGGCGAGATGCAGAGCGGGAAGGGCGACCGTGTCTCTGTTCGAGTCAAGATCATCCCGTCTGGCTCGACAGCTGTACCAGTCCTGCCAGTATTCGCCAACGCCCAGTACTCCATCGGCCATTGTTGGGGGGAAGGGGGGGGAGGGTCCTCAAGTCGGGACGGTCGTTGTACCGCGTCATGTCGACCGTAAGCGGGTGATTGCGCACGCAGAGTACGAGCTCGTCCGCCACGCCCGTCCTCCAGCCTCAGACACACAACGCAACTCCAGAGCGGTGCGGCAGTTGCGCCGAGTCCGATAGAGCGCCAGCATCGGTGTACGTGCGTGGGGATGATCCATCCCACGAGGGTATGCGTGTTGGCGAGGGCATGGGTGTCCGCATGCGCGCGGGGGGTAGACGACCACGGCAGCTTGGAGTAGTTCATAGGCTATGTCGTCAGGGATGCGGCAGGTGTACGCGACTTGAATCGGGTGGTCGGAGGACTCTTCGTCTCTCGAGTCCGAGTTGCCGTGGCGGCGGCGGGCTCGAAGACATTCCGCAGGCGGCGGCATCTCAGCCAGCGAGACCGGCGGACACGCCTGAGGCGAGATAGCGCAAAGCCGTACAAGATGAAGCTGGTGGCATGATATCGGCAGGCAGTGCTGTGCGCCCAGATCGAGTACGAAGGTGGCCGGCTGAGCTCACGGCGGCGAGTGCGAGTGCGGGTTGCGCGGAAGTACGGGCCGCAAAACCCAAAATTCAATTTGCCTCTTACCCCCATCTGCCATCTGTTCCGTAAACTGGTCACCCCGCGGGCATCATGGGAGTTGACCCAGTAGTGGACCGTGCTGCTAGACAGGGCATTGATCAAGATATTGAAATGAATCAATTAATATAGTATTAGACAATTTTACTTATCAGGTAGTTTAATATTGGATATAAGGGCATTTAAGCTTATGATAAGACAATTGCCCCTTCCCCCTGCCACAGTATTTCTGCGGTCAGCAACTAGTTACTAGTTACCATCAGTCATAAATTGTTGCTGTTGTGGCTATGACTGCAGGCACCCTGACTATGACTATTGAAGCTGAGAGCTTAAATACTGTAATTTTACGACCAGAAGCTTGTGATGTGTAACGGGACATTGCAAAATAAACTTCTAGCAGGTTTGGTAATGGATAATGCATGGGCAGCAAATCAAAAAGTGTTACTGGCATACCGGGTCGGCTTTTCCAGTGCACCCGCAGCCAACCTTTTCCCGCATCGTGAGGTTTGCTGTAATACAGCATGGCAACTTATGAACCTAATTTGGGTGAACCCCGAAGCATGTAACATATAATGCTTTGAGGGCCTGAACTTGAGGTCGTAAAATTAAAATACTGTAATTTTCAGACCAAAAGTTCGGTCAAGATTTGTGTTACACATTACGCGCCAGCTTGTTTGGTGGCATCACTGTTTGCCGAAACTTGGCAAGTGTTATGTCGAATGAAAGGCCTTCCCCCTCCACACGTCAGCAGCTTTGGCGGGCCTTCTAGCAGCTCGGGCCGGGCACCGAGTAACGAATCCCTGTTTGTTGACCCTGCGTTACGTGTTACCTGAACAAGCCAGGAGTTCGCCGGAAGACCCAATATTACGTGTTACGAACATCGGGTAACATGTAACATTGGGTTCTGAAAATATACACTAATGTAGAGCATTATAAAGCAATAGCAATTTCAGAGCAACATAGACATATAATACATTTAGAGCCTTTGAAAATCAATTAAAATGTCCTGAGAGGCACTAAAAATGGGAAATCTAGAAGCTCAATCATTACTAATTTTGCATGAGATATAAACTTTCCAACACACCTTGTGGGTATCAGAGAGCCATCAGAGCATCTTGGTGTAATTCTTGGCCACAATGGGCTTATCCGCAGGCTTGACCTTCTTAGCCCTTGGTTTTTTATTCTCCGCTGCAGATGCCTGTCTCCCCCTTACAGGCTGAGGGCTGTCCATATCCTCACTCTTAGGTACATAACCAAAGAGCTCAGATGAGACAAGGTCCTGAGGGCGGTGGGAACAGTACTGGCACTTGCAACCCCCCTCAGGACGGCCAAGCATAAGCCACATGAAGTGAGGCGCAAACTCTGCAGGGCTGCGGAAGGTCATTTTGCCTGATCCATGGGTTGTGCAGCCTAGTAAGATTGTAAGCCTCAACTCAAGAGGCAATGAAGTAAGTGGTGCACACCATATAGATATTTGTCCTTTCTAGCATTATTCTCTTCAGAGGCTGTGCCATCAACATGATGCCAGAGAGTATAGCCATGTGGGAGTTTGATCCGGAAGTAGACATCATTCCTAGCTGTAATGATCCTCAGTCAGTGCCGCACAGCCTCATGATACCATCAACTGAGTAAGCTCACCTCCACCAAACATGTGGTAAGCCACAATCCGCCCAATAGTCTTAACCCAATGCTTGTGAGTCTCATCCCTCTCTGCCAACTGAACATGCTGGTCAACCCTTCCCCTAGCATCCACCTTCTTGTGTTGCTGCTCTGGCGAGGGTACAAAGTTGATGTTCCCATCGCTCATGGTGTCATCCAGACTGATGATGCCATTGGTGACTGAGAACCGTCCGCTGGTGGCCTGGCCCGAGCGCTGCACAAGCTGGAGCTCAGTCGGGGGAAGGGGGAAGAGGCGAGTAGTGCCTGTAGCAATGGAGAGCCGAGAGTTCGAGGCAAGCTTCTTCTGGTCACGGATGGCTTCCTCTTCAGTCATCGTGTTCTTGAAGAGTATGCGGGCCTTGTGAGCAGCCGACTGGTGGTTGGGAGCAGTCGGGCTGATAGCGGAGTCGGGGCTAGTAGAGGCACCCGGCATGGGGTATGGCTGGTTCATGGTGCGCACAGCGAGGAGAGGGCGAGTAGAGTTGCTAGTGTCCTTAGGCATCTGAAAGAGTCGACGGCAATGAGCTCGAGGTCGGGGGGAATGACGGCAAGAGGGGGACTAACCAGAAAGTGAATTGTGGTTGGGGGGCAAAAGAGATCAAGACAGGGATCTGCAAGAGACGGGATTTTATACCTCGGCCGGAGCTCGCGTGGATCTCTTTCCCACGTCTCGTAAGCTTTCACGATGACTCACGACAGCCACAATCGAGCTCGCCATGTCTTTGCGGGCGGACGACGAACACAGAGACGCGGAAGCCTTGCAAAGGGCGCGAGCGCGCTTCGGCAGGCGCTCCGATCAAACGCGGAGAACACGCGGCGGCGGACGTGAAGAGAACGTTCATGTCGGACGAACGTTCAGCGGCGCACCCCGTCCTCGCTCGTAAACAAACCAATAATTCCTTGCTCTGAACCCCTCCGTGTAGAGCCGTATCGTGCCAGGATAGAGCGCAGCATCAAGGATGGTGAAGATGATGGTAAGACGAAAACAGGGATCTCGGGCGACTTGGCTGGTCCTCCCGTCGCGTCCCGCACTCTCGGTCGACCCTTGGACAATACTCTCTTGAGGACTTACAGAAATAGTCGCCTCCGCCACGGATACGCTCAAGATACGAACGGGCCACAGGAAAGCGGGTGATGGGAGGCATGGGGCGAGCGAGGTTGGCGAGCGAGAGGTGGCCGCGGCGGTGCGTGCTTCGCAATATCTTGCCACAATCACGAGAGCTCAACGAAAGCAGCGATAGCGTGTACATGTTATAGCCACGAGGGAGAGCGAGGGGCGCGCGCTCGACTCCGACTGTGCGCCTCGGCAGCGATGTTGAAGGGGAGCGGCAAGACAGGGCAAGACGCGCGCGACGAACGCGGTCGCAGCAGCCGCTCCGCCCCAAATAGTCTGGAATTTCCCTGCGCTCGCACCTTCGTACGATGTCGCGCGCACACGAGTGGCACGCGGCTCGCCTTCGGGACGTATCGGTCTCACCACTCTTCCCAAGCCCGTACCGACGACCACAAAGACGCAACCGCCGCCCTATGAAGTGCGCGGCTCCCTCCCTCAAGTCGGAATCCAAGGCAACGTCATGCTGGAGGACACGCAGACCATGGTGCCGCGAAAGGCGTAAGACGGTCGGCATAGCAGAACGGGGTGCTCAAGCTCGACGTCGAAAATCTTCAGTTTCGTCGATGGCGCTTCAATATAATCAAATATGTTACATGCTGTTTATCCACACTCTGATGCTCTCATGTCAAAGGAGATATGCATGATGTAGTAAGGAGGTGATAGTCCGAATACCAACCCATACACTAGAATATTCCCTGCACGCGCTACGAAGTTCTGTGACCTGGGTAGTACAGTACATTTTCAAACTGCGTCGGCGAGTCATCCTCTGTATCAAAGGCAAAATACTCCGCCCATCCTATTCCCGTGTACATGACCTGCATTTGACGATGTATTCGCGCTTGTCTGTGATTTCCGACACGAGGCCGAGCTTGAGGCAACTGCGTTTGTCCCCTTCATCCCCCCATACCTCGTGTTCGCACCATACACCGTCGAGACAAAGGCATCTCACGGGGTGGCCACCGCGGAAGCGGCTCAGTAATACATCTAGAAAAGTTGTCCAGTACGATGGTACAGTGCTTTCTTGATGAACCGCGGGTTCCCTCGAGCCGAGCATTTGCCAAATGTGCGAACTGCGGTAAGCGCCCCCGACGCAGAGTGTATCTAATGCCGGGAAGGGCAACGCAGACGGTTCGCCGCTTGGGCGACCTAGTAATGTTTTGAGAGCAGTAGGGGTGGGTGCGCCGTGGATTGTCAGAGTCTTGATCGACACGAATGCCTTTCGGAGCACGGCCAACACCGCATCGACGCTCTCATCCTGTCCAGAGCCTTTGGGACATTGTAAAGCACATGCAGTGAAGCGCGACAGGTCGATATGACGCGAGAGTGCAGATAGCACCGATGCGTAGGTCATAGTAACGTTATCACGTCTGAGCATGGCCCGTGTCGACCAACCAAGTTCGAGTACTGCATGCTCTGGTCCGGTGCCTTCGAGCTGAAGCCGAGACTCCGTGATAGAGATCGTCCCGGTGAGCAGCAATGATTGCTGTTTCTGTGCAACTGCTCTGGCAAAGATCCGCCCATCGCGCAGCTTTGCACTGATATGTATTGATGTGTGAGTGATATTGGGCGCGGACATGTAGTCAAACAGATCAGATGCCTGCTGCTCGGAGGCGCAGACGGCGCGGAGGGTCCTCAACCGTTCAAGATGAACGACTGCGTGCGTCGAGAGGGGTAAGGTGTCGTATGAACCGAGACCCAATTTAAGATCCTCCAAAGAGAGCATCTCGCGCAAAGCGCCGAGGATTGGTGATATGTCGTCGAGGCGCACGCGCCCCAAGTCTAATGCGAGGCGACGCAGGGTGTTCGCGGTGGAGGAAGAATGCGGCAGTATATCACGAAATTCTGCCGTCAAAAGCGCCGGGCAGTCAAGCTGTATGACCGGTAGTGGATCATCAATTTGAGTTATCTTGCAGTCGAGACGGAGATGCTTTAGAAGGGGAAGTGTGCTGATCAGGGCGGCACGCGCCGTAGGGTGGTCGTCGCTGAACGTCGACCATCGCTCGACGTCGCATCGAAAGGTATGTGCTCTCTGCAAATATTGTAGACCCCAGCTGATGGGTAGATGTGGAGCAGGAAAGCCGGGTTTTAGATCGGGGGGAAAGTGACCGACCGCGATGTCCAGCAGACAACCCCGCGCGCGTGTGACCAATTCTTCCGCGATGGGCACGCTTGGAAACGTACAAACGACGTCAGCCCACAGAGTTGCTACACTGAGGCCGACTTCGCGCCAGCGTCCACAGACGTGCGTGGCAAGGATCCATCCCAGAGAGAACATGTCCATCTCATCTTTGAAATCCGGCGGGTCGACGGCCGCGAGATGTTCGAAGAGCTCTCGCAGAATATCGTGCGGAAGGTTTTGCGCAGTGGAAGACATAACGACTGGTGTATATGTAGGCAATTGGCGCTGGTGCACTGATCGATGGTGGTGGTCGAAAAGCAAGTTTTTGGCGCGGCTTCCCACCAGCGTTCTCTTATTTGATGAACCTTGGGGTTAGGGTCAGCAGACGATAACGCCTCCAGACTCCGCTATTATCGGTTCTTGTGTCAAGCGCTGTCGATCATTTTGCTCCTCATCACACCCTCAGCTGCGGTGTGAACCATAGCACCAACCTGAAAAGTTTTCATGTCGAACTAGAGGGATAGTATAATGTAGAGGAGCTATGTAATCTTATCCCAGATATTCTGCATAAAACAACATTCAACACGGCATGATCGGGTTTATCTCTTACAAGAGCTATAATTGAGGATATACTCCCGCTTGTCCGTGAACTCCGACACCAAACCCCGGGTCAGGAAATCCTCACTCAAACCCTCATCCGCCCATGATTCGTGCTCACACCACTTCCCCTCGAGACGCAAGCATCTTAAAGGAGCTCCTCTTTGAGAACGGCGTAAGAGAAGATCTTGCAGGACTATCCACCACGATGGCGCAGGTCCTTCTCGACGGGTCGAAGACTGTGTTCCGGCCGCAACATGATACGGACTCCCATGACCTCCCCCAAAGCAGAGCGTTTCTAGCGATGGAAAAGGTAATGGTACTAGCTCTCCGCCGTCGCCATCGCTTGTGTCAAATAGCGTCCTCAGATTTGTCGGATCTGTGGCGTTGGAAAGTGTAAGACTCCGGACGCAACTCAGCGCATTTCGGAGCGCAATCAGCGCCGCATCAACCTTTTCGATCTCGATCTCACGATCAGGACACCATAGTCGGCAACGCGTAAAGCGAGATAGATCGGAATGGACGGGAAGAGCCAAAAGTATCGCCGTATAGCGCAAGTCGAGGCCATTGCTTCTTGTCTTAAACGCCCGGGGCGACCAGCTAAGCCCGAGTCTAGTACGATCTGGCTCATCGCTTTCCATCTCCAGAGCGCTCTCTGAGATAGATATCGAGCCACTACGTGGTGATCGCTCCTGATAACGCGCGAATGCTTTGGCGAGTGTCTGCTCCTGACACAATCTCTCGTCAAGCTCAACCGAAATCTCGAAGACGGTAGGCGCGGAGATGCATTCGAGCACGTCCGCCGCGTGCTGCTCGTTGTTACACAATGCGTGTAAGACCTTCAAGCGTTTCAGCTGCACGACTTCATAGTCAAAGACGAGTGTAGCAAAATAGCTTCTAGAGGTCAACTGCAGATCCTCTAGGTTATCCAATCTGCGCAGCGCCGCCAAAATCGGAGGGAGGGGCGCCACCGACTCGACATCCAAAGCGAGGCTACGCAGAGCATTCAAGTTGCAGGACGGATCCGGCAGAATGTTGCGAAATGAGGCCGTTAAGAGAACTGAAGATAGGAGTTGTATAAGAGGTAGGGGCATATCTCTGCGGATGTCTTCGCAGACAAGATAGAGATGTTTCAAGCAGTGGGGAAGCGCACTCGTGAGAGCCGCATACGCCGCCGGGTGATCATGTCTGAAGGTCGACCATCGACCCATATCGCAACGGAAGGTGTCGGCCCTCTCTATGTGCTGTAGACCCCAGCTTATATAGATACAGGTATCGCGGGTGTCGTATTCCGGTTCATCATCGAGATGGCCCACTGCGATGTTCAACGGACAATCGCGCGCGCGCAGGAGCAACTCGTCCGCGATTTCCATGCTTGGGAACGCACAGACAACATTCGCCCATAGAGTGGCCAAACCGAGACCGACTTCACGCCAGCGAGCGCATACATGCGTGGCGGTGATCCATCCCAAGGAGCAAGAGAGAGTTGCGGTCCTCAGAGGACCCACGGGGTCGACGACTGCAAGATGTTCGAACAACTCATGGAGGATATCATGCGGAAGGCCTTGTGCAGTTGAAGACATGGTTCAAGGCGCGTGTATAGGCAATAGGCGCCGAAGCGTCGATCGATGGTGGTGGTCGCCGGTCAAGAAGCAAGTCCTTGGTGTGTTTTCTTCCCACCACTCCCGGCTTTGGGATATCAAGGTTAGGGTTAGCGGAGGGCACCAAGCTCAAAAAGCCGACCTATCGTCCTGCAAAGCTCCAGTACGTCTTAACTATACATCCACAATACGTCCTCTAAAACCTACAAACTACAAACAAGATCCAATCCGTCCGTATTCTATCCACATAAACCAACATCTACATCCCCAACCCCATCAACTCGCTCGTCAACCTCTCAGCCAGCTCCTCAGGCTGCTGCTTCGCCCTCTCAAGAATACTAATCAGCCTCTTGATACCCACATCCAAGCTCCTAGCACCGTCCTCCACGCCCCTCGCGTCCCGCGCGAACCCGGCCTGCTCGAGCATACGCACGGCCCTGCTCCCGTCGTCGCGCGAGACTTTCGCGGCTTCGAGTACGGGCGGGAGTTGGGTGAGGTGCGAAAGAGCCGGGACGCGTAATTCAGCATCGAACGTGTCGAGACCGACGTCGGCGAGCATGGGTCGTAGCGATGTGGTCGCGAGAACGAGTAACCGATGGCCAGCGGGCGGCCGGCGCGACATCAGCACGATAAGCGCCTGCAGCACGCCGTTCGAGAATCTCGGTCCCACGGGCGTCCACTCCAACAAGCGCTCGAGGTTGTCCACCACGACGATGCTCAGCGGCGACTTGTACGAGTCCGCGAACACCTTCTGCATCGCGGATATCTTCTGCGCTTCGCCGAACCCGACCATAGAGTCGGCCGAGAGGAGCTTGATGAAGGGGAAGCCGGAGTTCTGCGCGATCGTCGCTGCCAGCGCCGTCTTGCCTGATCCGCGCGGGCCGTGTATAAGCACCGAGACGAGCGGGGTCCACTCGGAGCTGCGCGTCTGCTCGACGAAGAGCTGGCCGGAGCGCAGGATCTCGTCGATCGTGTGGTCGTAATGCACGATGCCCGCCTGGACGACCTGTGCCAACTCCTCCTCGCTCACTCCGAACGCCGGATGCACCTCGTCCAGCGCGTTCAAAAAGTCTGCTCTATTGACGCGCAAGTTCTCCACGTCCTCGCCGATACCCGCCACAGTCCCGACTTTGACGTGTCGGTTGAACGCAAAGGACGTAGCGCTCTTGACGAGACCGCCAATCTCGGCTCCAGAGAAGTTTTTAGTGAGCTTCGCCAGCTCCGAAAGGTCGACGTCGTGATCCATAACCCCATTATTCCTCATCCTGCTCGTCTGGATATTCAAGATCTGCAACCGTCCATGCTCGTCCGGCAGCGAGATCTCCATATGCACCTCCAAACGACCCGGGCGGAGCAACGCCTCGTCGATCATGTCTTTGCGGTTCGTCATGCCGATGATGAGGATGTTGTTCAGCTGGTCCACGCCGTCCATCTTCGAGAGGAGCTGGTTGACGACGGTGTCGCCGACGCCGGTGCCGGTGTTGGTCGAGCCGCGCTGTTTGAAGACGGCGTCGAGCTCGTCGAAGATGATGATGTGCAGACCGGACTCGTCACCCTTCTCCTTGTACTACGCACGACATTAGCATCGTTGTTAACAGTCTGGGGTAGGGAAACAGTAGACGTACCTCCTTCTCAGCATCCGCAAACAGCTTCCTAATATTCTCCTCACTCGCGCCCACATACTTATTCAAGATCTCCGGCCCATTCACAATCTTCGGCTCCCTTGCATTCAACATCTTCCCGATCTGCCGCGCCATGAGCGTCTTGCCCGTTCCAGGCGGGCCATGCAGCAATATGCCCTTCACATGCTGAATGCCCAGCTTGTCGACCAAACCGGGCGGGAAAACGCGCGAGGCGAACGCGCGGCGGAAGATGTTGGCGAACTCGGCGTCGAGGCCGCCGATGCCCATGTCTTCGAACTTGAAGTTGGGCGCGAGGATGGCGTTCGCGGCGGGTTTCTTCGCGCTTCCCTTGAGCTTCAAGGGCGAGTTGGCGTCTTTGAGGAACGTCACGTCCGTCTGCTCGAATACCACGCCGGCATCCTGCCGCGCGCCGGAGGGCGAGTCGGGCAGCATGAGCGTCGTGAGCGCCTTGACGCGCGCGGTGAGCGGTACGCCGCGGTAGTCCATCACGAACGGCTGGTTGTTGCCCAGTGCGGTCCCGCCGTACATCCTGACGAACGTCTTTGCGAGGTCGTCGGCTTCGAAGGGGGCCTCTTGGACCTGCATGCGCTTCGCGAAGCCGATCTCGATCGCGAGCGTTTCGAGGTATAAGGGCGCGGCGGGGTGAGGTGCGGAGGGGAGGGGGGAGATTGTGACGGTGTCGGAGGGGGAGAGTTCCATGAAGGCGCGGTGGGAGGACGAGGTCCCGATCGTGCCGGGAGGGATCTGGCCAGTCGGGTCGTGTCTGTGTAGATGCGTTAGTACGGGGTTCGCTGCATAGTATATGGAATCGTACTTGGTTGTCATGATGTACGCCTGCTTGACCAATACTTGTGTCTTGTCGGGAAAGTCATTTGGATTGACGATCAGGCAGTTGGTGAAGGCGAGCGCGTTGGAAGGACTCGAGGTGATGTTGAACGTGCCGCCGCCACTCGGAGCGCCAGAGCTAGAGAAGATGTTAGCAATGGAAGTACATTATGACTGGTAGCACTGAGATCTGAAGCACAAGTAGACATGGGCACTCCATGTGAGGCGGAGTGGGCTCTGCGTCGCACATCACAGGGAGAAGGCGTCGCGAAAGCCATCACAGCCACAAGTCGCGAAGCTAATCATAGCTGTTGACGCAGAACAAGCTACAGATGGATCCCGGCGGCCCCGGTGCCATGCCAGACCGGAGTAGGGGAAACAGATAGACATCCGTGTCGAGACCGGTAAACAGGATATACGAGCTTACCTTCGACCGGAGTAACCACGTTTCTCGTACTGGCCGGGATCGTCATACCTCGCCGGCGGCGGCGGAACACGATGCCCCGCCCTCGGTCCCGACGGCAAGCTGGCCTGACTACCGCCCGGCACACGGGAGTACGGCCCACCCTGGGGCTGCTGAGGCGGCGTCGGTTGATTGGAGCGGTTGAAGAAGGAAGACATGAGCGTAGGAAGTAGAGTTGGGAGGAATATAACTTGGCTTATGCCGCGATGGCGTTCAACTCTGATGACCTGCCCGATGCGCCTGCAGTCGACAAGGGCTCCTGTAAGCTACTGGGCACCACAGCCCTCGTACGTGGCATATACAACTCTATCTGGGATACGTGTGTTGATGATGTGGCGAACAGATAGTGCAGGCGCTGATGGGCGTGGTCGTCATCAGTTCTCTGCTTTACAAACGTCACCGCGAGACCGTCAAGCGCCCATGGCGAGTATGGTATGTAACGCGTATATTGTTACTCTGTATCGTATGTCTGACTACAGATAGGTTTTTTGACGTTTCCAAACAGATAATCGGCCAGGCGTTCGTGCACGGCGTTAACGTCCTCCTGTCCGACCTCGGCGCTCTCGCTCTGGCCGGCAACGCGTGCACATACTACTTTCTCAATATCCTCATCGACACCACCCTTGGCGTCGGCATTCTCTACGCCGTCTTGCACCTTCTCACCCACCTCTTCTCCGAAACATTACATCTCAAGGGCTTCGAGAGCGGCCAGTATGGAAGGCCGCCGCAGTGGAGGAACTGGGCGAGACAGCTCGGCGTCTATGTGGCTAGTCTTACGACGATGAAGTTGGCCGTCATCGGACTGTTTTTTCTCTTCCCGGGGATATTCAAGTTGGGAGAGTGGGCGCTTAGCTGGTTGGGCGACTCGGAGCATGGGCAGGTAGTGTTGTGCGTACTCTACTCGCTTCACTCCATTCATTCCAACTGAAGAGACTCTCACAGTACGATGGGAATCTTCCCCATCATCATGAACGTTCTCCAATTTTGGCTCATCGACTCAATCGTCAAAGCCTCGACCCTCCCCCCATCAACACCCGCGCCCCGCTCACCCCTCCACCCCGAACACGAGCCTTTATTCCAAGACCCAGACTCAGAATCCGAAGACGACGATCGTAGGAGACCGGATGATATCGAAGCGCAGAGGTCAGCCTCCTCGCTCGGCCTGCGCTCCGCCTCGCGCTCACCCGCCCTAGGGCACGCATACCCCCCGCACCCACCCCGGTTAAACACGAAGAGCCCAGTCTCGTCGGCGGGGATGACGATGATGAGACAGACAAGCACGCCGTCGCCGCCTCCGTCCGGTCAGTCGCAGGCGAGGAGGAAGAAGTCGATCCCGCCGCCGCTCATGCCGCGCTCGCCGCTCGTGCCCGCGATCAATAGTCCGGCCGTGGACTATTTTGGGTCGCGGCAGGACGAGCAGGGCGTTAAGGCGGGAGGGGTGTGGTTTGCGGATGGGGAGAGGACGGCTACTGTGGAGGGCTCGTGGAGGTAGTCCGTTCGCTGGGCAGGATTAGTTGTGGAAGTTATGTTGTGGAATATCACGATGGAGGTTTCGGTTTCTCAGTTCGGTTCACGGTTCCTTTCTTTCATGCATAGACATCATCCTTTTCCGCGTTCGTCGATCTATCGTACACGCTCGCCGCTCATTCGCTTTGGTGTAATACTCTGTCGTAATTTGCTGTATCATATCATGCCTATTTCGTCATCAACCCACTTCTCCCACGAATAGTACGCGTACTGTCGCCTCGTATAATCCAGGGTGGCAGCGGTAAAATTCGCTGTGCTGTACTTGAGATCTTCCCTCACCATCCCTAATTCGGGCGCGTCTACGCTGCCAGCGCCAGATGCCCGAGGTAGTATGCATGAAGGGTTGGTGTGACGCGTTACGCCGCATGGTGAGCGACGGTGTGAGATCAAAGCCAGTTCACTCTTTGACCATCACCATCAGCCAGCGCTCCCCGCTGCTCTTGTGCCGTCTCACTGCACTCTCACATTGTATTCAATATATGCTCGCTACTGCTCAACGTCTCCCGCACGACGTTCTGTGCGAGCTCTTCGAGCATCTCGCAGCCGTAGATCCTGCGGGTCTACAACCTGAGGCCGACCGGCGCTCCCTGGGATGGATCATCGCCACGCACGTATGTGCACGCTGGAGAGAGGTCGGCCTCAGCATGTCAGTTCTCTGGGCCGATGTGGTATGCACGTTCCCAAGCGTGGCCATTGCGGACGAGCTGCTTGTACGCGCGCGCGACTGTCTCCTGTACATCGCCGTCGGTCCTCGGGCTCGTGTTCGTTATTTTATTCCCGTCAGCTGGGGCATGAAACACCTTCGCCGAGCTCGCACATTCCGCTGCCATATTGACCGATGGTCGACTTTCACCGACAATCACAGTGAAGCGTACTCGGCGCTTACGGAATCGACGCTTCCATTCCTTCAGCATCTTCATCTCTTCTATAACGCAAAGACAGAGCGCGACGATGCCCTCCCGACCTTGCAACTCAAGTGCCCATCTCTGCTCGGAGCTCACTTTCGCAATATCCTACCACATGCATCCTTTGCAGAGTCCGCGAGCGCTCTGAGTCGCCTCTGCTTGGATATAGGACATAACGCGCCCTCTCACGACTTGTCATCGGGGTTGTCAACTCTACGTGACATGCCTTGTTTGGAGCATTTCGAATTGCACATCAGGGCATACAACGCCGGCCCGCTCTTCAGTCGCGGTATCGTGCGCGTCGAGAAGCTGAAGACGCTGCACGTATCCTGCAGCAACGTGCTGCACGCATCCGACATGCTCCAGTTCCTCTGCGTGCCACATATCGTCGATACCTCGATCGCCATCAGATCGAAACTGCGAGACGGGGACGACAGCGTCTTTACCAGGGTGCTGGTACAGCAGCCACAGGCGCTGCGTACTGGATCCATCTCTGTCTCTGCGTCTTCTTTGAAGCTCGAGAGCAGCGACGGGCCGGATCGCGCGACCTTCAGCCTCACCTGGTGGCCTCGAGCTCCGTGGGGTATGAACAGCGTCCTGACCTATCCCGAGATCCTGTCCGCACTCCCACGTCACATGGACCTATCCAGCTTCACCAGTTGTGCTCTTTGGTTCCCGGATCCGAGTCCCGACGGACGAGGTGCCGGTGCCGGTGCCGCGCTGGCTGGTCTTCGGCAGGCGTTGAGGTCTGTCGAGACTTTAACGCTACACAACGCGTAGTCTCATGTTGCTTGCTGACTGATTGTATCATGAATATTCACATTGATTGATCATACAGGCTGCGTCTCCAACGCGTGTACTTTACATACAAAAGTTTGTTTAGGAGTGAAGGCTGAGATCAATACAAGGCCTTTCCTGAGCAACTGATGACCTCAATCTTGAGCCAGCGAGTAGCGGGTCATTGAGTGGGCAAGCCTGGTCCCCAGACTATTCAAGAGGCCACTGCATATAGTCCTGCAACGCAGCATCGGTGACTGCGCATAGGACCTAACTTGTTGTGTGTACGTTTTCCGAGGCGCTCTTACAAACATCAATTGTCTTGGAGAATAATCGGCCACAGCGAAGGGCGGGCGCCTAATGCCCGCGGCATGCCCGAGGGAACTCGTGTGACGCGTTACGTCTCGCGATCGGGACAATACAGCTCGCAATGGGTCCCTTGTTCATCAACTATCACCATCAGCAAGCGCTCCCAACTTCGCTGTTTCTTCCTAGACTTCTGCGATATATCACTATACATGTTCTCTACTGCCCAAAGTCTCCCGCACGACGTCTTATCCGAGCTTTTCGAGCATGTCGCGGTCATCGACCCCGCGGGTGCTTTACTGAAGGGCGAGCGACGGTCCTTGGGATGGATCACCACCACGCACGTGTGTGCGCGCTGGCGTGAGGTCGGCCTTGGGCTGGCAGCTCTGTGGGCTGACGCAGTATGCGCGTTCCCAAGTGTGGCCATCGCGGACGAAGTGCTTCTACGCGCCCGCGACTGCCTTCTGAATGTCACGGTTGGCCCACCTGCCCTCGATCTGGATCCGCGCACCCCTTTCACTCGTGCACCCCATCTGCCCACTAGTTGGGGTATACAGCATCTACAAAGAGCTCGCACGCTCCGCTGCCATGTTGACCGGGGGTCGACTTACTCCGATCATAGTGAGGCATACACGGCACTCAGAGATACGACACTCCCTCTCCTACAACACCTGTATCTCTCTGACACCACAAAGCCCAAGCGCGGCGACCCCCCACCAATCGTGGAACTCACATGCCCATCCCTCCTGAGCGCTCACTTTTGCAACGTTCTACCACATCCATCCTTTGCCGTGTCCGCGAGTAGTCTGAGCCGCCTCTGCTTGGAGTTACCATACGGCACGGTGTCCGTCTACGATTTATCGCCGTGCCTGTGCGCTCTACGCGACATGTCTCGCTTGGAACATCTCAAGCTCGTCCTCAGCGGGGGCATCTTTCCACGCTTCAGCCTTGGCATCGTGCGCTTCGAGAACCTCAAGACGTTGCACGTATCGTGTAAGAATGCGCAGCATGCACCAGTCATACTCGACTTCATCTCAACGCCATGCATCGTCGACACCTCGATCGAGATCACCGAGCCACTGCACAACTGGGACGAGCCTATCATCTTCCCCAGAATATTCGTCCATCAGCCACAGGCGCTGCACACTGGATCGGTCTCTATCTCCGATACTTCTCTGAAGGTCGAAAGCGGCGACGGGCCAGACCATGCAATGTTTAGTCTCACCTGGAGGCCATGGGCTGCGGTTAGGTATAACACTAACCTAACCTATTCAGAAATCCTGTCCGCTATCGCGCATCAAATAGATTTGTCGGGCTTTACCAGTTGCTCTGTATGGTTCCCGGATCCGCGTACTGGCGGGAGAGGTGCCAATGTCGGTGCCGCGCTGGCTGCTCTTCGGCAAGCTTTGAGCTCTGTCAAGACTCTGACGCTACATAATGCGTAGTCTTATGTTGCTCGTTCACTGATTAGAATATGAATACTCACATTGTTTGATCATACATGCCACGTCTCCATCGCGCGTACTCTACATACAGTGTTTGTGTAGCTAAAATCAATACAAGTCCTTTCCCGAGTGTCGATAACCTCAATCTTGAGCCAGCGTGTAGCGGCTCGGGCCCGAACCCGAGTCCGAGTCCAATCCAAATTCCGGATCTCAGTCGCTCTCCAGCGTCCACTGCCTCTCGTCCACCACTTCTGACGCGAGTCCTCGAGAGCGACACTCTTCGACTCGCGCCATCCAGTCCGTAACCACTGACTGATTCGAGCGCTGTTTGCCCATAAGAACGAGCCGTTGGACCGCGTGCCCGACTTTTCGCCTGCGCTTCTCCAATGTATCCTGAACAGCGTCCCACCACTTGTGCAGCTCGCGTCCAGTCAGTTCTAGCGGTTCCAGTCGCAGGATATTCAGGGCTGGTAACATTGCTGGCTTCGATGCGCGAGTGACACGAGCTAGCAAAGCCAATGTCTCCTCATGTTCTTCATGGAAAAGATCGAGGAAGTCGACGTTGGTGCATGCGCCCAAGAACCTATCGAGCGCTCCGCCCGGACTCGTGCCGAAATTGTCTGCACAACCCATATGCAAAGTTGTGAACTGGGCCAAGTCAAGATGCCGTGGAAGCATTGCCAGCAGAATACTCATGCGCACATCATCGTCGCAAGAGAACTTCAACTCGTGGCGCGCGTCTGGCAGTGATGTGCCAGAAACTATCAGAGGTTCATCTGACGAGGGATTGAGGAACAACTCTGTATATGGCGTGACGCGATGTCGTGCTGCCACAAACGCCGATAGTTCGTTCGCCACTGGTTTGCTGAAACCACGGTTGTCGTGGATATCTACCATAACTTCGGTAGCATTCGGGGCAGAGATAAGGTCAAGAAAGCGTCGAGCCTGTTTCAAACCACGACAGTGGAGGTTGAAGACATGCAATCGCGGGAGTAGCACAACGACGAGGTCCTTTGCGGGCCTGGTATCGAGTCCGTAAAGGTTCAGGACCAATTCTTCCAGGTGAGTCGCCATCCGCAGAATACTCAATATATCAGCGGTGCTGACAGAGTGCATGTGGTCCAGTGCGAGCTTCAGCTTGCGTAGCGCGCTCGGGCTAGATAAGAAGGAGGGGAGAGCATCCTCAAAGCCGGCGGAGACGAGCGTCGGGGTTGAAAGCTCGATGATGAGAGGTTCTAGTATCTTCACAGTAGGAGCATTCCAGTCGTCGTATATCTCCCGCCTAAACACCCGGAACTGCACACGCTGTAGAGCAGGATATGAATAAGTGAGGGGCATCGTATCTTGTGGATCATCATCGGGCAATGGTGGCCACAACGCATTGCAGATGAAGGTGTGCGCCCTGTCCAGCCGGCGTACTCCCCAGCTGATCGGGAGTCGGATGGGGTCTTCCTCATAAGAAGGGTCTCCGACGCCGATGGTCAGAGGGGCATCGCCTGCGCGTGAAAGTATCACATCTGCGATAGACGGGTCGTGGAACGACGAGGCGATGTGTGCCCAAAGGTAAGACATCCCAAGGCATGTACTGCGCCAGCGATGGCATACGTGGGTGACGACGATCCAACCGAGAACAGTCTTGCCGCGACCCTTGTCGTTATTCTTGTTCCAACCAGCTGGGTCTATCGCGGCGACGTGTTCGAACAATTCACAGAGGATGTCGTCAGGTAGCGTCGCCGCTGTCAGGCTTGAAAGTGAGATGTTAGGCATAGCGCGAGGAGAAGCGTCTCCTGTGTTGATGGTGGGTCGGTGGTCGTGGTCGGCGGATAAGCAGCTGCAGTGCGGCTTCGGTTCTGCATAACAATTGAAGAGCGCCTGATCGGCATCTGCCGATAACGCCGCCACAGAGTCATACCTGGTACACGCTGCATACGCATATCCGACCGGTCCCCGCTGTTCTTTACACATCTCGAATCCCTGATTTGTGCATCTCGCTCGAAGAGACAAGTCCGCAAAGACAGTGAAAACGAAGCCTCATCTGATGCTGGCGGGTGACAAGGCTTCGTTGACGCAGCGCGTGTACGGCAGTCGCCGAGATCAGAAACGCGCTCACATGGTTTAACCACAGACGCGACGTGTCCATGACCTGCTCCTCGACGCGATCCCGCCCATGAGGGCAACTTGCCCCTACAAACTACCTCAAATTACCAAGGCAAGTATGAAAGGGGTCGGTCAATGCACTTATAACTACTTCGAGTGTGATTTACCTACTGAGTCCATGGTAAACGGGGACGGATGAAGGTTGGCGCGTGTTCACAACGCTCGCTGCACGAGTATCCCACCGGCTGCTACCCAGGTGGCCAACTTATTGTGGTTTTGAGCTTAATTTGAGAGCTCTCTGAGATAACTGGCACCGAAGAAATGGCCGTTGAAGGGTTTTGAGCCCATCCTTCTCACTGTCCGCGTAGTGCGTGTGCGCGCGATGAAAGATTCGACGGACACAGATCGTCTTGAATCAAAGAGCAGCATCAAAGGCATTGGCGCTGGTGTGTCTGCTTACATGAGCACAATGGCAGATCTTCTATTGAGCGGCCGTGTGGTCCGGCATTTTGCGGACGCCTGACGCTCTTTCGAAAGAGACTGCACGTGTCCGGACCTATATCAGTCCTTGATCAGGCGTCCGCGCCCTCTCTGCTCTTCCCCTCATCTTCACCCGCCGCCTGGTCTACATCGCAATGAGCGCCAGCGGCATGAGCGGTGTGCCGGTCGAGGACTCTCTTCCTGACGACACGACAGGACATTTTCTCACAGACTTCACGATGGACGCGGGAGCAAACGTATGTCCTTCATTCCATTGTTCATGGTTCGAGTTGAGAGTTGGCTAATTGTACACAACACTAGATAACGGAAGTGGATATGGGCACACAGGAGGATATCATGTACAGTACGGGCTGGGGTGGACCAACAATAGACCAGATTGTACGTCCATCATACGTGCACCCGCAACCACAGACGTTGACAACGCCGCCCGTAGTGGCAGGACATTCAACTCTTCGCCGAGTTCGCCTCGGGACCCTCTCCATCAGGGGAAGAAGCGGCGAGCATCCTGGCTGAACGTATCCTGGTCGGTCAGACCACCGTCAGACCGAAAGACGTTCTGCAGTTAATGCCACCGTGGCGCATGGGAGATCGCCTCTGGCTTGTCCAAGTTCCGGATGGCTCAACACGCGTCACCCGGCTTCCCAAAGACTGTCCCGAAGCGGGTGACTGGACCATTCCCCTCGGCGATGGCACACTGTTCGAGTTCCGCACTCACCACATTCCACCTCCGCCGGTCACAACGACGTCCACGGCTCCATCCCCCACGGACGCATCTGACGCCTCTTCCCCGACCGAAGCCTCGTCCCCTGAGGGTGTTGGCGCTCCGAGTACGCCCCCGCCTTCGTTGGGCGACAGCGCCGAGGACAGCGCCACAGCGCCCACGCCTTTGCCAGGCGGCCCGGATATGCCAGCAGACGCCATCAACCCTAGCGCTCCGGTCGAGGCGAGCAACGACGTCGATATGGTCGACATGGACGGATCGCCCTCGGCGTCTGAATCCACACCTTCGCCCGTCGGGAACGCGCGAGGTGCGTACTCAACCTACTTTGTTGTGGCTGGCAATGCTCACCGTTTCCATCTAGTTCGCCGACCCAACAAGAAGAACTCCAAGAGCACGCGCTCAGCGCCGTACTCGAAGGAGAAGCCTCAGGTCGTCGCTTCCAGCGATGATCTGAGCGCTCACAACATTCAATCAACCAACGCCACCCCCACGGGAAGTGCCCACGTGGGCGACGCGGGCGGAGAAACGTCGTCGCGCGTCAGAGCACCGCCGCCAACGAAGGGCAGGATGGGCGCGACACTGCCCGATCCCACGAACGCCATGTACTCCACGCTCGACCAGATCATCGATTCCGCCACGGGGACATCGGGCCGTAAAGTGAAGTTTATCGCCGCGTGCTGGGAGGACAAGGTACTGCGCGCATTCTTGACCAAGACGGAGGTGGAGGCGCTCCGTGCAATGACTGGCGGGAAAAGTAAGGACGGTGGCAGGTGGCGATGCATCTTCCCTGGACGCGATGGGCCATGCGTGAAGACTTACAAGTACCCGAACACGCGCGACCGGCACGTCAACGAAGACCATCTCCATGATGAACTCGGTCTTCCCCTTCCCAACATCACGGGCGGCGCCATCTGCCCCCACTGCAACGGCTATATGTATCGCGGGGACAAGGACTTCACGGAGAAGCGTCACATTAACGATTGCAAAGCGCGGACGGAGGCAAAGAAGAAGCAGGACGAGGCAGCAAAGCGGCTGGCCGATTCGGTTTCGAGCGAGTAGGAGATCGCTCGCGCCATCTAGTAATTCTCTGATACGTTTATTAACATGTGTATACATGCTTGTATGTGCCGTTTGTACTCATCTATGGCTACGCCTTCCAGCGTACTACAAATAGCGATTTTTTGAACCATTGATAGCGCAAGCGCGTGGTTGACTGGTGGTTGACAAGTTCCATTGTCGGCCGGTGCTTGCCGCGCCGAGTTGAACACGATCACAAGACTCTCGGAGATCGGCGGTCGAGCCAGGACGATGGATGCCAGCCTATCTTGGCAGGTTCATTCGTATATTCTGATTCATCACTACGCATGTACAGTCGTCCATATGTATTCTGTACAAACATCGGGTCTAATCTTCCCATACCCGCCGATCAAATAGCTCCGCGACCAGCTTCCTCCCCGTCAAGTTCTCCATTCCCCACCAATCTTCACTTTCGCTCCACCCGCGCCTCCCCGTCCAGCATCCCTCGAGCTTCAGAGACCTTATCCCTCCCACACCACACGCGTACTTCCTCGCAGCCAACGCAGACGCGATTGTGTCCCACCACTGCCGCGTGCGCTCCCGATGGACCTCCGGATCGTCTGAGAGCTTGAAGGCTCCAGGTATAAGGCTCACTGACGAGAGTACGAGAGTACGAAGGGAGGGTAAGACAGGCTCAAGTTTGGCCTGTCTGAGCACAAGGATGTGCGAAGCGACGGACCAGATATCCAGAGCTTTGAGCTCCAAGACCGTCACGGACCCCAGTGCGCGTAATAGCGTTCCGAGTGTATTGAGATCGATCGAGACGGTGGAAGCGGCGAGGGAGGTGAGCGCGAGCGTGGTGATATGGAACGAGGCGTGTGGAATGAACGCTGGCAAGATTGATAGGGCCGTGAGACGCGTAGTGTTGTCCGTCGGGAATGAAAGCTCGCACATCGTCTCCGTCGAAGACGACGACAAACGAACGCGCATGTCGAAGCGACCAATCCCCGAGGTGCGTGGGATGTCGACCTCCAACTTGTCGTACATAGCGTGGTCCATCTCCCTCTGGCAAACGTCTAACAACGTCTCCATGTTCGGCAGAGCCACCGATCCCGTTTCGAATTTGTCGAGTTCGTACGAAAGTTCGAACGAGATCTTGGGTGGATGACGGATGGGGCGCCATAGGTCGGATAGCATGCGATCTGAACCGACGACCACTCTTGCACTCTGTAGATGGTCCAATACGATCGGACCCGAGCGGGCGTCGCGCTCATCCTCGAAATGATGGCCTCCTTGAAACGGCCCAGCGCCCGTGACCGAGACGTCAAGAAACTCCAGAAGAGGGCACGAGCGTAAGAAGGCGTGCAAAGCTCCGAGCGGTACCAGTGAAGTGTTGATGCCAATATGGATTTCGCGCAATGTCGCGCCCCAGGTGTGCGGGACCAAGGTCATCGAGAGGTGCGCGCATCTCAGCCGAGGAAGCTCCCATCGCGGGTTGAAGTCCAACGGCACGTCCATGCCGCCGAAGCGCACCTGGCGTAGATCAGGTAATGTGAGGTGCACGTCCTTCAGGTGACGAAGCATGGGACCACCAGGTGACACCAACACACCTGCGCGAGAGATGTTGTGGATAGCCCAGACCTCCAAAGGCAAGATAGCGTGGTAGTGCCGTAGAAGCCCGTGGCCGTCCAAGGTATTGAACCGCGAGAGGTCGATCGTGACAGGATGTCCCTTCGCGCGCCGGGAAAGTTCGGCAATGACTTCTCGTCGCGAGGACATGCATACGACGCGTGCCCATAGACCGGCGAGACTCCCGCTTAGTCCGAGGGTGCGCCAACGCCGACAGACGTGCGTGAGGACAATCCACCCGAGACGAGTGTCGGTGTCGCGGAGGGTTGGGACATCTTGTGATGTGGCGAGCGCGCAGGGAGGATATACAACCGCAGCGGCTTCGAAGATCTCGTAGATGATATCGTCAGGAAGGTGTGCGGTCTTGTCAACGGGTGCGGGCGTGAGCGCGGGCGAAGGGAAGGAATTGATGTCGATCCCTGTAGTTGAGCGAGACTTGATGCGCCGATGGAATATATTCCGAAGTCGCATGGCAACTATGCGTGGGGCAAAGAGAATGGATGAGTTGGTTTCGGGTCCGCATCGTTCCAGCACGAGGAGGTATTTGTGCTCAGGACCCTAGCAGGCGGTGCTCATGTAAGGCCCTGAGGGTGACAGGCCAAGTCGAAGGCACTCGGGCCGGTGGGAGGGTTCTGCCGCGATGCTTGAACATAGCAAAGGTTGCGGCAGAGCTGAAAGAGTAGTAGATAGAGACGAGCAATTCCCAAGGAGGTGAGGTTGCAGGCGGTCTGAGAACAGGATACGGCAGTGGTCGGCGGCCAACCTCCGCCGCGGCGACAGGCGGTCGATTTGGGTGCCTGGGTTAGGGTTAATGTCAATTTAACTTTTGAAACTCCGCACACAGTGCTCACTGCCTACAGCCACTTCCCAGCTACTGCACTGAACCTCTCCTTTCCGACCTTGAAAACGGCTGCTTGCCCTGAGCGCTGGGTTACGACGCTTGACCGACGCGGCCGACGTGAAGTTCACACTGACTTACGAATTTTCTCGCATCCCCTGTGGCAAGGTTGCTCGAGGCGGACCTCAGTACGATTTAAGCACAAGGACATGAGTAGTCAGAGAGTTACACAGTATACAGTGCTAATTGTACTTCGCCATGTCGTACGTCAGTATATCCGGAAGCCCAAGGCCTAACGAAATCAACTTCAACGCCAGCGGCACTCGCTACACTTTCGTGTGTACTGCCGTTCATCCACCACCTCGGATATCAGCCCACGCGAGAGACACTCAGCGCTCTCCGCTGTCCAGTCCTCGGTCCACTTCTCCCGCGTGCACCATTCGTTCCCACCAAGTTCCAAAGTTTGTATGGGAGCACCCGCATGCGAGCGACTTGAAAGGACGTCCTTCAGCGTTTTCCACCAGAAAACTTCGATGTCTTCGTCATCGACTTCTCTGAAGTGCTTTCCGATACTGGATGCGGACTTCCCGTCCGACGAACCGTTCATCTCCAGGCACAATGTCTCCAACTTTGGCATTGGAACGAGTGATTCGTCTTCGGGGGCCAAGAGCATGCGTAGCGTGTCGGGATGAGGAGCATCGACGAATATCAGTCTTTCGACGCGGGATAGCGAGTGGCACATGTTAACAAGTGCCCTATCCAATTCATCATCCTGCTGCCTCTGATTCAGACACTCCATTTCGCACCACTCGACTTGAGTAGGGTCGATGCAACGCGCCAACGCGGCGACAATCGCCGTATAATGCGAGTGCCATCCATCCGGCGAGTACCACTTCACGTCGAGCTCCACATAATTGGGAGTCCAGCTTGAGATCGATACATGCGATTCCGAAATAGAGAGATACTCGGCGTGGAGCAGTTGCTGTTGCGCGAGTGCTTGTGCGAAAACCCGATCTTTGTTGAATGTGTCGTCGTACACGGCTATTCGGGTGCGTCTGAGTGCGGGTGCGGTGACGACTCCAAGAAAATCCAGTGCATGACGCTCGAATCTGAACGTTACATGGAGAATTTCGAGGCGGTCGAGGTGCACCGCGTTGGTCCGGTCAGCGACGAGTGCCACCGTGTCGGGCACGCTCTCGAGCTCTAAGCTCAGATCCTACAAGCTGTGAAACCCACGCAGCACATCCAATATGGGTGGTAATCCGTCCCAGATGATACTGTGAAGTCTCAACGACAAGCTTCGCATCTTCGGCACGTGAGATAACGAGTGTAACAATGTATCATATAGTTCCGCGCGCACAAGACCGGGAGCGTTCAATTTCAGAATTGGGGGCGGGCTGTCCCCACTAGGCGTGTTGCAACTGAGATTGAGACGCCGCAGCGAAGGGAGGGGGCCAGTAAGGGCATTGTAAACCTCAGCATCATCGCGAAGGAACTCCGACCACTGGCGAATGTCACAGCAGAAGGTGTTCGCCCTGCCCAGGTGCTGCGTGCTCCAGCTGATTGGGAGGTAGTAACGCTGTTGGAAAAGCGCCTTTGTGCAATTATAGCTGACCTCGATCTTCACGGGACAACTTCGGGCACGTGCAAGTAGTTCGTCCGCGGTAGAGCTGCCGGGAAAGGCGCAGACCACGTCTGCCCATAGAGTGGGCATGTCGAGAGCGATAGCGCGCCATCGTAGGCATACGTGCGTAGCAGCTATCCAGCCGAGAGAGAACCAAGGTTGCGTGTAGCTTATCCAGCCAGCGGGGTTGACGATCGCGAGGTGTTCGAACACTTCGCGTATGACATCTTCAGGAAGGGTTTGAGCCATGGCGGACATATTTGATCACGTATAGAGGCTGCCTGGTATATCGAGCGAGGGCTCAGTCGCACGATTTATGCGTTGGCAGTAGATGGCCGTCGAGAAGCAAGCTGGCGCCCAGCGCACGCCGTGCACGACCACGGCTAAACCGGTCCGGTCACGCTAAGGTTAGGGTTCAGCTGCTCGCAGAAATCTCGATCTCAGACTGGATCTCATTGGTAGCCCGATCCTTCATGACAACTTCGCTGGCCTCTATCAATTGGATCGGGTGTCTGTCCGACTCAGTCGATCTTGCGTTCCACTGACAAATGAATAGACTGTTACAATTTTGATTTCAGCGAGGTCTTTCTATGTCTACCCTATTCGGTACTATATCTACAGACGTCACAGCTGGATTCAAGAGCTCGCTGGTCAATTATCTCAGAGATTAGATCTGAGGTCAGACAGGCCGTAGTTTGCTCGGTCCATATCCGGGCGCACTCTTCCTTCGTACAGCCCCTTCCCTCGAACCTTAGGCAGCCTATAGCGCTACCCTCCTCAAGACGATCGGCCAGCATGTCCCTTACAGCCCTCCACCACGATATCGTCTCCTCAATCCGAAAAGTTGTGCTATGCCGTAAGTATGACGGTTTCCATCGATGGAGATCCACATCACCCAGACTCAGTCTGAGCGTGTGCAAAGCCGGAAAAGGTAGCGCGCGTTTCCCTTCTGCGGATGACTGAAGTATTCTAATCGCATCTGAGTTGACCTCCCCGCTCATGACAAGCGTCGTGACACGCGTCATCGCCCGGCCCAGGGCAATAGTCGCGGCATGAATGCCTTCATGTACCTTCCAATCGGGGATCACGAGGGCACAATGGCGATAACTGGAAGCGTCCAGATGTTGCGGCAACTCTGAAAGCAGCTCTGCGAAGTTCCTCCTCATCCGTCCTGAGAACTCAAAGCGCAGCCTTGGCATAAGGCTGGACTCAGTATTGGAGATGGACAGATATTTATCCGATATGGATATAGATTTCTCGCCTGATAGCTGAGCTTGAGGTTGTCGAAAGGTGAGAGCTCGGTCCAGAAGCTCCCAGCTCATTGCTTCATGGGGCGTAGCAACGACTAGCATTTTCAATGAAGGGGTTGAGAAAATCTCGAGAACGTTCGCCGCTTGAGCGTGACAGCAACGCACTTGGAAGAATCGTAGATGCTCGAGGCGTACAGACACTCCATCCACAGACGACTCGACCGCGTCGTTCAGACGTAGATTAAGAGATTCCAGAGCAGGAAGAGCCCGTAGTGCGTTGAGTATATCAGCCATGTCCACAATTGTCGTGGCATGGATGTCGTCCAAATATAAACGTAGGGTGCGAAGGTTGGGCAGCGTGGATGTCGGGGCTGGTAGCATGCCGAACAAGCTAGCGGACCCCAAGACGGGAGCGTTGAGTTGTGCGATAAAGAGAGAGCGAGTTGTAAAGTCGAGTAGATTATCATCCACCATGATCGACGTGTCCTCAACGATTGGTAGAGGATCCGCGAACAAGATTTTGACTTCGGCATCTTCGTCACGGACGATGGATGCCATGGAAATGTAACACTGGAGATGGCGAGCGCGGCTTCTATATCTGAGAGCCCAGCTTAACGTCAGCTGTGGAGAGCGACGGTATGAGCGCGCGCCGGTATCCTTCTCGTCGTGGAAGATGTGTCTCAAGTTCAAAGGGCAAGTGCGAGCGCGCGTAATGAGCTCATCCGCGATGGTAGGGTCCGGAAACGCACAGACCGCGTCTGCCCATAGAGATGCAGCGGATAACCCAGCATATCTCCAGCGTTGGCAGACGTGTGTGACTATGATCCACCCGAGATTATACGTGTCCAAGCTGGGATTGCGTCCAGCAGGTTGGGCAGCTGCAGCGTGGTCGAATATCTCCCGTAGAATGTCGAGCGGCAGTGTTTGAGCTATCTGCGATGGCATGATGTAGAGAGTAGGAAAGAGCGAAGAAGAGAGCCGGGGTATAAGTATCGCTCGAGAACCAGATGGTGGTTGTAAAGATGACTGGTCTGATGAACGTCGAGATGAACCACAGTGATGCCGCGTCTTCCTCCGATGATATAGGGTTAGGGTTAGCTTTTTGCGGCGCGACGGCAGGCGCGGCCCGAGTCTCCTACTACTCATAGGTGCGCAGGGACACCAGCTCTCGTTCGTTCTGACTTTCGAGTTAGATATATCGCTCATATCATTGATTTGTGTACAATTTGAATTCGCAACATCTTGAGCATGATATGATACACAGCTGACGGTCGCACCAATGTCCGAGTCTCCAATCAGTCCCTCCCACTACACACGTAACAGCTGGAGATGAACTCCCGCTGATCATCCACCTCACTCACCAAACCCTCGCCCAAATACGCTTGCGCTCGCTCAGTCCATATCCGCGTGCACTCCTCCCGGGTACAGTTGTTACCCTCGAGCATTAGGCAACTTATGCCAGACCCCTTCCGAAGACGCCCAGCTAGTACGTCCCTCAGGATGTCACACCACTGCGACATCTCCTCGGCTCTCGCGACCAGGTAAGGGCGGTATATTGAATAGGGGTTGGGGTCCACTGCACCCAAGCTCAACGTGTACAATGCTGGAAACAGCATCGGGCCGGGGTTCTCGTCCGTCGGCTGGAGCAGGCTCAGGACGTCTGGCTGAACCATTCCGTGAAGATTGAGCGTGGTAACGCCGGTCATAGCCCGTCCCAAAGCGGCGATCGCTGTGTGAAGTCCTTCGTACAGTGGTTTCTCCCAGGAATTAAGAGGCCGCGGCACTACAAGTGCGCAATGGCGATAGCTTGAAATGTCGAAGTAGCGATGTAGCGTCGACACAAGCTCCACGAAGCTCATCCCGCCATACGATTTCGGGAACTCAATGCAGAGTCTCTGCCAGCCAGACGTAGTGTCGGAGAGGAATAGGTGCGTTTCCGAGATCGATAGAACTTGATTCATCAGGTGGAATCGGTGTTGTTGCAGCGCGATAACTCGTTCGAGGAACTCTCCGGACAATCCCCCCGACGTCTCGATCTCCAGACTCTCCAGCGTTGGCGCTGAAATGAGCTCTACGAGGTCGAGCGAGTGTATGCTGCCGCATCGCACCTTGACGTAGTCCAGATGTTCGAGGTGCACGGCCTTCCGATTGACGGCTGGCTTGGCATTGCGTGCTGGAAGTTGCAATTCGAGATATTTTAAACGGGGTAGTGTCCGGAGGAGATCTAACAACTGATCCATGGGCCCATCCGCTGTGGTTGAGCCGAGTAAACGCAACCACAGATAGCGCAATTCGGGCAAAAGGGATTTCGGGGATGGAAGGAAGCCTGTGAAGTCCGCAAACTCCAAGACAGGTGCCTCGAGCGCTACAGTAAGCAGCGGCACGTCACGAGTATAGCCATCCACTTTGATGACCGTATTCTTCAGGATGGACAGAGAGGTGGCGAAAAGGGCCTTGACTTCGGGGTGGCCGTGAAGGAGGGCCGACGGCGGTATAGTGCATCTGAGATAGCGGGCGCGGTGTATGTATTTCAAAGACCAGCCAAGCCTGGGTCCCCTCCTATTTCTGCGTTGCTTCGCGTCATTGGCGTCGTGGAAAACGTTTAGATTCAAGGGGCAAGCACGAGTGCGCTCAACGAGCCTCTCTGCAACGACGTCGTCGGGAAACGCGCATACCGCTTCAGCCCACAGAGGCGCGGCACCTAGTCCAACGTATCTCCAGTGTCGACAGACGTGGGTAGTCGCGATCCACCCCAACTTATACCTCATCGAATCGCAGTCAAAACCAGCTGGTTCGGCAGCTGCGGCATGGTCGAGTATCTCCCGAAGGATATCGGGAGGGAGCGTCTGTGCTGACGCTTTACGAGTGAGCATAATGAGATGGTGGGCGGGATGTACAAGATAAGCGAGGAGTAGATGGTGGTTGCAGTTGAACGTCAAGGCGAACCACAGGCGCGTCGGTGTAGGGGCAACGGCATTCCCCGACGGTGCGAGGTTAGGGTTACCCGTGCCGTTCGCTATTGTTCGCCACTCCTTGCGCATCGCTCAAGATAGATATAGACGAGCGCCTCTGTCTCGGCCTCATGTTCACGCATCCGAAGTCGAGAACTCGACGCAAATCATATTCCCTGCCTATAATCCTTCGCAACGATTGGCTTATCCCCATCCTTCTTCCTCTTCTTCTGCGGTTTCTTGCCTCCAGTCCCAGTCCCATTCGAACTCCCCACTCGCTCCTGTTCCTCAGCATCCTTCGGTAGATACCCGAATAGCTCGGACGAGACCGTATCCTGAGGGCGGTGGGAGCAATACTGGCATCTACACTCTCCCTGCGGCCGGCCGAGCATGAGCCACATGAAGTGCGGCGCAAACTCTGCGGGACTTCGGAAGGGCGTCTTTCCTGTGCCATGTGTCGTCGAACCTGCAAGAAGTGTATTAGATACATCCGGGGCGATGAGAAGATGATGATGGCGCGCACCATAGAGGTACGGATCTCTCCGCGCATTCTTGGGATCGTCCGATACTGTGCCATCGACGTGATGCCAGAGTGTGTATCCCATTGGGAGCCTGATCCTCCACCGCTTGCTATTCGCAATAGCTGGTAGCGAACCAAGAGCATAAGCGCAGTACCTCAAATGATCAGCAAGAATGAACGTACTCTGCCCACATACATGATAAGCCACCAGATTGCCGACCGTCCTCATCCAGTGATTGTACGTCTCGCTCCCCTCCGCGAGCTTCACATACTGATCCGTCCTCCCTTCACTGTCCACCTTCAACCTCTGCTGTTCAGCCGTCGGGGCTCTTCTTGCATCTCCATCGCTCGCTTCGGGATCAAGGACAACAACGACACCATCTATGACCGTGAAGCGCTCGTTGAGTTGGATATCGGACTGAGGGAGGGCGTATAGGCGCGATGTATTGGGGGCGATCGAGCGGCGCGAGTCCGAGTCGAGCAATTTGGCGATGCGCTCGGCTTCTGCCGCAGAGAGCGTCTTGTGGTGGAGGGCATGGGCTTTGAGCGCGGCGCTTTGTTGGCCGGAGGACGAGGCGAGGGTGGGAGAGTTCATGATTTACTCGAACTCGGCGAGCGCGTAATTTGAGGCAATATAGCGTTCGACTTTATAAAGATGCCTAGGGGGGATTGTGAGTACGAGATCTTTGTGGTGAGGAGGAGGCCACACTGACCCGTTGGCCTCGCAAAGGATAGGGGCAAAGATGAAGTTACGGCGACCGTCGACGCGGCCGAAAGAGGTTCAGATCTTTATAAGTAGCCTTTGTTTCTTCCCTTCTCACGTCCCGGAAGTAATAACCGCATGACGCGCCATGGCTAGCTTGTACTGTATCGATAAGGGAGGCTTTGACAGCAGCACAGCCTGCGCGAAGGGTGCAATGGACGTGAAGGGAAAGGCGCCCAGCCGTTTGGGAAGAAATGAAAGCGTGAAGCCAACCGGAGCCGAGTTTGATGCATCAGACGGGCAACCGCCGTGCTTCTTCCATCCGTTGTCGATGGTGGCGGCTGATGGGCGCGCGATGATGGACGCATGAAACAGGCAGCATCACCACGCTGGCGTCGTCGGCTCTTACGGTCATTTCATTCTCAACATGATTGAACAAACACGAGTACAGTTTGCAGTCCATACTCAGATACAGTAAGAAGATGCAATATGTAATCGGTCAAAGACAAGTAGTACTGTCGACTTTAGCTTCAGCGGCAACAACCGCACGCTCCTCCTCGTGCCTGCAGCAACCGTCACGCTGGGCCCAATACGCGCGAATTCACCTGGAAGCACTATGAGCGGAACAGGTTCAACTCGGTCTCCGATAGTGGCCATGTACTGCGCCACTTCCTTGCGCAAAGACCCTTGCTGATGTCTGGCGAGCATGGGTACCAGTTCACTTCCAGCGAACTTCACCCTGCGTGCACGAGCGTTTATCGACCACCTCCTGCGCTAGCCCTAGCGAAGTCACCTTCGCAAGCTCCTCTCCATCGTGCGAGAGGTCCCACATGAAAGCCTGTGGGATTGACCAGGTCCCCTCGAGCACGAGAGACTGCAACTTGAATTCGCATGCCTCACTGCCGGCCCGCAGCCGCGCACTGAGAGCCGTATTGAGCGTGTCCCACCAGTACTGAGCCAATGAACGCCCAGACTGGCGGGAGACTCCTTGAAGCTCGAGATCGGCTATCCTCAGATACCGCAACGACCGAAATGCGGGTGCGCCAGGCTTGCCGCGGCCGACCGCGCGGACGTACAGCGACGCGGGCCACTGATTCATACGTCTGAGCTTGAGCTCCGTGAGCCCCGTCAACGCCGTCCCAAAGACGCGTAAGACGTCGCTGATGCTGCTGTCCGAGATCAGGCCGAAGGTAGAGTCGATGGCCAGAGTGCGAATCAGCTCTGCGCGAATGTGGTTGGGGAGAAGGCAGAGCAGATCGCCGCGGTTGTGTTGATATGTGGAAAGCATCCATGCGTGAGAAGCGTGCTGTGCAGAGCGCTTGTAGATGATGATACGCAGCCGATGCGCGTAGTCCACAGCCAGATCTATAACGTCGTAGTGCCCCGAGAGCATCTGAGCTGCGCACACCTCGAAGAGCGGGGTCTCGATTGAGGTGTGGACGCTTGTACAGTCGACGTGGATGACAATGTCATCCTGCGTGACGACGGGACGCCATATGTCGCAAATCGACTGGTCCGAGTTCGAATATAGCCTGGCGCGCTTCAAATTGGCTAAACGAATCTCCCGTGGGTGATAATGCAGGCCATTAACACTAATCGGTGATGCAAAGTCTATGCGCAGAGTCTCCAGCTGAGTGCAGCAGCGCATGAAGTCGTGAATCTCTTTGAGAGACGCCCAAGATGCGCGCGACAAATCCATTCGTAGCTCGCGTAAGCCTCTTGCGCGGTCAGACGATAGGATAACATCCTGTAGGGTGGCGGAACGTAGCTTCGGGGCGTTCAGCTCCAGCGTTTGAAGGAGAGACCCGCCAGGTACTTGATGGGCGGTCATCCTACGCGTCACGTGGATCCTGTATAGACTGGGCAGCGTCGAGGGCACCTCGCCACCATGATGCTGGAAATCAGTCAGGTGTACCGTCAGAACGCCAGCTCGCGAAAGATGTTCCTTCAACAAGGAAATTATGGCGTTGGAGCGGCTGTCATCCCCCTCCCTGTGGTCTGTGATCGTTCTTCCCACTGGGAAGCCTTCGAAAAAATCGAGGGTAAGAGGGCAGCTGCCCGCGCGTGCGAGAAACGTGGTCACGGCAGAGGTGTTGAAGAGTGTGGTCACGATGGCGGCCCATAAGGTCGGTGTACTCAGAGCAACAGCGCGCCAGCTGCTACAGACATGCGTCAGGGTAATCCACCCAAGAGTAGGTCGCACACGGTTGGGAGCAACGCGGTGGCGACGGTGAGGAGGATCAATGACCGCGGCGTGGTCGAAGATGAGGCTGATAATGTCGATGGGCAATTGCAACTTATTGCGCTTGGACTTGCGACGGCGAGCCATGTGCAAGAGATAGTTCACAGAATCAGTTACGTCTCAGCTGATTATTAGTGCTGAGTCCCGCCACTCGACGGGGCAGGATGGTGGCACTGAGCAGAGTCGAGCGGCTCGCGGCTTGCATGAGGCTCACCAGCCAGCGGCGGCGGCCGGCTAATAATCCGGCATCAATATTCGGACCGCATGTCCGCATTGTCCTTCCGACCACCACCGCGCGCATTTTTCGTGCGTCTCGACTCCCTGATTTGTGCACGGTACATGATGATGTATGCGGGAAGCAGACTACATCACCGTGCTGCCGTCGCCTCATACGGTCATGATCTCTCTCGACATTTGGAACCATACAAGTTGCATTGCATACTCAAATACAGAAAGGATATACAGTCAGTAGAAGGTCAAACTCGACAGGTTACTGATAGGTGAACGCTGCATGGTCAGTAAGTATTCTCCTGCTCGCGGCGACTGCTACTCCGGACCTGGTACTCACAAGATAAAGGCTTCCACTGAGGGGAACTCCTCGCGTACGTGCGAGTATCGACGACTTCCTGCGTGAGCCACAACGAAGAGATCTTCCTGAGCGCCTCTTGATCATGACCCAGATCCCACAGCTCGACCCCCAACCAAGTTCCGTCAAGGACGAGACGGCGCAACCTAAATGCTTCACCACCAGTGCACAGTCGAGCAATGAGGGCCTCGTGAAGCGCGTCCCACCAATACTGGGCGTGCGAGCGCTCGCGATCCAACGACTTGCCCCCGAGCTCCATGTCGGTTATCGTCAGGCGCTGCAAAGCGCGAAACGCGGGCGTCGGCCTCCCGCGACCGAGTGCGCGGATGTACAACGACGCGGGCCACTGATTCATGCCGCCGAGCTTCAGATCTGTCAGACCCGTCATTGCAGACCCGAAAGCGCGGAAGACGTGGCTAATCTGGTCGCTCTGAAGTAGCGTTGAGTCGAGAGATAGAGAGCGGATCAGTTCTGCGCGGATATGGCGGGGAAGAACAGAGAGCAGATGGACGCGGTTGTGCTGCACTGTGGAGAGAGCCCACGAGTGGCAGACGCGTTGCGTGGAGAGCTGATATATAGTGATCTTCAGCCCATGATGGGCTGTCAACTCTATGGCATCGTAATGCGTGGAGAGCAATTGCGCTGCGCACAATGTGAAGAGCGCGGGCACGGCGTTTGGGGGCATTGTCGGTCCTGTCCCTGTACAGCTCAGGTCAAGGACGATATCGTCGCACCCGACGATGGGCCCCCATATCTGGCAGAGTTGTTCTTGCGAGTATGCCGATAGCACGGCGCGCTTGAGATTGTTCAGAGGGATTTCTCGTGCGCGATAACCCGCATCGGGTTCCGCCCGTGGACAAGTGAAAGCGATGTCCAAAGTCTCGAGCTGTGAGCAGCAGCGTATAAAGTCGTGCAGGTCGCTTAGAGATGGCGAGTGATGTTGCGTGAGTTTCAAACGTAGTTCGCGCAGACCTCGCACGCAGTCAGATGGTAGGATGGCGTTCGTGAGAGTAGCGGAACGCAGCTCTGTGGCATTCAACTGCAATATACGAAAGCGGTTGAGATCGCTTTCATCGCCGGAAGGAATATACGCCGTATGCCCTACACGAATCTTGTAAAGAGCGGGCGTTGACAAAGGTGCCTCGCCGTCGGCACGCAGTAGATCGTAAACTCCAAAAGTTCCCACTTCCAAAACGCTGACTTGCGAGAGGTGTTTCCTTAGGCAGGAGATCATGGTATGTCCCCGGAGTTCGCCCAAGGGATGTTTGGTGAGATCGATTGTGAGAGGGCAGCTGCCTGCGCGTGCGAGAAACGTGTTTACAGCAGAGGTGTTCAGAAACACGGCGGCAATGGCGGCCCATAAGGTAGGCATGCTCAGACCGACATTGCGCCAGTTGGCACAGACATGCGTGAGTGTGATCCACCCGAGAGTAGAGGGTGTATAGGAGTAAAAGCTGCGATGCGGCGGCGATCGCTGTGGGGGATCGATGGCCGCGGCATGGTCAAAGATGACTTTGATAATGTCGATGGGCAGTTCAGACTTATCACGCTCGGTATTGCTGCGGTCAGGCATGTCGCGATTCGACGTTGAGGGTTCAAGGTCGAACCTCGAGATACAGAGGGGAAGAGATGGTGGTCTTGAGCAAAGAGGACATGGGCCGCGCCGCACCGTTCCCGCACGGCGCAAATGACCACGTGCTCTCCCCTAGCGCCGCTTATATCTGCTCCAGCTCGCAAGAGCGCTGAGGGAGTCGGTGCCCAAAGTGTTCCGATGGACCTTCAACGTCGAACATGCACCTCCCGATCGCCCGAAGAGATGAGTGACATGTCAGTACAAAGATACAACAAATCGTCTAGATAGACCATCAAGAAAGCCGACAAGCGCCGCAGCGCAAGCATTTTGCGCCCCATAACATACATCGCGTCAGTACATACACACTACGCGGCAGCCTCGACGGCCTTCGCCTCCTGTGCGGCCTGAGCAGCCTGTACAGCCTGAGCCGCGACGACCTCGTTCCGCCTCCTAGCAGCAGCGACGGTATCCCTGACACCGGCCAGTGCGCTTCGTGCGGCGGTGAGGCGCGAAGAGAGGTTCGACCATTCCGCGGCGGAGAAGGAGCGCGGAGAGGCGCGGAGGACGCGGAGGGTTTGAGTTGTTTGAGCGAGTTTGCCGACGAGGAGGTTCGCGCGGATGGCTGGGCGCATCATCAGTGAACCAGTTGAGTGAGGAGAAAAGCAAGGCGCGTACCGTCGATGACCCATCGCTCTACACTCGCGGGTTCAACGGCCAACGTCTCCGCGATCTTTGCATACGACACGTCCTTCCCGATATTCTCAAACGCCAACCCGCCGAGGGTCAACAACCGCATCTTGCGCTCCAGACCCTCGTACTCCAGCCCATGCTCGCCCAGCACAGGCGACGACTTGAACGACGCGAGATCAGAAAGACCGCCGGACGTGAACACGCGGAGGAGTGCGAAGAGCGGCGCGTCTTTTGCGGCGAGGACGGCGGGAAGTTTGAAAAGCGGGTCAAAGTCGAGCGTCGTCGGTTGGCGGAGCGCACACGCGATAGCATCCAGCGCGACGGGCTCTGATCCATAGAGACGGACGAGGACGAGCTTGTAGTGGTACGCCTCGCCCTGCTCGCCGGCTTTTTCGTGCGCCTCTACGAGCTTCTTCACGAGCTCGACTTTGGACGGTGTGGGGACGTCCCATGTGGCAAGGTACCGCTCGACGTCTGCGCGCGTGATCTGCAGGACGGCAAGGTCGTCGTTGGCAATGGCGAGGGTGAGGAGGGCGGTGTATATTTTGTAGCGGAGGGCGGAGGCGGGCGGGAGGGTGTTGAAGACGTTGGACAGGATCCGGTATTGGGTCGTCGAGTCGCCAGTGGAAGTCCTTACTGCGCCGAGGAGTGTGTCGAGCTGGGAGCTCTCGCCTGGCCAGAGCTGGAGTACTTGTGCGAACAGAAGGTTGAAGAAGCCCTCGATCTCTATAGCACCATCAATATTTCTTTCCTCGTTTCAGTCAAGTGAAGACGCACCGCGCTCGGAACCTTCGCCCAGTCCTTTCACCTCGCCAACAATCCACCCGACAACATCCTTTTTCCTGCTCTCATCCTGATCCAATGGCGTCTCCTGACCTACACGATCCTGTGCTCCCTGCACGTATGCAGCGCGCTCTCCCTCGGGTAAGCTGCGGGCGATGTACTCCGCGAGCTCTACGATCTATATTCACACTCGAGTCAGTCGATCGCGTCATGGTGTAAGAGTAGACATAAAAGTACCTGGTCCTCGAGAGAACCATCGGCGAATATTGCCACAGCGTCGCCGGAAAGTGTCATCGTGAGCGTTGAACAAAGTCGCCGATCAAGCGGCCGAGCAGCGATCTCAAAATCTCGGCCAACCCTAACCCCGACGCAATAAATCCGCGTCGCGCGGCGCCGTAACCTGTTTAGCGCTTGCTCTCATCCCTCGTCGGATCGCTATAGATGAAATATACGCGCTGCGCAAAGTAAATATTCAATGTGTATCGTCAATGTACTCTTACCGCCTGACATACTCGATTGGCCTGAACGGTCATGCTCTCAACGTTCGCGCATTCTCTTGGTCAAGGACGCGCCGTCAGCAAACCCTCTCTTTCTCCCGTCACTCAGCTGCACTCAACCAAGATCACGCTTTCTCCTCGACATGCCCTACGAGATCATTACGCACAGCGTGGAATAAACCTTCCCCGTGGCACCCAATACATGAGCTCTACCGGCCACGCTGTACTGCCGCTTAGCATAGCCTCGTCACCGGTCATGCTATCTAAATTCGACTTCTGTCCCTGGACCTGCATCGCTCTCTGCTTCTCTATTCGAGCATAAGTACTCATAGAGGATCATCCTCAATCAGGATGCACTCTTCCATCTCTCGGCCTTCCTCCACCAGCGACGATGCGCGCCTTACGCGTCCTGTCCAAGTATCGCCGCGCGCGCAATACACCCCCTACTGGCGCGCACGTCAACACCCCCACCGATGGCACCCAAGTCTTCCGGCTACCCGACGACATTCTCTACGAGATCTACGAATGGGCCGCGATCGTCTACCCTCCGAAGAACTACGTGGCATCGCTGCCAACGGTGCGCGCGCAGGCCCTCGCCCGCCTGGGATGGATCGTCCTCACTCATATCTGCCGCCACTGGCGCGCCATCGGCCTCAGCTCCCATCTCGCGCCGCTATGGGCTCGCGTCGTCTGCTTCTCCCCACATTGGAGGGCGTTACGGGAAGTCCCCCTGCGCGCCATGACCTGTCCACTTATAGTGGATCTGTCGTTCGATGACCCGCTACGATCAACCGAAATGACCCAGAGCGGCTGGGCATTACCTACGCCGATGGAACGCTTTGCGATCCAGAACATCGAGAGGACTCAAACGTTGATTGCGCCCGGACGACGCCTGGTCGATAAGCTCAAGACAAGGCGTCTTACTCTGCCTACCCTGCGCGAGCTTCGCTTTGGCCCGAATGGCCTGCCCGCAGATTTCGAGCCACAGTGGGAGTTGCCGGCGCTCGAAGTACTGTCGCTGCCCTGGACCGAGGGCTTGTTCCCTCCCACGATGGTGCCAGCATCGCTCCGCGAGCTACACTTGAGTGTCTACGCGGGCCGTATCAGCCTCGCAGACTTGCGCGCCTTCCTCCTCGCATGCTCGCATCTCGAAGATCTCGACCTCTCCGTCTCCGGCGAGTGGACGGACCACGTGCTCACAGACGATGTTTGGCCCGCCGAGCTTCAACCCGTACATTTCGACCATCTCAAGCGAGCAAGGGCACTCTGCGATGAAGAACGGTCTGCGGCAGATCTCTGGGCGCTTATGTGCGGCTCTCCCGAGTCGTCGATGAAGTTTACGTTTTGGGACGGGGACGACCCCTACAAAACACCCAGTTCGGCGCAGGTCCTAATGGACGCGTGCAAAAGCCACTTGTTGAGCGCGCTGTACGATACCGTGGGCATCCGTATATCGAACGCCATGGGGGAGAGCGACCTGATCCTGCGCCTTTCCTCATCGCGCACGCCCACGGCATTCTGCGAGCTCGCAACGCTCGCAAACGAGGCTCTCCGCCGAGAATTCCTGTCTATCCTACCAACGTACACCCTCGACTCCGCCTCCCATATCACTTCTCTTCACCTCGATCAGGTAGTGGTCGGTGAAGCCGCCGTTATCGAGGTGGTCGGCGATCTTTTTAGAGCGTTGAAGTGCGTCGAGGAACTAACGTTGACCGGGATGAACCCCTGGTACTCCGCGAAGCACCTCCGCGTACTCGCTTCCAACGCACCACGCACCGTTCTACCAGCTCTGACAACCCTTACGATCTCAAGCATGCACATCGACTTCCGCTTGGGCAACCCTATCGGCCAGGCCGGGCCGTGGTGGAGCACTCTAGCGAGCGTTCTATATGCGCGATGTAACGCGCTCGGATTTTTGCCCTTGAGGCTCGTGAAACTTGAAGGAATATGGAGTGGGCGAGGGTCGTGGGGGAGGACAGAGGACAGGTTCATGGAGAATCTGCGGACGGAGGGATCAGTAGACGAGTTGCGCGATGAGCGTGTGTGGACTATCTAGGCCTTTTCGCGCATCAGGCGATCTTGTAGTAAAACCTTGAAATCACATAGTTAAGTGATGTCGCTGCCAATCCTTGAGAAAACTTCCTTCCCGTTTGCTTCCCGTATCGCTTCAATGGTGCTGGATAGTGGTGTGGTAGACGTTGCGCTTGATCTTTACCCTAACCCGAGACTTGAACCGGGCCGATGACCGGCCCGGGCTGAGCACAACCAACGCGAGTGGTTCGTCTTCACGCTCATCTTTAACCACCATCTACCTCTTCCCTGAAGATATATACCACATCAGCCCTCGCCGAATCTGCCCACCCTGCTCCCTTCTAGAATGCCCGCACAAACTCTTCCTCCCGACATCCTACGGGAGATACTGGATCACGTCGCAGCTGCCGAACCAGCTGGCTATGACTTTCACTCGAGTTCGTACAAACTGGGCTGGATATCAACCACACACGTCTGCAGAAGCTGGAGATACGTTGGGCTAGGTGCTGCAGCCCTATGGGCAGACGCGGCCTGCGCCTTTCCGAATCCTACCATCGCGGACGAGCTCATTACGCGCGCTCGCGCTTGTCCTTTGAATATGACAGATATCATTCACGACGAGAAGGGCACCGACTCGCATTTATACCGTCGCTCTCGATTGCTGCCGCTGGACTGGGCCCTCAAATATAGAAGCCGCGCTCACCACCTCAGATGTACCATTTCCAAGGCAGCCATCGTTCGTGGTGATGCCGAAGTCAATATCTTGTTTAAGGATCCTCTACCTGTCGCCAAATTTGTGTCGATTGAGGTGGAAGGTCATCGACGTGACAAATCTGCCACACCCACGTTCATCGTAGCCCTCAACGCTCCTGTTTTGAGCTGCATCTACTCGATTGGTGTGCTGCCGTCCCCAACATCGACGCTGCCTAGCCTTCGCAGCCTACATCTACATCTGAAGACTAACAAGGCCAGGCCCATGGATGAAATGACCAATCTGTATGACGTGCTGCGGGGTTTACCTCTGTTAGAATTTGTCACTCTACGTATGGACGGCGCGGTCAAATTGTCGCGTGTGGATAGGACCACTGTTCACCTCGAACACCTGATATCCTTCGATGCGCACTGCTGCCCCGCGCGAGCTTTGGACATGCTCGAGACCATTGTCGCCCCTTCCCTGGAAGAGATCCTTGTAAACACTCGCGGCGAAGAAACGAGCAGCGAGTTCGTAGCACAAGTCCTCGCTCTTCAACAACGACGCCAGCCTCAGCTGCTCAACGAGGAATTCATATCCGTGTCGGACACATCCCTATCTCTGGCCGATACCGCATCGGACGAGCCGAAGCTAGTCCTCCGATTTCCCCAGCAGACGGGGTTGAGCTTTGTGGAGCTTCTGTTGGCGCTGCCACAATATTCGGACGTTACCCGATACCATTATTGTGCGCTCGTGGTGCCGGGTCGTGCGATACACTATGGCCTATATGCCGCCATGGTTGCCATAGGACGGGCAATGACACGGGTCACTACGCTTGTGCTCAGCGGGGAGGTTCATCAACATTTACTATGGATCCTTCAATCAACGACAGACGGCGAATCCTCCGCGGTCGTGCCGTTTCCGTCCTTGCAAACGCTGGGTTTGGGCATGGTGGACCTCCGTCCACTGCCACTAGACATGTGGGCTGGGAAAACTCTGGCAAAGAACACGCTGTCGTGGTGGAACGTCATGATGGATGTGCTGGAAAGTCGTTCTGAGAAGGGGAGCGGCGTCAGATGCTTGACGTTTGAGGGATGCGATTGTGCGCGGGGAGTGTGCACGCGGGTATGGACCGATCGATCAAAAGCCTCTTTAACCGAAGGTCTCATATCGGAGCTCGTTGATAATAGGAAGCGTATCTCGACTTGTTTCCTATGTAGATGAAGAGCGCGCATGTATGCATCGGTGCTATCCTGACTGTAGATAGATTTTGCAATGTGAGATCAGATTCAAGTACGCCCAGTACCTAGGCGAGAATTAGATAATTTGCCCCTCTGTGGCGGTAAGTTGCCCTCATGGGCGTGATCGCCTCGAGGAGCAGGTCATGGACAGGTCGCGTCTGTGGTTAAACCATGTGAGCGCGTCTCTGATCCCGGCTAATGCCGCACGCGCGCGACGTAAGCATCCATGATCCGCTAGCTCCAAGGACCGAGGGCTTGCCTTTCATTTCACAGACTCTCACTCCCTTTGCAGCCCTCTGCGGGCTCTTCTCCCTACTAGCATATGCCCATGGCTGCCGTGCAATATATCTGTCTTGGGTGTGACGCTATCGGGAATGCATCAAATCGTCTGTGGACATCGCAGAATGATGACATGTGAGCATCCGTGTGTATCTCGACAATCGTGCGTCAGCTGAGAATCCTGGGCAGGATGATTTCACGAGGGATGACTGCGTTGCGCCGTAGTAGAGTTCCTGTACGCTTTGCTATCGCAATATATCGTATTTGCACCCTACCGAGGCATAGCCCGAGTCCTAGCATTCCCCAGCACCGCCTCAAGATAACGCTCCGTCCTCTCAGGCCACTCTTAAGCCCTTCGTGCTTGCGAGTGCGCCATAAGCTATCTCCGCGCCCTCGACATGCGTTTGCGAGACCTTTTCCGTCGGCGTATCGAGTCTCGCGCAGTCACAGGCGCACCTCCGCTCAACTCTACGGACTACACATGCAATCTCCCCGACGACGTCGTCTACGAGCTTTTCGAAGCAGCGGCGCTCATCTATCCGCCGAGCGTCCTCGTAATGACGCCCACATCCGCCCAAACTCTTCGCGGCACGCACTCCCTGCTCGGTTGGGTGATCCTCACCCATATCTGCCGGCGCTGGCGGCACATTGGTCTATCCGCGACTCTCGCGCCATTGTGGGCGAGAATTGTGTGTTTGAGCTGGAAGCCGAACGTGGCTCTCGAGCTGTCTGAGCGCGCAAGAGGATGCCCAATCACGATTGACTTCTCACGACACAACGGCCAGTTCGGTCGAGAGCGCCGCGAACTCTCATCTCTCGAGGACTGGACATACCGGAATATCGGACGTACAGTTGCTTTGATCTCGCCGGGGCAAGCTCTAGTCAACAAGCTGAAGTCGCAAAAGCTTGTACTGCCGAACCTCCGCGAAGTGCGCCTCAGCGCCTCCGATCTGCCTTGGAACTTCGCTATCACTGCGCAATGGGAGTTGAGTGGACTACAGCGCGCGTGGTTGAACATGGCGCTCCTACCTTCTTCGATGGTTGCCACAGTCAGGGAGTTGCATCTGCGGATATACGCCTCCCATACGCCCCTCACGGAGCTGCACGAGGTGTTACGCGCATGTGTCCTCCTCGAACACCTCGACATATCTGTACATGGTGGATGGTCACATAAAGACTTGCCGGACAATGCCGTCGAGCGCGAAGCACGGAAAGGGTTCATTATATTCGACGGCCTCAAGACGGCGGAGGTCAAAGTTAGCGCCGACTCGATCTTGACGGACCTATGGAGTCCCATTCGCTGTCCGCCGACGTTGACGTTGCAAGTAAAGTGCGCGACGAACTTTTGGTCTGGACCTCTACCGCGGGTAGAGGGTCTATTGGAGGCGTGTAGGAGTCAAACGGGAAGTACGCTGTACGACGGAGTGGACCTGCACATGCCAGAGGGAAACATGCGTCGGAGTAGCATGCGTCTGCACCTTTCGTCGTCGTCGTCGAGCGCGTCCTGCGAGCTGTCATTTCTATCGGACAAGACTTCACGCCTCCAGATGCTACTCGCATTGCCCGCTTACATCTCCGGAGCCTCCATCACGCAGCTCACACTGGGAGGATCCCCTACAGCTGCGGACTTGGCGGATGCGGATGAGGCGATTTGTGTGCTCGGGGGAGCATTGTAGAACTTGCAAGACTTGAAGTTGAGAGGGATGGACTTCTGGGTCGCGGCGATGTACGTTCGGGCGCTGAGGCTAGCAAAGCCTTCGCCCGTAATGCCTGCTCTGCAGCGCATATCTCTATCCGACATGCATCATACAGACGCGCCCAACGGATCGGGATTATACCAGACGCGAATGTGGTGGGATACGATCGTATCGGCGTTGACCGCGCGAAAAGAAGCAGGGATGGGATGCTTAGACGTGTTGAAGCTTGACGGAGAGTGGACGGGTGGTGAGAGTGGTTGGAGTGAGAAAGAGGACAGGGAAGGTGCGGATGAGTGTAGGGCAGCAGGGCTTGTAAGAAGCCTAATCGATACTCGGGTATGGGTGAGTAGTACAACTTGGAGGATAGATGGGTGATAGATGTACATGGTTCGATGCGCACAATGGTCATGAAATGATGTAATTATAGTAAAGACAGCCCGTAAAGACAACCAAATTATGCTTTGGTACCACGGACCTCTCGTGCCCACTTATCGACGTCCGCCTTTGTAAGCTCAACACCATGTACGGCGCGCACATGCCGACGGACATCATAGGCGCGCGTGAACGAGTATTCGCACGCCTTTGGTGGAGAGTTGGATTCCTTCGCGCTAGATGCATCTGGTTCTTCTGCGCCATGCATTTCCAGGTCTGAGGCGTGTTCCTCCACGAGTTGATGGGGAAGGCCAGTGAAGGACGGATATGGACATGGCAGTGTGCGGGTCGCTCGTGCGGCTCGGGCATAGGCTGCGCCGGTGATGCCGTCGATGAAGTCGTTTGCGTTCTCCACGGCGGCATCGGCGCTAGCCACTTGCCTCGTAGCACCTTCCTTTGACTTGGATGAAGGACCAGGCTCCGCGTTGCGCGCCGTAGACACATACTCTTCGTCATCCTCCCCTCCACCATCTCCCTCGCCCTCTTCAATACTGGCTGATCTGCGCGCATGAGCGCGCGCGACATGGCGCTGCAGCAAGTGCTTATAGCCGTACGCCTTGTTGCATCCGCGCGCAGCACAGATAAAGTCTCGTGCTCCAGCATGTACGACGTGAGCATGCGTCGCGAGTGCTTTCTTCTGCAGTGAGGGTCAGTGTACCGCCAGGACGCAGCGAGAACGAGACCTACCGACTTGAAGTCCTTGCCGCACCTATCCTCTTCACACACCCAGTCCCTACCCAACTCTCCTCCACGTCTCCTCTTCTTCGGACGTTCTTCGGCATCGTCTTCCCCACCCTCATCGCCTTCATCATCCCCGTCGCCACCCATAGCATCTTCTTCCTCGTGTTGTCGGTGTATCTTCAAGTGGGCTCGTAGACCATCTCGTCGAGCGAAGGTCTTCCCGTCACAGGATGGGTATGGACATGTCGGCGGATGAGCGGTGCGAATGTGTGCTTGGAGCGCGGTCCAAGTGGAGAAGTTCGCATTCTCGCATTGAGCTAGTGTACATGTGTAGCGAGACTCTAGGTGGAAGGCTTGAGGTAAGAACCGCAAGGTAGCGTGTTTGAAGGGCGGAGCTACATACCATCATGCACCTTGACGTGCGCCTTGAGCTTCTGATTGGTGGCGAAGCTTTTGTCGCAATCTTCGTGCGTGCAGCGGTAGGGCTTCGTACCCGGAGGCGAGTGTACGGAGGCGATGTGTGCGCGTAATTGATTATGTTTGGCAAAGCCTTCGGAACAATCTGGTTCCGTACACTGTGTCCAAAGTAGTAATTAGTTCACGCTGAATTGTATAATTGAAGGCGCACGCACAGTAAAGTGTCGCTCTCCTTGATGGATCGTCTTATCGTGTACCTCGAGGTGTTGTGTCGTCCAAAATCGTTTACCGCATCCAGATACATCGCATTGGAGAGGGCGCGCCGACTCGGGAAGATGTGAACGCGTGTGCGCCTGCAAGTGCGTGTCCCGGAGATATGATTTATTGCATGTAGAGCACACAAAGGGGCGCTGGAATGCCTCAGCTTCAGTCTTTAGGTCGTGAAGAGATAAAATCGCGCACCTCGCCAGTATGCGAGCGTGTGTGCTCGGCAAGACGCGCAGCTTTGGCGTAGCTCTTATCGCAGCCATCGAAGTCGCAAGCATAACGTTTAATATTAGGAGCGCCAGTACTCCTAGCACGCTTCTTGGAAGAGCGATGCCGTATTTCATCTAAGCGATCTCCCTCGCCAACTTCGTGAGGCGCCTCCGACAGTTCATCCTCCAGATTAAAATCCGAATCTTGTCTATCCGAGTCGTCGGTAGCAGAGAGATGTAGCACAAGAGGCTTCTGGCTGCGCGTCTTGCGCTTTCCGAGGACAGTACTCGTCTCCGTGAACGAGGTCATCATGGTGAGGAAGACGGTTGAGGCTTGAAGCTGAAGCCGCGACGCACAATGCGAGGCAAAATCCTAACCCTAACCAGATTCTGCCCGGATCGGCGGCCGGCTTGAGCGGCTTGTAGGCGCGCGCCAACTCTCCTTCGAACGTTCATAGCGCCCCGCGAACCACAGCATGATCATCCACACGCCACGGCGTATAAGTAGAGGGATCCTCGTCCTCGCTTCTGACCTTTACCTTCCATCGTCGTAGGATTCCCTCTTGTCCTCGATCTTCTGGGGATTCGCCACGATGTCTGTCATCGACCTACCTATCGACGTCGTCTGCGAGTTCTTCAGACAGGCTGCTCTCGCCGATCCGCCACGACGCAAGAAGGGCGACACAATCGACGATCTATATTTCTCCCGCAGCCGTCCTCAGGGCTTTGCCCTGGGCTGGATCATACTCACGCATGTCTGCCGCCAATGGCGCACCATCGGCATCGAGCATATGGCGCCTTTGTGGGCTTCCATTGTAACGGTCTTTCAAAAGCCAGCTATCGCGGATGAGCTCGCTTCCAGAGCACGTGACTGCGATCTTAATTTGAACGTTACCGGCTGGTATGGGAGCCCGTCTCCCAAACAGAAAGAGATGCACGATTGGGTTGTCGAGCGTGTACAGCGTGCACGTTCCCTGTACTGCCACCCTCCACTCAACATCAATCGCGCCGGAAACACGATGCGGGCCGCTCTTGATGGGAACCACCTTCCTGCCCTTCGGCAGCTCGACTTGAGGTCCGACCCTAGCTACCACAACGACGACTCGTTGAATATATTCGAGCTCAATGCACCGTACTTGATCACCGCGAACTTGTCGAACGCGTTACCTGCACCTTCTTCTTCGCTGCAAAACCTGCGCGAGCTGCAGCTCGATTTTGCGCAGAGCCTGTCTCCTATCTCCATGAAGCGAATCATCGATCTTCTCCGCGTACCCGTGAGACTCGAGAAGTTGTCATTGCGCTGCACGCACCGCATCACCGCGCCTGAGGATCCGGACTCAGTTGCCGATGTCGTTAAGCTCGAATACCTCACCAAGCTCGAGCTCGTCCTTCGGGACGCAGACCATGCTTCCGAGTTATTGGATAGTATCAGCGCCCCGAGCGTCATAATCTTCAAGCTGAACGTACAACTCGCCCCGACGGAGTCCTTGCATAAGCTGCTCGGAGAGTCAATTCAGCCGTACCTCGCTCAGCAGCCGTTTGACATCGTATCTTTCACGACGAATCAGCTCATCCTCGCGCAATCTCACAACCACGACGGCGATAGTGCCGGCAGACTGGACTCTGTATTCGCGTTGTACTTCCCTCAAGTCTCCCAGCCGAAGGCGTATGCCGAAGTACTCGACGTCCTCGCAAGCAACTCTGCTTCCACGTTCTCGGCCATCATCCGTTGCGAGCTCGGACCCGCGGTGGACCATCAATATGATCCATACGATTTGGAAAGGCCAGAGACTGTCACTGCATTCAGGGCAGCTCTCGAGCGTATTGGGGGTGTCATGGTGAACGCCTCCACCGTGTGTCTCCCCGGAGACACCCTGCACTACCTCGCGCTTGAGCTCATGGCGCAGCAACCGCCGGACTCATTCTTCCCCGCGTTGAAGAGACTCGGCGTCGGAAACGGTAACGATGGGCTTACGAAGTACACGGAGGAGAGTGCGGGTATGTGGTGGGATACCCTGCAGGAAGGGCTGAGGAACCGCATGCGCTCCGAGAAGCCCGTGACGAGCGTGGTACTGGAAGGCAAGTGGTGTACACGCGAGCCGTGGACGCACGCGTGGACGAGGAGGGTGATGGAGAGTCGCAAGATTGGGCTGACGGAGAAGGCCATCGACGTGCGGGATCTGCTTAATGCGTGCCATTATTGCCAGATGAACCTTTTGGGTATCATGTCCTGGATCTGATGATACCTGTACGATACTAGTATATGCTCTCAACTGTTTCACGCATGCGATTCCTGTATGTGCACTGAGCTGTTGTGGCACTGTACGAGTACACTACATGCTGGACGCTGGACATAAAGTGTATTCAGATGTTGTATCCTCTGTATGTAGACTTCTCGTTCCGTCATTCCGTCAAAACATGCATATGTACACTTCAAATTTTTAATGATTACAGAACGAAGGCGTCGAGTCGCAAATGACGCAGACTGTCTCCCACTCTTGCATATCTACAATTTCTTGTAGAAGACCACGGGAGTAACACTCGCTAGCTTCAGTGTCCCTCGTCTCCGTCCATGTCGTACGTTGAAATAGTTCTCCTTTCCCTTCAATTTCGATCCTGACAATAGGTGCGCCTACGTCTTTCCGCATCTCCAGGAACTCCCTGATTCCCTTCCACCAACGCTGGATTCCACCTTCCCTGCCGCCCAGGAAGCCCAGAACGCCGAGACCAACTTTGAATCTCAGGGTTTGCAATGCTGGAAGGAATAGGGGTCGCGGCTGTTGTATGATGTAGCCGAGAAAGGCGAGTTCCTCTGCGTGAGCCCACAACTCCAGGACGGTGGTATCGGTCAGAACTTGTCCTAGTCCAATGAGTGCTGTCCCAAGTGTGCTGTCCATGGCCTGGTGAAGGAGACCTTCTCCAAGTAGCTCGGAGACGTGGAGTTCATGATCTCTGTTCCGGTACGGAAACGACACGGAGAATTCTGTGACGCGTGTGAGCGCCGACAACTGGCCCGATGTGATAGATGTAGCCACATCATTCATCAATTCCGCATAGCTCGAGGTGTGCATGGGTGGATAGGTAAATACGAATGCAGAAGGTGTCACGGATTGTGTAGTGAGATCGATTCTATAAGCACAGATTGAGAAGCGCTCATAGGGGACGTATGCTAGTTGTCGTCCGAATGCTTCTCCAAAAACCAAGTCGGGTGACCACCCCTTGTCGACGCAAACAGCGACCACCCTAGCATTGGGTGCTTGGACACGCGCCCATAGATCACATAGTTGAGCGCAATTGGTGCTCGCAAATGAAAGGACTTTCAGATGCTCCAGATGCACGTCGATAATTTCCGAATCAGCGGCCGAACCGTTCCACTCGGCGGAGTAGATGCGTCGACCTCGATGGTATAGTTTCAGGGAAAGGCTCTCCAACCCCGGCGTTGCACGCAGTAGCTTCATGAGCTGGTGCGATGTCAAGTATATTGCGCCCGAATCGAAGCGAATGCTCAAGTCACGCAGGTTATGAAACCCCGCCGATGATGGTGATGGTAGAGCATTGATGAGATCGGCAGACTGAAGTGCTGGAGTATTGAGGATGAAAGACTCGGGTTGTGAGGTTGGAGAAAAGCGCTTTGAAACCAGGGTCAGATCCCGCAGGTTGGGAAGATGCCGTCCATCAATGATGGGGAGAAGCGCCTGGGTGTGCGAAGGATCAAGATAATGCGCAAGTGAGGCACGTATAGTATGAGCGCGATCGAGGTTTGCGATTGCCCACTCGAATGCGGAGGCTGCGCGATGGGCTGAAGTGGACTCAACATCCCATCCTCCGATGATGTCGATAGACAGGGCACAATTTCGAGCCCTTGATGATAGCTCTTCCGCAATGGCCGCGTCGTGAAAGGTAGAGACGACGGAAGCCCATAAGAGAGCGGCTTCGATACCGACCGTGCGCCACAGATGGCAGACGTGCGTCAATTTCATCCAACCGAGTTCGAACTCGTTGGGCAACCCCTCGGCACTGTGAGCTTTACATCCTGATGGATCTTCGAGGGCCGCCCAGACGAATAATTCGTAGATGATGTCCCTTGGCAGGCGGGCCGCGAGACCAGGCATGATGATGTCTTTCAAGATTATGGCAACGATGAATGGTGTAGGCTTCCAAGAGGTGGAAGGCTGGAAATGGTCGACGGACGATAGTTGGAAGCAAGCTGGCCTTCGCGCGATCGTCATCAGCGCTTAGTAGCGCTTTAATTAGCTTCAGCGCTCGCGCGAGGTCAAGTCCGGCGTCCGGCGTCCGACCCGGTTGCCACGATCCGCGAGTACAACAATGCGATAACGGGTTTCGCAAGCAAAGTGGAGAGTATAAGGAGAAGCAAGACGACTGTAGCGTACGCGATACAGGACAAAGTAAAGTACAGGTTGTATGAGAAAGGCTATATAGGTGAGCTGGATTCAGAGCTGTCGTGTTACCCTATGTAATGGGCTTCATGAATCCAACGCTAGGAAGAGCGCGACCGCACTTCCGCTCAACGCGAGAGACGGCGCCTGCGTATATGTATCAGCACAAAGAAAGTCAAATGTTGCGTCAATGACGTACCCAGACCATAGATTGCTCCCAGATGGCACGCGCAGCGCCAGTCAAGCTCTCATACACCGGCATTGCCTGCACGGCTCGCAAGGCGAACCAATCACGCACTCTTGCAGCATGTATGGCCGCCGCCCTCCTTGCCAACTCCTCACCCTCCTCGCTATTGATGAGGATGTACGTGAACGCTAATGAGCCTGGGTCTGACGCCTGATGCGCGGCGAGCGCGGCGAGCACAGGGTGTCTCGCCAGTCGTGAACAAAATTCCGTGTCGTCCGATATGGTCGAAAGCAGGACATGTACGGCGGCCCGCAAGTTCAGTGCTTTCAGCTTGATGTGTGTCTTGGGAGGTTCAGAAGGGGGTACGACGGCTCGCTTAAGGCGTGCAAAGTCCTTCACGAGAAAGAAGGTGCGGGCCCGTGCAGCGATAGCGTGGACGATCAAGGGGTGGCGCAGTATGGTGTGGACGGGAATAGTGGTCTCCGAAGGGATGTCTGGAGTACCCGGCGCCGATATTAGCTCTCCTGCAGGTTTGCAAGGAGCTTGAGCGAGAGTATCAGCATCCATGGCCGGTACGTTGTCGCCGGAGATGGGCTGTTCGACGTCAACTACGGCCGGGGCGTCGATGAGCTCAAAGGAAATGGGTTCGGAACCCGGGGACGTGCTGAGAGCATCGGATTGGGTAGAGTGCTGTTCGATAGAGGTCATGGCTGTTAGTGAGGGAGAGCGACTGGATTCACGAGGCGCGTACTTGAGGAAGTTGTATGCACGGACGCGTCGCCTCGGCGCGGTCCGGCAAGCCTGACCGGAGTTAGCCAGGCAGACTCGCCACGCAATCCCATCGCTCCGAGAATGACTGCGCCTCGTACGCGTGTGCGTACACAACCAGCTGTCCCGCATCGTGCCGTGCGCTTTGCGTGTCGGTCAAGGCACCGCCGAGGATCGCCTTCCGTATTATAGGGCCGGAATGTCCTTCGGGGAGTACCGTGCTGTATTAGCATGCCGCCAGCGCGCTCTGATGTTACATCCACTGGTGCTTAGACATCGGCTTCAGCCGCAGACACCAATCATCAGCTCTTGTGCGAGTGAATTGTGCACGCTGCCCGTGGCAAGGAGTCGACCGTTACCGAGGCAAGTCGTACGGTGAATACGGAAGGGTAGGCTCGGGGGCAACAGCAGTATGACATAGAATTCCGGGATGTGTGGATAACATGTGAGCCGCAAGCGATAGAAGGTGATGCGGGAGAGATGGAGGTTGTCGAGGACAAGAGGCGCGCGGCCAAGGGGCGACGACGAGGACCAGCGAGCACCATGTCGCGACTTCGTGGGACTTGCTTCTGACTCTCATCGCATTTTCATCACCGTCATCGAGCTCAATGAAAGTTTCGGCTTTTGCTCTAGTCACAGCGTCGGGCTATGACGCGCATACATACGAGTCCGGCTCTCGTGAATTGTATCATGCATACATTGTACAAGGAAGTCAAAGCTCCACCAAATTCTCATCGCGTTGCAACCCCGCCCGTTAGCTCCGCCAACTTCCCCCTCTCCATCTCGATCTTGCTCTCCAAAGCCGGGATCATGGCATCAAGTATGACCGCCTGGGCGCCTACTCTCAGCCGCAGCTGTTCGTCGGACATGTTGCTCTGTGTCGATAGATGGTAGTCCAATACCTCCCTCATCTCTTGCCAGAGGCAACGAGGCGCGAGGTCGAGGCGAGCAGACTCATCAAGCGTCAACCAATTTGGTAGCTCGTCTACCAGTGCATTGTCCCCGATACTCTCCTTCCATGGCATTGGCGCCGATTTGATTATGTCGTGTGCCAATAGCCTGCGCGCATTCTTGCGCATGAATCTCTCGTGGAACTCGATGATCTGTTCCTGTAGCGCGATCTTCTCTTGAAGCGTTGGATATGTCAGACCCATGTTGGCGTCGAGGAGATAGCGTGGTTTGTGATGTGCCGCGGGCGAGTAGAGTGGCGAATGAGGGTGGGAAGAGCGTCAAGTCGCTGGCATTTATTGAATGTCTTTTGGCCATTATATGCCATGTTCTGACAGTCCTGTGGCTCACTGTGTAGATCATCATGGAACCAACCATCTCAGAACCGGCCATGTCCTTCCATTCGGGGAGAAACCACATATTTCGACTATTGTTTGCCATGATGGATGGACACATGCCGTCTTAAGTCACGCGTCTTTCACACAGACGGTATTCCCCGTAGCAGCTGTGGTTGATGCTGACGACAGCTGCGCAGAGTGGTTCTACCCGGCGGCATATATGAGCGACACTAAACCCCGCCCTCTTGTCCTCAGTACCCCTGCCTTTCCTCCCAAGGTGTCACTATGTCCCCCACTCAACTGCCGTCTACGACGTCCTGGCGCACGCTCAAAGTGCGCTTTATCACTGACGACAAAGACGTCGAGAAGCTGGTCCTGTCCCAACTAGACGTCGTACTGGACAAACCCACCATACTGCCCGAGCACGTTTATCTGACGTCGCCGGTCCGGATCCATCGCGTCTCCGATGTGATGAAGGCCGATTTGGACCTCGTGTACAACGCACAGACCAAAAAGCTGAATGTGTTCCCCTGTGGTGCATATCTCGGCTTTGCCTTGTACATGCCTCGCCTCCCGATCTCCTTTGACCATCATGCCCTGCGTCAACAATACGGAGGCGGCGCGAGCGCTCTCCCACCATTGGCGGCATACATCATGGATGCGGCTCGCGCTTGCGCAATCATCAAGCATAGCAACGAGCGCTCGGGCCCACGCGACATACGTAGCGACGTTACAGTTTGGATGAGTGTCGTAGCGAGCGGGCCAGAGAACCCTGAACAGCTACCGGTATCGCCAAGGCGCGACATGATACCTGGCGGTACCGTACAAGAAAAGCACCGAAGCCGTGGCCAGAACATTGGATGGGGCGTCAACCCGAAGGATGGGTACGCAGTCACGGTCATGTCCCATGCAAAGTTGCACGGTGGTCTGCATGTTGCCTTGGTCAGGATTGACAGCGCTACTCTCAAGCCCGGTACGCACGCTTGCTTTCTACGCTTTTTTGTGCCCTCGCAACTGATGGCGGACCTAGAGCTCATCCTGAACGCCCGGGTCGAAGCGTGCGGCGAGCAATTGTTGTCTGCGAGTGATGCCCAGGGCAATGTTCAAGGCATCCTTCGCTTCGCATACCACGACGAACTTCCCTTCAACGTCGATCTGGTATATGTTGTCCTCTCGACGGAGCGCATCGACACCATCAGCGAGATGTTGTTGGAGGAGAAGGCTTGGGATGCGCTCTATATCAGGGTTGCTTGCTGCCCGAGAACGGGGCCCAAGAAGTTGGATCCGGCAACCGTTCTTGAGAATACTAAGAAGCTGTACCTGTAAACTGTAGTATGCGCGTTGCAAAAATACGTCAAGGGTTATGATATACCGAATCCCAGAAGCTAAGAGTGAAGCTACAAGATAACTCAACCAAGTAAAGGGATAACTCAGATCAGGAGGCTCAGAACATACTCGCCACTACATCTACACCCGCCTTGCGCCTATGCAAGCCTTCACTCTCGTCGGTCTCATCCCCGCTAGACTCGCTCGCACTCTCATGCTCGTGCGAGCCCTCTTCGTATATTACCCCGAAGCGCTCGGCAATTTCGCGCGCCTTCGCTTCGCGCCACTCACAACCATCGCGGTACTCGCAGGAGCTGCCATGGAGCTATGAGTGAAGACCAAAGCGAGAGTATGAGATTACGCACAAGCATCGCCGCGATAGTTCGACGGGTACGCCTTCCGGTTCCCGCTCGCCCATCCACCATCCGAGCACGCGATGTAGGTGTGCATCGAGCTCGCCCTCGTCCATCTCGAACGTCCTCCGTCCGATGATGCGCCCAGCGTGCCTACCAGTATCTTCCGCCACCACATCATCTTCGCTGTGCTCCGATTCGGCAGCTTCATCCTCTGCCGCTCGCCCCAGAAGAGGCTTCGCACTCGCTTCGCCCTCATCTTCCGCAGCAGATGCACGGAGGTAATCAACAGCTCGAGCGCCCACGTCTTCAGCTTCTCTCGTTTGAGAAAGGGCGTCCACTTGAGCATCCCCGACTCGTGAGACCGCGGCCTCCTGTGCAGCCCATGCCATCTCTCCCAATGCGCTATCCAACGTACGGCCAAGATGACTGTTGACCTGGACGGGACCAGCGGAATGTGCGTTGCGTTCGAGGGATGCTCCCAAGGGCGGCATGATGGCGTCTAATGATGGCATGACCGAATCGAAACTCGCGCCCATGCCAGATGCGCCCATATCTCCCGCATGGTCTGCTAAGCTCGCAGCAATCGCACGCTGAAGATCCGTGTCCTCGTTCTCATTGAAGTCTCGCAGACCGGCTTCGGCCGCCTCTTGAGCCCTCCTCCAAGGCTTCGGCCTACGTCGCGCGTGCTGGGCGCGGTATACGATCTCAAGCGTGCTGGAGATATTGACAGTGGAGCCGGTGACTGCATCAGCGGTGGGTCGCAGCGCGTCGACGAGGTCGTCGAGAGTCCGCGGAAAGCCGACATAAACGTCGTCGGGTTTCTTGCTCTTCGTAGACTCCGTTGCATCTCGAGCATCTGAGCTTTCTGAAGCGACTGATTGGACGAGGAACGTTTGCTTTAGAAACGTGTCGGAAAGCGGCGCGCTAGCGTTCACACCGACGCGCGTCCAGAACGCAGCCCAATCGAAGCGGGGATCCAACACTTGCGCAAGAAGTCGGTGGTAGAGCATCAACTACATGACATGCATGGTCGTCAGAGTACTATTGCATCTGGAAGATGTCGTATACGGACCTGAAGGCGAGCGGGTTGCGCATCCTCATCAGAGGGAAGGCTAGGGGCGAGGCGCGTCTTGCTATCTGAGAGGTGAAGCTCGCGCGAAGGCGCCGGCTGATGGGAGGTACTAGCAAAGTATGACGTCAGACTCGTCTGCTGATGCTTCCCGTTCGACGGCCAAGCATTCTTCGTTGACGGTGTTCTTGCCGAGTCCTCGGATAGCGGACGGCTGGCGATCTCGTCCTAGCGATGATTGCATCAGGATGCGACACCGAAAGAGATGGGCCGAAGCATACGATGATGCCAGTCACAATCCGCTCATGCAATACACCGAATACGGGCATCTCACGCTGAAAAGTCTTATCTCAGAACTCATAACGAGGCCTCAACCAAAACGACGTACGCAGAATCCATGCGTAAGAAGGTCGTCCAGACATGCGTTCATTTGAATCAGTCTGTGGATCGGATCTGAATATCATTTGACGCACAACGCCGACACTTCGAGCTTACTTTAGGGCCCAACGTTCCGTTTCGGTGTCTACTGTCACCTCGATGTCTTCAGGCCGCAGCTCCCTTTCAAGCTTCTTGTGTATCGCCTATCGCGCGAGGTCAGCACAAGTAGGAGAAATCAAGGACCAAGCCTTACGCTTCCGCGACGTTGTATTCTATCATTTTTCTTGGCGACCTTGCGCTCAACCGTGATGGTCTTACCCGCAGCGGTGACGAACGACGACGGGCGTTCAGCTAAGTTCTTCTTCCTGCCCTGCCGTAGCCCATAGTCAAACTGCACCTCGCACCTAGTCATCTGTATAAGCAAGTGTGGTACAAGTCTACTTCAGAAACGTACCAAGAGGGTCCAACGAGGTCCGACACGCTGAGAGTACCCCTGCGCTCCCGGTACCGGGCAAACGGGCTCGCTCCTGTTTCATCGACGCGCTCGTCGGTCTTCCGCCTCTTTCTCTTCTTGCGGTTCTTTGATTTTGACTTGGTAGCGTATTGGCGTGCATTCTTCTGAGGCGAGTCAGCAGGCGCCTCAACGCGGGTAGAGGCCGAGGTTGAAGCACCCAAGTCAGGGGTGGGCGACAAGCTGAGGACAACGGCGTCGACGGCCACAAACTCGTCGTCGTTGAATTCGGAGAGGTTGTATTGGTCGAATTCGTCCGCGCTCGCGTCGCCCATGGTATTGTTGTCGATACTGCGCGTAGTGATGGGAGGCTACGAACGCTTCGGGCGAGCATGCGCTTGCGAGAATGGGCACAGAGTAATTTAAGATAGGTCACGCCGCCATTCACGCGTATTACGGTTTAACGATAGGTCTGAAGCAAGCGAAGGCGCTATCGCCACCTTTTCCGGTCCGGTCGTCGTCGGAGTACAAGGCAACTTACACGCGTCGCGATGCGCATTGGGTCATCGGCGCGTTTTGTCACACTGTACCAAACGCGGGCTGTCACAAAGACTTTCGTGGTACTTAGTTGGTAGACGGCATGGCTAGGATGGTCAGACGTTCAAGGTCTTCTAAAGGCGTGTACAATGTGAGGTAGAGGATTGTATTCATTCAGGGTTAAATCCGCGAATTCTACATTCCACCGTCTCCCGCCGATCTACAAGGCTCTGTAGAAGACCGCGCGCAAGGCATCGTTCTCCCATCATCGAGACCCGCTCACTGGTGAGAGTCATTGAGCGCTCGACTGCTGCTCGCGGCGCCCGTCTGTTCGCCAATGGCAGGCCAGCTCTGTCCGGGCATCATGAAGTTGCCCCAGAATCTCGAGTGACTGATGGCCTTCATCGGCGCGGGCGTGTCTTCCTCAATAAGAGGGAGGGCGCCTTCAAATGCGAAGCCAGAGTCGGCGCCCGTTTGCTGTTCGTCGGTCGCGCGTGGCCGCAATACGTCCTCTGCGGTCGGTTGGCTCGATAGTAGTGACGTTGAAGCTGCTGTCTGCGGAGTGTCTGGTTCTGGAGGTATCGGATATTTTGCAATCGGGTCGTGCGAGTTCGGCTGCTGCTCCATCATCGCCACAGATGCGGCGACAGGTTGCAGTGTTTGAGCGACGTAGCTTGATTGAACCTGCCGACGTTCTTGTCCGCTTCGCTGCTGGTTCGCTCCAGGACGATCATGACGAGCAGAGACACGGGCGGCAGCGGTAGCAGCGTCACGTCGATGCTTGGCCAAGATTCGGCCAAGGAAGTCGCTATACAGGCGCGGTGTATGAGTCTCATCAATGGCGATAGCGGGAGCGGCGATAGTGTGCACTAGGCGCTCGATGTTACTGTAGACTTCCTCGGCAAATCCCTGGTGTGAGAAGACGCGGCATTCGGGACGGAGGAGCTTGAGCATGAAGGCGCTCGCGAACGCCGCGTAAGCGAAGTGGCCGTCGGGTGCGTAGCGGAGGTACCCTGATTGCGCGAGCGAGTCGATGAGTACGTTGACCACCATGCGCGCCGCTTGCAGGCTCTTGGTGAAGATGATCTCGTCGTTGCGCTCGAAACCGCGCTCGAACGCTTGCTGGAATGCGAACGAGAGCACAACGAGTCGGCTGTAGTTCACGTAGAAGGGCAGCATCATACATCTGAGGTCTGCGGCGGGGTCTGCGAATAGTGTCAGTGCCTGGTATGCTGACGTGTGAGGGACGCTCAACGTACTGTCATGGTCACTATCGCGCTGAAACCTTCCAGTCCACACTTCGAACGTCTTCTCAAGCTCTTGATCGTACTTCAACGCGATGCTACGAAAGTCCACTATCTGTTTTAGGCCTGTCGACGGATAGGGCTCGTCGGATAGTTCAGCATGAAAACGCGTGAGCACTCCCATGAGCGACGAGTACGCAACGAGATGAATGTCGAAAGGGTCGCTGTTCGGCGAGCAGTTGTACCATTGGTGACCCTCGCGAACGATCTGATCCTCCTTCAGCGTGCTCGGTTTCCCAAATAGCGTTGCCGTCGACTGGTCCAGGTTGTAGCATATAATCCAGACTCGTGTGCGATTGTTGAACTCGCGAGCCTCAGCTTCGGTCCTGGCACCACGGTTGTTGGGTGTGTACAGGTTCAAGTCCATCGCGAGGCGTATAGCAAGACCAGTGTAAAGCCAGGAGCGGTCTTCTTCCCACCGGCGGGCAGGGATGGAGTAGATGGACATGAGTATATATGCCTGGCACGACTCAATGCTCTTCCAGCCGTCCACAAGCGCCTGTGCCGCCGCATTCTACGAACGAGCGTAAGCAGTGACTCCAATCAGATAGATGTGGCAAATATACCTTGGCGAAGTGCATTGCAGTCAAGTATGCGTCTTCGCGTTGACTGTATCGTAGAGCGATAGCACAGACGACTGTGAAGAGGAAAGGACTACGGCTGAATGTGTTGCTAGGCGTGTGTAGAACTGGATCGAGCACACCAACGAAAGGGTTCACCCGCGTATGGAATCTGTACGCCAGCATCAAGTTAACTGTTGTCGAATTGCTGAGGAACGAGTGATGAAGACGCACATCTGGAAGAGTCCATTAACTTCCTCAGGTGTGACTAGCCCATGCACAAGAAGATCCGGCGCCGCTGCCTGATTTATCAAGCTGATCCTTTTACTCAGGTCCGAGCTAGGACCAGACTCGAAATAGAACGCATTAGCGATTCCGACCGGCTCCTCATCCTCGCCGTATTCGATCACTTCAGTCCCACCCTCTGATGCCTCTTCCTGAACATAATCGCCCACAGGCGGTGCGCCGTCTCTCAATCCAGTCACCGACGCAGACGCGGGTGGTCTGGTTTTGTTGCGAAGGGGGGCATGGTGGGTGTAGGACAAAGAAAGTGCTAGTTGGGCAAGAGCACCAATGGGAACGGAAGGATTTGCGGGCAACGGGGCGGACTCGGATGAGCTGTGTAGGTCAACATCGGGGGAGATTGCGGTTTCGTCGGCAACGGTCGAGCCAGATAGCGTTCCGTTGTAGTCCGAGGCGTCATCCGCGCGATGAAACCCCGTTTTGAGAGGCTCGGATACAACCAGTGAGGACGGCAGTTGGTCAAGCCATGCACTACCCAGGTGTCAGTACGTGAACATATCAAGTGTAAGTTGACACACATGACGTTTTGCCTCTGAGGGTCGTTGTCGGGGGTAGCTACACGATAGGCCGCAATGGAAAGTGGTGAGGCGAGATATGGGTTGTGCTGTTGCTTGATAAGCCTCGCAATGATACTATCTTTCCGCCGCATCTGGGCCAAGAAGTCTGCAGGTTTCATACTGCAGAGAGAGATGGTGAGCAAACGAAGAGTTGTCACAGAGAATAGCAGGGCGGAGTCCATGTGAGACGTACCTGAGTGCGCTTTGAATGGTCCGACCCTCCATGCCACAGTGATGGTTTCCTGCGCTGCACCGCTTGCAGATGTTCGCACCAGGCGGAAAGTCGCACTTCATGTCAAAGCGCCTGCAATACGTACAGGCATCGAGTCTTTACATCAAGAGGGTTCCAGGGGGTTGACGAGCATAAGGACAGAGAAGATGGATGGAGAGTGAGTGCCAAGGTCAGTGGTGAGCTCTGACGACAATCAGATAGGTAGAGAGAACTACGCACAGCTTGACAGGAGGATCGGTTTGTAGGGAACCAGTCTCGGCGCTGAGGGGACCGAGGTCAGTTGCATTGAACGTGTTATCCAAGTTGCTCGAAGTAGTCTCTTTGTGACTCTCGGGGGAAGGATCGCGATCAATGGTGGGGGTGGAGGGCGAGCGAAGCATTCCTGAAGGTACCCCTATCAGTCTGGCTATCACGACATAGTGTATACGGCACTCACCAATCCCATGTCCATCGACAACGACAGAAGAACGTTCGTCTTGTTTCCTGGAGAGTAGCTTCCTGTACATGGGAATGTCCAGATCATGGACTAGAGCAACCTGCGCGCTGGAGCGCTAGTGTTGATCAATCAGTTCATCATAGGAAGCGAGCGTGAGACTCAGAGTCGACATACCTCAAGTATATAGTCCAGTGCTGGTGTCAACGAGTCTTCGAACTGTAGGTCATACAGTTAGCTACGAAGGTATAACCAACCCGCGTACAGAAATCGGCGTACCTCGTCACGTTGGGGCGATTCCTCCAGTTCTATTTCTTGATGTGCATCATTCTCCGCTCGGGCGCCCAAATCGGGGCCAACATTCACATTGGCGCTTCTCTCTGCCTCTTCATCTTCATGCCTGTCCGGCTCAGATCCGGCGATCACTAGCAACCTCGGACAAACGTCGTCATTGGGATCATCGCCTACGTCTGGATCGCGAGGTTCAGCGTTCGCCTTGATAGCGAGACCTAAGATGCCGCGTTTCGCGCGGATGCGGCGGATGAAGATGGCTTGGTTGGCCTTTACGTTGGGTCCGTCGTCCGTGAGCGGCGTAGAGTTGGTCATGGCGGCCTGATCGTGAGTCCAGCTCAGCGTCGCAGCGGCGCGTATACCCCCGACGGTAACATATTCGATGTCAAGACCGAGGCTGGTCTCGAGACTGCCGCTAGTAAACACCGCGTTGGCCCATGACGCTGTGAGGTCTACGCCGGTGACGAAGACCAGGTCGTCTACGGTCAAACCCTCGTCTTCGAAGAACCTGATCCAGCTTCGGAGGTGTTTCACCGCGTACTGTTTGTAGAGTCTGACACCGCGCGGTGATGCGTCGATCGTGATTATACGGGCTGGACCGGGCGTGACAAGAATAGCTCCTCGTTGCCGGGTCGTCCTGAAGCTGAACGCGCCCTGTAAAGGAATAAGGCTCTGCCTGTACAGAACGATCATGTCATGAGTGCACAGCCACGCGAGCGAAGGTGTTGGCTGATCACACCCGCTTCCACCGGCGCTCACACTCAACTGAGTGACGCTGTTCGACTTGAATAGGCTCTTGTCAATTTGTCCCTCCTCCAGTCGGATATCGGCACGATTTAAGACCTCAAAGCCAGCGGGTAGGCGAGATAAATCGGGTTGACCGTCACGGCCTGGTTCTTTGTGCACGTTGAATAGACGGACAAAACGGCCGTTGGACTGCCTTTAAGAACGACGCGCGTGAGTGCACACTCGAATTGCGCAAGGAAGAGCAACGTACTGTATGTAGCCTACGTCTCCAAGGTCTACTTGAGGAAGACATGTGCCGGTGCCGGGTACGAATCCTGGCTGAGGGTCAGCTATAGGATAGCCGCGGTCAGGATAGGCGTCGGATAGTTCAGCAGAGTAGTCCTTGTGGGAAACCATTGCGGGGGGTCATCGACTGCTGGGGACGATACGGCGGGGTAAAGCGATTTATAAAGTATAGATTGGAACTTTCATGGTCAGGCACGAGTGTACAAGGTATGCATGTATGCAGAAAAGCCATCGACGAAGCCATGAGGAACGAGTCTGTAGACTCTCACAGGTGTACATCGAGGTAAACGAATGTACATAATTAGACGAGCCGGCTGTACCGCGCACAGCCTGTCATATGGGCGTAGCTTCGTATCGTTGACAATGGCATTCAGAAAGGTGGAGAGCTGTGCAAGAGCTTCCTTCTGATGGAGGAAATGGTGAGTACAACACAGTAGATGTTGAAACGTGCAGATGGTGGTCGGGAGCAAACCGCGCGAGTTGTGACTTCATCGTGCACGCGTCGAAAAGTTTGACGCGCACAGCTCTTGATCTCTACCTTCCACGATGTCCAAGCTCAACGCCGGCGCCTTCGAATTCGTACCGCGTTCTGTGCGCCCTTCTCAGCCGCCACAGACACCCGCGCAACCACCATCGCAGCCGCCGGCATTCGTGCGGCAAGAAGAGAGCGCGCCGTCGGCACCTGCCCCGACCTTCTCCCTCAACATCGGCGGGTCCAGGCCAACACCACCTCCAGCACCGGCGGCAGCACCTCCAGCATTCGTTCGGCGCGACGACCCTGCCAGCGCGCCGGCACCGGCGCCCACGATCTCGCTATCAATCGGCGGCTCCAAGCCCGCTGCCCCGCCACCCGCCGCCGTCGCCAAACCCACGCCACCGCCACCTGCGCCGGCAGCAGCCCCACCATCACTAGACTCGGTACCGGAGAACAAGGCGGCACCGAAGAAGGATGCGGCGAGCACCAGCAAGACCTTCACGATGGATCGCGCGAAGAACGATACGGCGGCTATCGCGCAGGAGGTTAGGGAGGTTGCCGATCAGGCCGTACTTGAGGATCTGTATGGACATGGTGCGTATTCTCTTACTCTATGATATCACGCAGTATTTGGGTCGCGATAACCCATGTCGTTGCGATTATCAACGTCGTTTGGCTCTATACGTCCAGCCATCACTGACTGTATGTCCTAGCCAAGGAGCACTTGAACATCGTCTTCATTGGCCACGTCGATGCAGGCAAGAGTACCATGGGCGGCAACCTACTCTACCTCTGCGGTATGGTCGACAAGCGTACGATGGAGAAGTACGAGAAGGAGGTCTGTGCCATAGTCTCTGTCCTAGGTTTCAACAATGCTGATAGCATCATTGTCCCCTTTAGGCGAAGGAAGCTGGCCGTGAGAGTTGGTACCTATCTTGGGCGCTTGACAGCACTACGCAGGAGCGCGCAAAGGGCAAGACCGTCGAGGTCGGTCGCGCGTACTTCGAGACAGAAAAGCGTCGGTACACCATCCTCGATGCGCCCGGTCACAAGACATATGTGCCGAGCATGATCTCGGGTGCCGCTCAGGTAACGCTCTTGCTCATATTTCACTTTGCGCAGCAGTACTTACCTTGTTTCCCCAGGCCGATGTCGCATTGCTCGTCATCTCCGCTCGCAAGGGTGAGTTCGAGACTGGATTCGAGAAGGGCGGTCAAACGCGTGAGCATATCACGCTCGCCAAGACGGCCGGTGTCACAAAGGTTGCCGTCGTAATCAACAAGATGGACGACTCAACCGTGAACTGGGACAAGGTATGGACTGTACTCGATAGCTCGCGCGAGTATAGTACTGATGATACTGTGCCGCTCAGGCTCGCTACGACGAGATCGTCGGCAAGCTGCAACCTTTCCTCAAGGGCGCGTCGTTCAACCTCAAGACCGACGTCACGTTCTTGCCCGTATCCGCATACACTGGCGCGAACCTCAAGGAGCGCGTCTCGAAGGCTACTGCACCGTGGTGGGAGTGCGTATTTTCACCTGCAATCTCACTGCTAGCACCCAACTCACTGTACAAATAGCGGTCCATCCGTTCTCGAGTACCTCGACGCGCTCCCCATGATCGGCCGCAACATCAACGCGCCTCTCATGATGCCCATCTCGGAGAAATACAAGGACCTCGGCACAGTCGCAGTGGGCAAGATCGAGTCCGGCGCGATGCGCAAGGGCGACACGCTGCTCGTCATGCCCAACAGGCAAACGGTAGAAGTAGCCGGTATCGCCAACGAGCTCGACGAGGAGGTCCAGGCCGCGTTCAGTGGCGACAACGTCCGCGTCAAGCTCCGTGGTATTGAGGACGAGGAGATCAGCCCCGGATTCGTGTTGAGTAGCCACGCGAAGCCTGTGAAAGCTGTCAAGACGTTCGAGGCGCAGCTCGCGATTCTCGAGCACAAGAACATCATCTGCGCAGGCTACAGCGCCGTCATGCACGTCCACACGCTCGCGGAAGAGGTCACGCTCTCCGCGTTGTTGCACTACTTCGACAAGTCTACGGGCCGCAAGAGTCGCAAGCCGCCGCAGTTCGCGAAGAGGGGGCAGAGGATCGTCGCGCTGGTCGAGACGAGCCAGCCGGTGTGTGTGGAGCGGTTCGCGGATTATCCGCAGCTTGGGAGGTTCACGCTGCGTGATGAGGGGAAGACGGTGGCGATTGGGAAGGTCACGAAGTTGATTGAGAGCATTGATGATATGAGCGAGGGTGTACAGGCTATGGCGCTTGCTGGCACGGGCAACTAAGCGCGCGATCTAGGAGATTGATCGTAGCGCGAAAAACATCGGGCTTGGACTTGAGCTTGTGAGCGGACGTTGTATATACTCCCCGAGTCCGCCCTGTAGACGAAGGCGTGCTGTAGCTGTATGTAGTTGGCCAGGTGGCGTGTAAAAATGTTTGTTTGTACCAATATACTGCCCCTTTCTGAATGGAGCCAACGTAACGCGTAACGCGGACCCCATTTGGTTGGCCGAATGCACGAACCGTAACGCGTAACGGGCCTCGCAGAGCTCCCGAAAATGGACGAAGAATTCGTTGGAAAATCCGAGAAAAATTCTGATGGGTACGCAAGTGCACAAAATGAGTCGTAGTAGCCCAGGATCCCTACTGGTATGCTCACATTATACCACAGCCTTGAGATCTTCACTATGATGGACATTTGTAACGGTTTTCACGTGCCCCGTTGGGAGCCGTGAACCGTAACGCTCCCAAACCCCGTTGGCTCCATTCAGAAAGGGGCAGTATGCCTGTTGATATCCAGGTGCGCCTCATCTGGGTGGCACTCCGCAGTTTCGGAGATATGCGGCCGAGCGCGCTATGCTCTCTTGCTCTTCCTGCCAAGCTCCTTACCAACTCCCTACATCTTCTTCTGCGGCTCTGCACCGTCCCCAGCTTAGGAATCTAACCGTAGTCAAAGCATGACAGTTGATGTTGTGATGAGGACATCGCCCGTTCACTGTCGGTGTTTGCCGATCCGCCGTGCTTCCGTCTTTCCGTCGGCTGGGGACGCGCTTCTTCCATTCGCTACAGCGACTTGAACCGCGACCGTCACGTAGCGGTTGCTTAGGAATCCAACGGCTTTCCCTGTTATCCCTAAGCACTATCGAGTACAAGCGGCTTGTATAGGCCTTCTCGAGGCGATACTCCTCTACCAGCAAGAAGGCCTCGCGGAGCAAGCCAGCAGGGCGCTTTACGGTCGTCGGTTCGCAGACCGGCCATGACGGACGCGCACGACGTTACCACCAGGATGTTTTCCTACCTCGACTGCTGTGAGGATACGCACAGGGAAGCCAGTTCCTTTTGCGGTTGGGAGCTGCTCAGAAGTCGCCCGCCCTCTGAAGAAGCTGGACATGGGACTGGGTGGAAGCATTGCTTCCTACTACGACGAGCTGCAAACCCTACCTGGAAAACCATGAGAACATGTAGGGCCCCACCGTCCGTTACTCCGACCTGCATCGGTACATCTGGTCATGAAATTGTTATGACCTTTCAGTGATTCCTAATGGCGCGCACCACCGCTTGTCAGGCGACGCGTGCAGGAGGACCCTCGGCAGAATGCCATTCCTAAGGGCTTCTCTGCCTCCAGCTCTCTCTCATCGTACTGACGGGAATACTACACTCATGTATTGCTCTCAAAACTCGGCCCAGGTATACGACTTACGACACAAGAGCCGCGTTTCACAAGATGAACTGGCACGATCAGCGCGAGTTGTATGGACGTCCTTGCGAGTGAATGTTCCCATCGGACGTTCTACTACTACCAAGTACGTAGTTCCCTGCCTTCGTTGACACGGGCCTCCTACTGATTCCTAACCAAGGTCATGTCAGCACTACCGAGGCTCCGAAACTCTCCCTCAATAGAAGTGCGTATATAAATGTGGACTACTTCGACCTCGTCTAGTCGGCCTCAACTCGTCATGTCTTCCTTGCTCGCCTTCGCGGCTGCGCTTGCAGCGGTTGCCCTCCTGGCCGTGCAACCCGTCCTTCGCCGACTTTGGCGTCAATGGTCCCTTCGCAAGATACCTGGTCCTCCCAGTGATTCGCTCATCTTCGGTGAGAGACTCGACGAGCTCATGCAAACCCTTGACCGTGTTGCTCAACATGGTTTTAGGGAGCTTTGCTCGAGTATTCAACACTGATGCAATGCCGTGCCAGGACCAATTGTTTGAGACGTACGGGTCCACCTTCAGAATCAACGGTTATCTCGGCGTACGTCAGAGAACTCGCTGCTACGATTATACTCTCACCTGAATCCGGTTAGGCTCAAGTGATCGTGACATCGGATCTCGACGCATTACAACACGTCGTTGTCAAGCACGTCGAGGTGTTCGACAGTACCGACTTCTTCATAGAGTAAGCGTTTTGACGTGGAGATACGAGCTACACAGGCTGATATTTCGTGCTAGTATGGTTCGCATGACGTTTGGTCCTGGTCTCCTGGGCGCACCCCTGGCGCGTACGTTCAGGACAGCACTCTTTGCGACGAGATCTGGATATCGCTCACCTATCATCAAACAGACGGCGAACATAGGCGCCATCGCAAGCTTCTCAACAACGCGTTCTCCGTCTCTCACCTGAAAAAGCTAGTCCCGCTATTCGACGAGGTCGCAAAACAGGCGCGCAAGGTCATGGCGAACGACATTGAGTCTACGGGGCGCACCGAGACGGACGTTCTGGATTACATGGGTCGGCTGGCCTTGGTGTGTCATATCAGCCGCGATCCATACGCACGCTCGCTGAATTCATACCAAGGAACTGATTGCGCGAGGTGGATTCGGTCACTCTTTCGGGGTGCTGGACGGGAAGGAGGATATACTCGGCCGCGCACTGAAGCGATTAGGGTACGAAATGACCTATGAATGAGCTTCGATGACTTGCTGACCGCCACTTCCGGTAGGCCTGCCAACAACAAGCTCTTCCAGTTTCGCCCTCTGCTTCCCCTCCTGAAGCGCTTCTTCTCACCCACATTCCTTCGTCGCGCAGGCGAATTGTTACCCATGCCAGCCCTACATGAGCTATTCGATGTTACAGACATCCTCGAGCGGTTCTCATCCGCCGTCTGGGAGGCGAAGAAGCAGGCGCATGCTGAGGGCAAGGTCACCAACACTGTGGGCGAGGGTCGAGATGTCCTCAGCTTACTCCGTACGTGCTATGCGGCGTTGCAAACACCGCCACTAAACGAGCTTTCCTGTCCCTAGTCGCCGAAAACGACAAGACTGCGTTGCAAGACAAGATGCCCGACCTAGAGTTGCAGGCGCAAATCAATACGCTACGTCAGTCCAACCAGTACATCCTCAGCATGGCATGCGGCACGCGACTAACCACGTCACAGTGTTCGCTGGAACAGATACCACGTCCAACGCGCTTTCCCGCATTCTGACTCTTCTGGCAGAGCATCCCGATGCTCAAGACAAGCTTCGTGAGGAACTGGTCCAAGCTGGCGCGCCGGACGCAAGCCTCGGATACGAGGTCCTGGACCGACTTCCATACCTTGAGGCCATCTGTCGTGAGACACTCCGGCTCTTCACGCCGATCCGCTTTGTGCAGCGACAGTGAGCATTCCCGCTTATCCGCATACGCGAATACTGACGCGTTCTACTTCTCTAGAGCTACTGAGGATCACGTTCTGCCACTCCGGGAGCCCATCATAGACGTCAACGGCAAGCTTATGACCGAGATATTCGTGCCGAAGGGAACACTCGTCATCACTGGCAATGCAGCGGTGAACCGCTCGAAGTCGATCTGGGGCGCAGATGGCCACGAGTGGAAACCCGAACGCTGGCTCAACCCCTTGCCACAAACCGTTCAAGATGCGCACATACCTGGCGTGTATTCGAACTCGCTGACCTTTTCAGGCGGCGCACGCGCTTGCATGTATGTGTTGACTTCTGGTCTCGAATGATGACTGACGAGCCTTCACAGCGGTTTCAAGTTCTCGCTACTGGAAATGAGTGAGTCTTCGAGACACATGGTACTGGGATTAGAGCTCACACGACTCTCTTTTCAGAATCGGTGCTCGCGCAGTTCATCCCTTCATTTGAGTTTAGGCCGTCGGAGGTGCATAAAGTCTCGTGGTGGTTTGGCGGGATCACTGCGCCTGTAGTGGAAGGGGAAAAGAGCTTTCAGGCCAAGTTACCTCTGAAAGTATCCTGTCTGAGAGTATGAGCACTTCTCGACGACTGAATAATTCTGAGTGAATAGAATGACATGCGGTCACAGTCGGAATACCACTAGATAACCAAGTGATCTTTGAGCAAGCCATCAATGTGACATACAGGCATCATGATGTTTACTGATTACGTGTCTGTCATCGCGTCAGACTTATCCGCTCAGTGTGTAAATGCTACCGCCTGTAAAACTCTTTGTACTGAGATGAGTCTATGGGAGGTAGGACATATGCGTCGTGAGCTGGTAGTGGTCTCGAGGCTCGCAGAGCGGGCCAGTCATGGGTATCGACGCCAGCACACCTCCCTGTTCGGAGTCGCTGTGCCGAGGAAAGGCCTATTCCAAGCCTGTTCTATATACTGGTACCCTTGTGAACCGGCACTCGCCGAAACTCGCAAAGTAAGTCAGACTGATCACTGAAGTAATGTTCAAGGTTAGCCCATACAGGCACGCGCGTATCCAGGGATCGGACATGCGGCTTCGGCCAAGCTTCGGCGCGGTCTGCTCTTGACCACCATCATCTCAGCGTCCTCTCGCTATCCTGGGGCCTGAGCTCTGGCAGCGACACGGGCTCTATCGTATATCTCGGTCACTCCATCACATTCGCTTTCTGCTCCCAACATGGCAGTTCTGATGGACCTACCCCAAGAACTCATATGCCAGGTATTCGAATCCGCTACCTTCAGCGACCCACCCCGTCGTAGAGAACCGAATACCGTATACGCCGAGGACAGCTTTATGGGGACGAAGGCGCTGCGATACACGCTCGGCTGGGTTTTGTTGACACACGTCAACCGCCCTCTGCGCTTCCTGTCGTTCGATATGGCGCATTTATGGGCATCAGTCGTCACTGCGATTCCCTATCCCGACGTCGTGGAGGAGTTCCTGTGCCGCGCACGGGATGTCAATATGACGCTACATGTATATGACCGCCATCCGCTTCGCAACCCGTTGCGTTTAACAGACCTGGATATGTTGGCGTGGGCGAAGTTACACGAGCACCGCATCGAAACCATAATCTGTCACCCACCACACTACATGAACAACCCTCGTGAAGGGCTGGAACTCTGGTTGAAGAACACGCCCCTTCCCCACCTTCGACGGATCGTCTTTATACCGGATGCACCTTACATGTCTCGCGAACTGGAGTCTATACGCGCTTTCAATCTCAGTGCGCCCCAGCTATCGCACGCAGAATATTGGAATACCCTGCATTCGGCCGCGTCAACCCTGCATAGCTTGCGCACGCTCAGGATCACTATATCTCCAACCATCCCGTTCTTGAGCGTGCTTTTGCTCGTGAACACCCTCCGCGTCACGCCGAAACTAGAAGAACTCAACCTGCGCGTCGAGGTCGAGATTCCCGCCATGGGACACAACTATCTCCCGTCACCCCACATCGTGCCTTTACAGCTGCACCATCTCAAGGTGTACGATGTCACCATGAAGGAGGAGCAGTTTGCCTACGGCCTTTGGGAAACCGTCGACGCCCCGAATGTTCGGAGCGTCACCATTCATTGCAACCAACCGAACATAGCCTCGCGACTTTCGAGGACCCCCATGTTGCAACACTGTTCCAGGACGTCGTATACTCACCTTGCTCTTGAACCACATCAACTGGTTCTGTCGAGGCCGAACGCGAACAGTACAGAGCCCGAGGAGGTACTGCGGTTATCGAGCGTACACAGCATGGAGAAAGAGGCGTTCGGCGAAATTTTCGATGCGCTCCACGCGCTGGCAGCCACAACTCTCTCCCATGTTCGTCAATATCAATGGGAGTTACCATTTGGACCTGTCTCAAGCGACAGGAGCGCCGATGCACCAGACAGTAGACTCATGATGGACGCGCCTTTGATCGGATTCATCACAGAGGTTAGGCGAAGGCTGGACCAGGACAGTATGACTACTACGCTATAATCGTAATGTATTTTGTCCCGGCTGTTGTATGCGTACTTTGGAAAGCACGGCCACCGGAGGAGGATCCCAGTTCATTGGTGGCGAGAAAGGAGAAAGGAGCTTTAGCGAGAGCTCAAGAGTGGTCCAAGACATAATCGAACCAAGGGTGTAGCCTATGTCACTATCGAGATGTCTGCTCTACCATGAATGAATGAAAGACAGCACCTAGCGTGACTCGATTGTCGCTGTTCTACGTATGTTTACATCTGTACAATCGATCTCCGATGATGCATGATCGCATGATCGCCGATCGACGATTTTGAGATAACCGCGTGATGCGTGAGCGCTTGAGGAGGCGTGAGCTCGTTGAAACCTGCTTGCTCTCGACCACCATCTTGTGCATTTTCTCGCCAAGTATCTGGTTCGCCCGCTCATCTGCCAAAGTTGAATTTGCTGCCAATGGCTAAGGATCTTGCCAATCTTCCGGCAGATGTTTTATCCGAGCTCTTCGCCCAGGCTTCATGCACGGATCCTCCGCGACGTCTGGACAGACAAGAACAACGTAGATTGCGTGGCAAGAAGTACTCGCTTGGATGGATCCTCATGACCCATGTTTGTCGCCGATGGCGTGTGATTGGGCTTGATCTAGCTCCCCTATGGGCTGCGATCATCTCGTTCTTCCCGTCCCCGTCGGTCGCCGACGAGCTCCTTGCTCGCTCGCGTGACTGTGGGCTGACACTGGAACTTCGAGGTCAGCTCGAGCCTTGGATCATCCAGCATATTCATCGCGCATCGAAGTTGGAAGTCGGGTCCCTGATTTCGTCCGACAGTCGAGACGTTCTCACAAGCACCAGCCTCCCTGCACTTCATTGCTTGACAATGAGACGATCCTTCGATGATATACAGACCTCATCCAGGATTGATGCACCCAACCTACGAAAAGTCTCTCTCCACGAGACCGTTATGCTGTTCGCCTCCATCATGCACCAGTTGACGACACTCGAAATCATCCACGTCTACTACACGCCGCAGGATATGATCGACACGTTAACCCACCTTCCTTCTTTGGAGCACCTGAAGCTTTATGGCGGGCTATGGACGGGTAGCTTCCCGCAAACTACCGTACACCTACCGCATTTGGCACGCTGCAACGTACATGCGTCGAGCGCACAGTTCTTCACGGACCTCTGGGAACACGTCTCCGCACCTCCCACTGTGACGATCCGGCTCGTCACAAACGACGTCCCCAACGTTTCCCACTTATTCAAAGTGCTGCGACCGCAGCTCGCCTACGCCTCGCACGATTGCCTGATCGTATACTCTTCAGGGTTTTCTTTGACCTGTGGAGAGCCAGACGCTGAGGGCCATCATATTGCGGGCGTCGACTGGCTATTTGCTTCTGGGATAGATCTCGGGCGTGCCTTCATCGACATGATCGAGCAGATACGCCTGCACATCGCTGTTGCAAGCATACGGCACTGCGAGCTCGAGCTGTCCTCCGAGCTCAAATATCTGCAGTTCGATGACGCAGATCCTGTCATCAAGCGGCTCGGTGACGCGATAGGAGCTTTAAGCGGTGTCCTATCAAGTACCACGGCGCTCGCACTACAGGGCTTTGAGCCTGATCGCACACTCTTGCGCGCTTTGTCTCCCCGCGGGACCTCCATCCCGTTCCCCAATCTACGGACACTGTATCTTGGCAAGAACCAGTCTTCGTGGGTGGGCAGACATCGGGTAGGACCAGAGCCCGCCGTCACAACAGATTGGTCACTTGTTGAGGTGACCTTGAAGGCGCGCAAGATAGCAGGGGTGCCTTTACATCATCTCGTCCTAGCCGGTGAATGGTGTATCCGAGAGACGCAGACACAGGCGTGGACAGAACAATGGGCGCAGCACAGCATACAATGCCGGGACTTGGACCTCGTGAAGGAGGTGAAGGATGAGCGAACACTCGTTACGAAGTGCGAAACGTGTGACATTCCGGAGCTCGAGCCGCCTGAGCTTGAGTCGGAGGGGTCTGACGAGGACTGAGTATTGAATGCATGTTCGAGGTCATGGCTGCTCATGCATAAACGAAGAGTATGGTACATCCCATGTGTTTGTAGCTCCATCTACGCTATCTCAAGAGTCAAATATACACCTGTTATCGTTCGAGTCCGGCAACGCATCCATCGTCGGATCGAGATGGCGACAGAGATAAGATTGTCACTAAGATCAAAACTCTGAACGCGTTGATCTTCTTCCCGATCCCCATCATCGAATGTCAGCTCGACTTATGCTATGAGAAAGCTCACAACTCACAGTATGCACGCAGATTACGGCGTACAATGTCTGTACTGACACCCTTCTTCTACATAGATCATCCACTATCTGACACGAGACTGTCACCCGGCACGCTTCAAGCCGATGTTCTTGAGGAGATCTTCGCGCGTCTAGCTGCAATTGACCCGCCAAAAAAGCAACACGGCGATCCTTTCTCGGATTCTCAGTTCCATCTCGGATGGATATACGTGACACACGTTTGCCGCCATTGGCGCAGTGTTGGTACCGATTTAGCCACGCTTTGGGCCGGTATAGTCTGCAGCCTCCCCAATGCCTCTGCAATGGGGACCGTTCTGCAAAGATCCAAAGGGTGTACACTCAACTTCGCTATCGAGGACGTTGGCGCTCTCGAGGCCAAGATCGGGTTTGCGTTGGACCACCTTGAGCGAGCGCAGAACTTCTCATGCACGTCTTCATACGTCTGGGACGACTGCCGCGCACTTACTCAGCGCTCACTTCCCGCACTGCGGCATCTCTCCCTGAGCCAAAACATTGAAGGGATGGATATGAGTATTACGAGGACTATAGGTCTAGATGCGCCTCGTCTTCAGTCGTTGAGCTTGGAGAACGCATTCTTCTCCCTTGCCAGACCATCCGATCCCCTTCACGATCTTCACACACTGGATCTACGTGGGCCCTGCGCGCTGCCTCATCCCGCATGGGGACTTCTCGAAGTCTTGTCGAAGACTCCCCGGCTCGAACATCTGCGCTTCCAGATGCTCTTATTTCACCATTCGCAGGGTGGCCTCTGGCGAGAGTACCCTGGCGGAGTGGTCAAACTCAATCATTTGAAGGCAGTCGCGCTCACCGGTGGCCCACATGCGGACATAGCTGGGTTCTGGAGTCGCATTTACGCCCCAGATAACATAGACATCTATGTCAACTTTCGAGCAGACCCGCCCGGGGATCTTGTGATTGCGCTTGATCATCAACTACAATGCCCATCGCACAACACCGTCGTGGTGAATCTCGCTCGCTCGCGGCACCTATCGGTCTCTACATTCACGCTTGAGCCTGTGGCTCGTAGCCGGGTCATACTCGACGGAGGCGGAGGCGCAACGCTCGCGCTTCTTGCGGATATCGACAGTCACGTACGACTGGGGCACATAATCCGCTTGAGCGTACAGCTGTATGCGCCTTACACGTGGGATGATGCGCCTCTACTCGTCCTTGCGCGGAAGTGCTCCTCCGTTCGGGAGCTTACGCTTCATACCGACAACGCTGACAATCTCGCCCTCCTCGCGCCCGTCGACGAACAGGCGTCGCCGCTTTTTCCATTGCTCGAGTCGTTGTCGGTTCAGTTCGACCCGAGTGCACTCAAATCGGACGAAGTGTATCGGCAGTGGTGGTCCAGGTTGCGCGACGTTCTTTCACGGAGATCTGCAGCCGAGATCTGTGTACAGACCCTACGACTTCATGGGCGCTGGGGCTGGAGAGACGCGGGCATCGAAGTGATAGACGAGGAGATGATGGTGGACTTGCGCAACTTGGCGCTGGTGAAGAAGGTGGTTGATGACCGCGTGTGGTGACAAGACCGCACGTAGTATGAGCAGGGGTTGTCGAGAATTAGTTGACGATATGTCGATGCAAGGCGCGAAACGGGGGCAATTCCTTCTTCGCCAGTACGGTGTATTGTGGGCGACGAAATAGTACATGGACTGCAAGACTGAGACGCATGTGACCAGATAGACTTGATCATCCCATCATCACATTCAGGGTACTGGTACTGTACAGTCCATCGCTGAAGCGACTGATGGTCTGCACGTAAGAACGCAACGCGCGCGCTCAGCGCCATCAAGATCAACTTGTCCCACGCGGTCATGTCGGCCCGCGCGCTTCCCCCGCATTCACCTATACTGCCATGCCGCCACGAAGGGGACCACGCTACACGCAAGAGGACATAGAGCGACAGCTGCAGCAAATCCTCTTCGACCCTTCCTCGTCTTCCGAGGGTCTTGAGCAGCTTGGGCCTATCATCAAACAGATTCATCATGAGCGGCAGCAGGATGCCTACTTGCGCACTCTTCAAGTAGTGATCAACGCCAAAAATGCTGAGATTGAACGCATATGTAGCGACACCTATCAGGACGTTCTGCCAGCTATAGCCGCGCTGTTCGCCATCCAGTCGTACAGCAACGACCTACGCGACAAGGTTACTACGACACTCGATATATCCGTCTTTCAAGTCGCCCGTGCCTCGGTGGAGAGGAAACGGAAACTGGTCCAGGCGAAGAGGGCTCTGGCGAACCTTGACGAGGCGATCGACAATCTACAAGCCGGTGTGCGAGTACTCAACACGCTGACCAGCATTGGCGGGATGATACAGCAAAGAAAGTACTGGTCAGCACTGAGAGTGAGTCGCAGTAGCTGCGTATTTCACAGACATTGACGTGAAACGCAGTCTATCGATGATATTCAATACATGCCCGCAGGCTTGCCTGCCCAGGCGCCTCTGTACCACCATACCCTTACCTGTCTGCCGTCCTTGCGTGAACAAATCAAGAGCGCAGTGCTTGCGCAGAACACACAATGGCTACTCGACATCCGTAACCTAACTAAATACGTCGGTCGGCTCGCACTCGGCAGCATGCGGGCTCGATCAAACAAGTGGAAAGTCAGACGCGAACGTGACCCTTTACTTCAACGCGCTCAGGTGGGCAGTGCGGCGGAGACCGTCATGTACGAGAACCACGGCCATAATGTTCTTGAGAGCGACGAGCTTCAAGTCGACTTCAAGCCACTTTATCAGAGCATTCATGTATACACCGCTCTTGGCTCTCTCGATGAACTTCGCCGTTGGTACCGCGAGAGTCGCTCGGTACGGCATCTCCTCTTCCCGTGGCGACCGCGTATTGATGCATTCACCAGGGGCAATCGGAACTCATCCTGCAGGCGTCGATGCAACTCTCTTCCTTTACCGATGTTGTCGAAGGCATCATCGGGTTCTTCATCATCGAATCACACGTACTTCGGACAACCAGCAACTTTAGGTCTCCTCGTGACGTCGAGGAGTTATGGGATACATCAATGCAGAGATTCGCATCCGTTGTCAAGACAGCTTTGGAGAAGGAAACCGATGCAGCGTCCTTCTTGCATGTCAAGGAGGTCTTACTAGACTTCGTAATCGCGGCCGAGGTCAGCATCGGTCTGCGTCTACGAAGTAGAGATAAGCGCGTGCTTACCGTGTACCACGTAGTCATACGCTTACTCGACACAATCAATGCATATGCTTCTTCAACATCTATTCGAGAAGTACGTGACGTCACTAGAGCGCCGATACGGCAAACGGTCCGAGGAAGTAAGTCTCATTCTGCTTCTTGAGGAATGGCGATCTCATCAGGCTGCATCTAGATCATACAGAAGGATGACCTACAACCCTTCACGGTGAAGGACGCAGGGAAACTTGAAGACGCGTTGCGCTCTATCTGGTTGGCAGAGCATAAGCGAGACGCATTGTCGAGGTATTATATCACCCGAAAGCTTGAGATCAAACCTCATGCTGCATCCCAAGATCCGCGTTTCCGGCACATCTCCCATGGTCGAATAGCTTCCCGCTATGCTGCGCTAGCGTGAGTCTCGATCTTTTGACGCTCTATGACATATGCTCATGCCCGCCTGAACTAGATACGCGACTTCGCCCATCGCTCTCACCAGTTCATCGAAGGTGTCCCCCTTCGTCATCATAGCGTCGATGAGCTCTTGGGCAAGGTAACTTTCGGGGCCATATTATCTTCAGATATGGGCATAATCTGACCGTTCTCGCAGTCACTGGATGTGCTTCTCAAGGAGCACCTCGCAACGTCGTTCATACACCAACTCGAGCGCACTACTCAACTACCAGATCTTGCTCAGATCATTGCGAACCTCGAGCACTTCGAAGGCGCGTGCGCGGAGCTCGAGCACTCGTTGAACGTGATGCGCGAAGCGCAACGCGGTGATACAGTGCGTATAACTGCGGCGCCTGCATTCGCCGAAGCGCTCACACGGGCGCGAGCGCGCCTCGCGGACGTGATTACGAGCGAGCTTGATGGCTTCTTCGAGCTTAACTCATATGAATGGACACCAGCACAGAAGGAAGAAGTGCCGAGCATATACTTGACCAAGCTCGTAGCCTGGTTGAGCACTGCCGTCGACTCGCTTCAGTTAAAGGGCGAGGACAAGGAGCAGCTGTATCAAGAAGCAGTTGCTCATATCGCCCATCGTCTCATGGTGCATTCGCATTTGATGATCATACGAGGATCTGGCTGAAATCATACACAGGAATTCTTGACCGATGAGACAATCCCTATGATGAACGAGAATGGCGTAACGCAAATCTCGACCGACGTCGGCTTCCTCGAGACCGTATTCGATGATTTGGGACACGAGGATCTCAACCACTCCTTCGCCGAGATCCAATCTGTACGTCTATACACCATATGTACGCAGATGAGCAGTACTGACATGGCTGCAGACGATCACCCTGGCGCTCTCTGATACAGTTGCCGAGGTTCTTGTACCCGCCGCACGCAAATGGAAACACTCCCATGTTGACCCGAAGCATTTGCAAGTGATGCTGGGGAAGTTGAGCAAATATGGAGCAACGTTACGGGACCCTGTGCAACGAGCGCGCGCGGACAGGCGCAGACGAGAGGCTGAGCAGATTGGAAGAATGTTATCTGGGGAAGGCAGTTAGTAGCATAGGTGTATACGCTCTTAGGATCGATGGGATATGCTCCCCGTTATTCATACTAAACGCGTGCCAGGCTATTAGATGACATATGAGACGTCGCGATCTGCAGAGAAGCGCAACCCACATGGACCATACCGGGACGGTCCAAGTTTGATCAATGTGGTTTGGCAATGTGGCATAAATATCGCACGTTCGGGCGACTTGATCTTCAACCACCACCCTCACGTCTCACCATCGTCGGCTGCGTCGTAGAGTGCGACATTCCGCGTCCTCCGCTCACCGCATACGCGCCGTTACGGGTCGAATGACTACAGCCCCTGCCATGGCTCTAACCCTCCCTCCAGAAATTATCTGCTCTATTCTCCTGGAACTTGCTCCTTTTGAGGATGACCACGACACGTATCATCAGGACTCGCACCCGCAGATAACTCCCTGCGTTGGCTGGCTCGCTGCCTCTCAAGTCTGCCGCAAATGGCGCAATACGGCGCTCGGGTTCTCCAAGTTATGGGCGGAAAACCTATGCGCCTTCGCCTCCAACAACCTCACGGATTGCTTCCTCGAACGCGCGAAATCGTCACTACTCGTTTTCGGTTTCGGACAAAAGTTGACCGATCATCAGATCAGCCTCGCGATTGAACGGCTGTCCCAAGTCAAGGTGCTTGAGCTTGGAAGAGCTCCGTTGACCTCTCTCGTAACAGCGCTCGGCAATTGCCCGCTGTCACAACTCCAGATATTGCGGTTGAGGCGTTGGGAGGGCGCTGGGGATAGCTTGGTGGTAGATCTATACCTGAAGGCGCCGGTGCTTCGCGAGCTGTACCTCGACAGCGTTCTCTTCCCGGTCGAGGCACCCCTCCTGCGCGTTTTCTGCGTGACGGCTAGGCCAAGGAGGTACAGAGACCGCTTCGACTACAGCTCTTCGACCGGGGTAATCCTCGCAGCCTTGAAGGGCTTCCCACTACTTAAAGCGCTTACGCTCCGCGGCCTGCATGCGTTTGCGCCGGAGGACCCATCGGTATCTGCCACACAGAAAAGGGCGGTGCTCGAGCTCCCGCACCTACGACGCGTGCGCTTGATAGATAAAGAAAACGACTTCGAGCTATACAATCTTCTACGCGCCGCGCCGAATGCGGATGTTGGTATCACCGTCGGCCCATACACTCCCGCCAACCATCTCCCCAGCGTGTTTGCTGTGATGGAGCCTCATATGCGTGTGCAGGCGTATGATACCCTCGCGGTGTACGAAGAGGAAGATAGAAATGACACGCTTGTCGGAATCCGTCTGCGCCCATCGGCTTCTTCACGCTTACGCGACGATGACGAGGGAGCACCGGAGTTCGCGTTGGACGCAACAATCTGTCCTGGGCCTGAGCCCCAGCTCAGCGCGTTGGGCATCGTTGAACTATTGAAACCGCACCTGGACTTGACCAAGATACGATACCTGGATTTGGGGGAAATCGGTACGGAGGGATACGTGCAGATTAGCCCGCAAGGGTTGCGTGAGACGCTTAAGCCCTTCGTGAACGTCACGACGTTGAGGATCAACGGGGAGTTGAGATGCGCGGGAGCTCATCTACGCGCGCTGTGGGCAGACAAAACAGAGAAGATGGTACTTCCTGCGCTGCGCAATCTAGTGGTGCACGATCTTACGGGCGCCCGCAAGATGTCGCTCAGCGGCCTGGGTGAGGCTTGGGCGGACTTGCATCGAATCCTGCAGGAGCGTCCCATCGATACCTTGGCGTTGACGGGGTCGGAAAAGTACGCGGAAGACGTTCAGAGTATACTCTTTACGATCATGGACATGGAGATGGGCGATGGGAAATATCTTCAGGAGGCGGAAGGGCTGGTGAAGGAGGTGGTCGATTCGCGCGGGTTGTCGCAGCAAGGTTGGGAGTACTTTGCCGGTCTCTAGGACTTCGTGGCATAATTTCGCTGGTGTATATTGTATTCTTACGTAGAGCCTTCTGATCAACAATGGACAAGCTAAATATTGGACAGATGATGGGAGTCAAGAACGAAGGAGGACGTTGCGACTTCGCGCTGATCTCGAGAGCCTGCCGCTAACAGTCGCCGCTCTGCCGCTCTGCCGAGACATCCATAACACGGCGTATATCGGGATGCTAGCGCCCTCGCTGGACGCCTCGACCTGTACTCGTGTGCGTAGGCAGCGCCACAGATAGTCACGGGAGACGTTGATCAAGGTTGAAAGGAGGCCGAGGCAAGCCGAGAGGCCGCGCTACCGGATCGGTGCGGGCTCAATGAAATTCGAGGCGCGTCGACCGGAAATGAGACCGCCGCCATCCGTTGACTTGTACACCCACCTTCCGCTCTGCCCCCCGCCCCTGTTTTCTCCGTTCTGCATAATGCAAATTACTCCTTAAACTCTATATATCTTCATCAGGTCTACGAGCGACTATACTGTGATACCCCCAATATTCTTTGCATCTAGCGCCCGAGCCGCGCCATGTCTTTCTCCTTCCAATGGCCGCGCTTTTCTGAGCAGTTCCACACGGACGCCATCGCGATGCTCAACTCTGCGCTCAACAAGGGGACTAAGCCGCCGGTGATTGCCGACAGAATAGAGGTCGTCGAGCTCGAGATGGGTACACAGGTGCGCGTTGCCGCCGGTTCGACATGATGTCATGCACGTTGACCGTCGCGCGCATCTCGTAGCCGCCGGAACTCGAGATTCGGGATATTGGAGACCTCACGACCGACCAGTTTCGAGGAATATTCAGGCTTACATATGACGGGGACGCCCATATCGTACTTAGGACCAAAGTCCAGGTGCGTCTATTTGGCTCGTGTGACATGTGCGGCTTGCTGATTATTTTGTCGGTCGCAGGCGAACCCTTTGAATCACAAACAGCCGGATATTCACAATTTGACTGGCTCACGCGGGATGCTGGCTGCTAAAAAGGCGCTCGTCGTCCCCATGCTACTGCGACTATCCCATTTCCGGCTATCGTCATATGTTGTGCTGGTGGTTTCCAAGCAGAAGGGCATCACCCTGGTCTTCAAGACGGACCCTCTTCAAAACGTGGACATAAACTCGACCTTCGACTCTATCGCCGTCATTCAGAGTTTCATTCAGCGCGAAATAGAAGGCCAGCTACGACAAATGTTCCGCGAGGACTTGCCGGGTATTATCCACAGGCTGAGCCAGCAGTGGGTAAAGGCCAAGGTCGAGGCGCCGTATCTGCACCAGCAGCCCCGCCCACCGCCTCCCCCACCCACCCCGGCAGTTGCCGCTCGAGTCCCTCTTCCACCCTCCAGCGTCGGCTCGCTCCCGCCAGGACGGAGACAGCGCCCGCCAGGCTCTTACGCCGCATCCGTCGCCAGCGTTCCCACACTACCACCCTATGCTTATCCCCTTCGCCCACGCACACCCTCATCAGTATCTTACGCCCCTTCTCGTGTCTCGAGCCCCGCCCAGCGCCGGCAACCTCCTACACCCGCACCTGTGCCGGATGCACCGGAATCTTCGCACCCTGATATCGAGAATTTCGATCCGACATATGGCCTCAGACCAGGCAGCCTGCCCGCCAAATCGGTCTTCGGCGCTTTTGGTCGTCTGTTTGCAAACCCGCGTGGGCTCGCGGATCTCGCTGAGGAGCCGACAGACGAGGAAGAGGGAGACGTAGACGCGGCGGATGGACAATCGTATGGCATGGTTGAGTGGGAGGACACACTGCCCGACTACGACTATGACTACAGCCGGGATCCGTCTGAACTTGGGCCGGACGATCTTGAGTTCGAGACGTTACCGGCTGTTGGTGGAGGGACAATCACTCGCCCGCGAGTATTCCATGCCCAGTCGCAGGTCCACGCACCGGATGGCGTTACCTTGACTCCTGTATCCCGCGCACCACCCGACGTACCGCTCAACTACCCGTATACACCTCAGAGTGCGGGTATGAGCATGGGCATGGGCAATCGCATGACGCCCGCCGCACTGGCAAGGCTGCAAATGCCGCCGGGCGCTTACAACCCATATTTCCCACCCATGGGCGTCACTCCTCCGACCTTCTCACCGGGCCTCGGCCTCGCATCCCGCGATCCGCGAATACCACTCAGCATGCCCTCTGTTCCGCCCACGCCACCGCTTTACCACTCACCACCTCGCCGTGCCCGATCACCCGCGCCCTCAACATCACAAACACAACCTTCCGCCAGCTCATCGCACACTCACTCTCTACCCACCCCACCTTCGAGCGAACGCCACGTCCGCTCTCGAGCAGGAAGCTCATCATGGTATCCCGAACCGGATGACGAGCCCTGGCCGCGTTCACCCGGTACCGATGCCGGACCAGCCGAACGAAAGATCGTCCTGCGACCCGGTGCATTACCCAGACTATCGACACTCGCGCATAGCAATCACACATTGTCGCCGTATACGCGCGTACCGGAGCATTTCGCCGTGCGCACGGGTGCACCGGCGAAAGCGGCTGCTGCGGGGGCGCCTGTCAGCACCCCTGTGCGCGCACGTAGAAAACGAATGCACAAACTCGGCGGGAAAGGCAAAGAAAAAGCTCTTCCTTCCGATCTCGCGGGCGATGGTGAAGTTGTACCTCTCACTGCCGAGGCTCTACGAAGAACAGGCAGCACGTCTCCCGCACCGCCTAGCGAGATGGCGGACGACTTGGACCGGTACTTCTTGAGGGCGGGCGAGCTGCCGCCCAGCGTACAAGCGGAGGTCGATGCGCGGATGGCGATCAATGCGAGTCCGTGGCCGCCGGACGCGTATGCGGGGCTCAGGCAGCGGGGCGTACACGCGAGTAGTATCAGGAGTGGGCGGAGTGGGAGGTTATAGCACCTCTGGCTGGAGGATGGGGAGGAGCTGATCTATTTGAGGACTTTGGCAAGACATTTCGTTCGCACATATACACCTTCTTTGGCTTGGTTTGCTCTGTGGATTTGCGATCTATGATACGGCTTGAATGTAGAATTCTATACTTCACTTGATACGTTACGATGTATTCTTACTTTGTTCATCCTTATGCTGGCGAACTTGCCGCCCGAGCGGACGTCGCCCACGCACACGAGTTTTTAGAATGTTATCTGCAACTATAGTTTCCGCCAAATGCGAACGTGTGATATATGTCACAGAGAGCTCGGGATTCGGTGCATACAAAACGATGTGCAAAACATTGGGCAACTATATAGAGTACCCCCGGCGGGACTCGAACCCGCAACCTCCGGATATTGTCGGTGCAATAGAAGTCCGACGTCATGACCATTAGACAACGAGGGCAGCGAAGAGTACTTCACTATAATACACCATAATCTACCTGTATCCGGCGGGATATACTGCCGTGAGTGCCTGTCAATGTTGAACCTACCCTTTTTGCATGGCAATTCGGCGTACAAGACTCTGCAGCACTGTACAAACTCGCTCTCACACTACTCATGGCATGTGAAGATCCCTCATCGGACACGCGCTGAGTGCCAGCGGGCGGCCTCGTTGCACTCCTCGAAGCGCCGAATGATTGGGGAAGGCGCTTGTGCACACGCATGCTTTGCCTTGTGACTCTAAGTACAACGACTATCCATGCTCAATCTAGATCATCCCGACAGTCGTCCACCTCGTCGACGTATATGGAGGCAAGGTCTATCGCGCGCTCTTCGATGACGCGCAGAGATTCGGCGTCCAATGACCTCCTCCAAGCCCATTCTCCCCATAACGACAAGACTCTGACGCGGCGTCGGATCACTGCGCGCGCCTCCAACAGGTCGACAACAGCATCCCAGTGCGCTTTCACGAGTTCCAAGCTGTCCATGTACAGCTTCGACGACCGTACGACGGAAAGGGTGTCTAATGCAGGGAACAGAAACCCATCGGAGTCGCTCCTGACTGCCTTTGCGTTTTCCGCTAGCAGATGGTATAGAGCGCGATTGGTCTGAGCGTCGGTATCGAGCCTGAGGATGGTCACCGAGCTATAGGCGCGAAAAAACGAAGTCAACGCCGGGGCAGACCGTGCGACGTCGTAAGGCGCCTGAAAGCGCGCAACGAGTGCATTGATGTGGGCGTTGATTGTGAAGTTGGGGATGAGCGTCAGCGGTGTATTGATATCGCCGCTGACTTGGACGAAGGTGACGTGACCATTGGCGCGCTCCTTGACTCTAGTTGAGCTGGTAGAGAACGCGAAGAGGCTGTCCACGGCGAGGTTGACGAGGTTGCAGCATTCGCAACGCAGCTGGGGAAGCGCGCCGAGAAGGTCGTTCTGTCGGGCGCAGTTACTCAGCAGCGCGCTGCGTACAACAGTTGTTTCCGGTGCCTGTATGGACGGCATCAGGAGGGCATTGTCCACAGATCCTTGCAGTTGAATATCAACTTTCCGCAGATGTTCCAGGGCGACGGGTGCGTCAGAGGTATTCACCTCGTCGATCACGCTATTTGAAACGACCTGCAACTTCAGATCAAGGTGGGAAAGGAGAGGTGTGGTCCGTAGGATGTTCAGCACAGGTGCATCGCCTCGGATCATGAAGCCCTCTTCCAGGTGTAGAACGAGCTTCTGCAGCATGCGTAAAGGGGATATGAAGATCGGCACCGTATTCTTCAGTACAGCACTCGTAAGATTCGGGGCATCGATCTTCAGGCGAGATGCCGATAGGAAGATGCTATACTGGTGAATAGCCAGGGATTGAAGATGAGGATGATGTTGGCCGTCAAAAGCACGGTGCCAATCGGCAGCCCGTTCGTCATCGACCACGGTCTCTAGCTTTCGGGCGCGGCGGACATGTTCCTCGGCGAACCAGACCTTCTCCATGTATTGACCCTCGAAGCGCTTGTTCTCTCGCATGATGCAATGATTTGACGCGATGCAGAGATCTAGAATGCTGTCTCGAGAGCGTCCGAGGAATGTCTGCCAAGCATCGAGAGACGGTAGAGCGAGAACAGAACGAGCCCAAAGGGCCGAAGAGTCGAGGGACACTCTTCTTAGTCGACGGCATACGTGCGATAAGAGTACCCAACCGAGGCAGTAGCGTCTTTCTGACAGATCAAACCGAGTGTCGTGTGCCGAGTGAGGCTGCCAGTCGTGAACATTCGACGCGAGGAACTCCCAATGAGGCGGGTGAACATATGATGCTATCTCGCATAACGCGTAGAGACAATCGTCATTGAGGGAAAGCAGAGAGGGCATAAGTATGCTTGCTCCTCGACTTGATGAGTTGCTATGAGAGCGCGGAGGCAAAAAGTGAGATCGGGCTGAGGATGGATGGTGTAGGTGATGGACGTTCGTATCAACTCCAAAACTCGAACCCGCGCGCATGCCATCACAACCCTAACCCCAATCACTAAGAGGTCACGTGTTTATAAAGTATGCCTGCGATTGCGTGCATGAATACTACACGGGATGGGAGCCTGATAGCTAATGCACACTGACTGTCGGTGTACTGCTGTCTACTAATGATGGCCTCCAAGAACGCTCATCGACCAGCTCCTCCACCGACGAAGAATCGCGCAAAGCACTCATCAACTCCCCATCAACTGTCGCCACCTCCTCGGCCGTCCAACTCCATTGCCCAACGAGCCTCAGCTCTTTCAACTTCATGCCGGCGTCGGAGCGACGCGCTAGCATGTCGCACAGGGAGGACCACCACTCGACATATAGTAGTCCCGGGTCGCCGCGGATAACATCTGGGTTGAATCGCACCGAAAGAGTGCGCAGTTTGGGGAAGATAATCGTTGTCGTCTCTGGATCAACAAGATGATGGATGAAGGGATCGAAGCTGCCTCGGTCACCCATATCCAACAACAGATTGGTGACAGAGGGGAGTTTGCGAATGAAGGTAACAAGAACGAGTTCAATGTTTGAGAAACGCGGTTGGGAGAGCCGTAGAACGCATGAGCGGATTCGGTCCATCTGTGGACGACGGCTGAGAAGCGACAGGATTTCCTCGATGCCCCGAGTCCCGAAGTTTATCTTGACCTGACTGCGATGACCTGCAGGAGTGATGTTTGAAGATGAAAACGACACAGCTTGGCGCTCGAGTTGAGGCTCTATGATGATAGTGCATGTATCGTGCATAGTGCTTGGAAGTTGACAGCTTAGGGCCTCCATGATCCCCACAGGTGAGTCCCGCTGAAACGAAAAGTCGGCATCGACGTCGCCTGGTGCGCGTATGTGGGACCAAAACCCGGCCACATCCGTTTTCCACCCACCAATAAGCCTCACTGTCTCCAAGTGTGCGAGGTGTACTGGCTTCCCATTATAGTGTTCCCATTGCCCGTTGCCGTTCGAGTGCCTTCTCAGCAATTGCAAGTAGAGGTGTTGGAGATGCGGTGTGCGAGAGAGTAGCGTCAGTATCTCCCATGCGGGCGTGGGTGAAGAGTTTACGCCCGTGATGGATAGACTCCGAAGACTTGAATATGAGATTGCTGACGATGGGGAGGGCATCATTATCGCGTTCTCCAGTGAGACTGTTTGCAAGAGAGGTGCATCCAGGATCAAAGTGGCGGGATCGTACGCGATGTCTTGAGATAAGTGTAAATGTCGCAGCAAGGGAAGACGGCCCCGCTCTCGAAGAGCCTCCTCCCAATCGTAAGAGGGATAACAGGTGATACTTTCCACCCGGTCGAGATTGCGAAGAGCAAAATGTATTCTCGGCAGCTGAGTCCTGCCATATAAGACCTCGATCTTGAGTGGGCATGACTTTGTGCGCTTCAGAAGGTCTTCCGAGGCGTGAACATTAGGCAGGCTGCACACGTGCGCAGCCCATAGTTGCGCCAGGTCCAGCCCTACGTCACGCCAACGGCGACAGACGTGCGCGGCATATATCCAACCAAGATCAAATCTTGTAGAACTGCCTTCGTTGCGCCACCGGGGCTCAGATATAGCGGCAAGGTACTCGAAGATCTCCTTCAATACATCAAGCTGGAGGTTCTGAGCAGATGTCATGCCTATAACTTTGATGACGCGCCTTGTGAGTGCGAACGTCACTTTGCAGCGCCTGTGAGTATACTCACGTGGTTGGGATGTGCTAGCTAACGGTGGGGGCCGATGGTGATGCATGATGGTTCAAGGCAAGGACAAGGGAGTTTGCTGTGATCTGCCGAGCAAGAAGCTTCGGCGTTCGGGCCGGATCTTTTGGGTGCGGCCCAAACCTGATACAAGCCGAGTCAACGCTCAAAACGAGTACGGATTATTTACAGCCTCTCTCAATCGTACATGTGCTATTCGAATGTCATCATCGCACATAATCGGCCATGCACAGCAAAAATTCAAGCATCATTCGATTCGTCACCAGCTATACGCGCGATTGTACATCTACACGACCGAATCCAAGGTCGCCGACAGCCTCCGATCTTCCACCTCATCTACCAGCTGTGCGAGCAAGCCTATCGCGTGCTCCTCAATCCTTTGCAACACGACGGCACCCTCAGCTGAGTTCCCCGCAGACCATTCCCCGACCAACGCCACACGCCTCACGCGCTTGCCGATAGCTGCCCGTTGCTTCAACATCTCGATGACGAGGTTCCAGTGCCCCTCGATGTTCACTCTCACTCCCGCCAGTATTCGATGTGCACCTCTGGAAATGATAATCGTATCCAGGACAGGAAAGAGGAGCGTTTTATCGCCGGCGCCGGCAGCTCGCGCGTTCTCTGCGATGAGCCGGTGGAGATTGCGATTCACGTACGCATCCGTGTCCAACTGCAGTGTAACAACTGCGGGGTAGGCATCAAAGAACGTGTTAAGTGCTGTGGCCGAGCTGCCGGAGTCGTATGGCATTCGAGCGCAAACATTCATAGAGGTTACGAGCTCGGGGCGCATGTTGCTCGGAAGGAGTCCAAGAATAGTGTCCCACTGTATAGCGTTGCCTGCGCTGTGCTGAAAAAACACGGATGGGCCACCATTTAGTTTCCCAGGCGCTGAAAGTAGCGCAATTTGAAAGTTTCTTCCCAATCGTAAATCGAGATGATGATAGTCCTCATATCGCAATTGACGCGAGAGTGCGTGGACTAGATCGACGTAGCAGTCAACAGCCGCTCCGCGCATTTTGATACGCAAAGACGCGGATTCGGGCACTCTTATCGATGGCCACACCATGGACTGGTTATTAAGGCGTGCGAATTGTGTTATGCGAGCCGACTGGAGGTGATTGAGAGTGACCGGCGCACTATAAGTGGCAGACTCTAACAAGGGACCGGCTACCCCTGGCCTATAAAGGAAATTGAAGTCAAGCTCGGATAGAAGAGGTGTCCCATGAAGTATGTTCATGACAGGTCCATCATTTCCCAGCGTCACTCCGCCACCGCCTAGGTCAATCTTGAGCACCCTCAAGAGACGTAAAGGCGAAGCCAAACTCGGGACGGTATCTCGCAACACCAAGTGGGTGAGATTAGGCGCATCCAAGACGAGGTGCGATCGGGAGGAGTCGTAGTCGTGATAGATAGTGAGAGATTTCAAGTATTCATGTTTTCGATGCCCGTCGAAAATGACCGTCCAGTCAGAGGATCTGTCGTCGTCGGTGTGCGTTTCAAGCATCCTCACGGGATGATGGCCGCCACCAATAGTTTTTATGAGTTGGATGCGCCTTTCATACTTCGATGAGATAGAATAATAATTCTGTGAGGTCGTTTTCTGGTAGATAGGAGGGATGCATAAGTCCAAAGGAGAATTCTGCGCGCGCCTGAGGTATTCAAGAGAGGCGACTGGAGATGGGAACGCCAAGATAACTTGAGCCCATAAGCTTGGAGTGGCAAGGCATATGCCCCTCAGGCGTTGGCAGACATGAGCCCAGTATATCCATCCTAGGCACATGTGACGTTCGGATAAGTCACCCTCGTATTGATGACTAGGCTTATGAGGAGGGTGCCAGCCATGTTCCCCGTGTGTGGGGAATTCCCAGTGAGGAGGATGAACGAGGGCAGTCTGTTCACACAGTGCACGTAGCACGTCGTCGTTCAGATCGAGTAGATGCGGCGCCATGTTGTCTCGCGCAGCGATGGTGCGATGGTGGTTCGAGCAGAGGGTCCGTGCCGGACACGCGGTGGCGGGAATTGCCGCCGGTCTATTGCCACGCGGACCTGAAGCGACTTCGTACACCGCTCTTGTCTTTCTCCTTCGGCCATCGTTACCTTCCTTTCACTCTCGACGTCCTCTCGCGACGTGCGCCTTGCGGTTGATGAGCAGCATCTTTCCTTCAGACATCAAACTTCCGGGTCTGTCCGTCCATACCGATATGTCGGTCGCCGCCCGCCGCGGCCGCAGCAATAGCTTGCTCAAGGTCGAGAACCTGCGCACATCCAACGACGAGGTCCTTGACCAGGATGCGTACACCAACTTTAATGCAGAGTGGGTTAACCGCAAAGGTATGTTTTAATCATCAATAGTTATCTGAAGCATGGCGCTCATCGTGCGGCACCAGGCGCATGGTCCATCCACATTGTCCTCATCGTGCTCGGCAAGATCGTAATAGACACCATCCCTGGAATCACTCAGAATATCAGTTGGACGGTCGTCAACTTGCTTTACAACGCTGTGCGTATATTCCAAGCGCCGACCAAGAGTGCGCGCGCGCTGACCGCCGATTCCGCAGCTGTCCTACTTGATGTTCCACTATGTGACCGGTATCCCATTCGGCAACGAACTTACGGCCGGCGCGTACGACGACCTCACCATGTGGGAGCAGATTGATGGCGGAGCACAGTACACTCCGGCGAAGAAGTGGCTCTTCACCGTACCCGTCGGCTTGTGCGTCTATTCCTTCGGCGTTCGGCTTAAGGCATGATCCTCACTAACCTACGCCCATCCGGCAGGTTTTTACTATCAACACATTACACGAACTACGACCCCATACTCTTTGCTATCAACCTCTCAGCACTAGTATTCGTACTGATCCCAAAGCTTCCCGCGGTACGTGGCTCCCGGCTTCCGAACTAACGTATGCACAACGTACTCATCCGTGCACGCTTTATCCACATTAGGCGCACCGCCACAGACTGCGCTTCCTGCCCGCGGATGGCATGGACTCGACCCTTGGCACGCCCACCTCCAGCAATTTCCCCTCGGGCAGCTCGACGCCGGCGGAGGGTCTTGTCGGCGTGCCTCCGCCGCGGATCCACGTAACCGAGGCTCAGTTCCGCTGACGGCCGAAGAGCGCGAGGAGTTGTTGATCTTTGGGCGCTCCGAGGTGCGCCTGTGAACGTGGCTGTGGCTGCGGTTTCACGCGTTGGTGGGGAGGGGTGCTACACGGACTTGCGTATCGGCATATAACGACGAGAAGGCATACAATACTGGCATCGGCGAGGATTAGGAAACAAGTTATATTTCATGTCACCACTAATACTATTCTCTCACTGTAGATAAACGTTGATCTGCTTTCACCGATTTGGCACTGCTCATCGTGCGCAGCGCAGAGACGCGAATTGCGCCCTACAAGCTGATCCCACCTCGTCCGAGGAATTCAGCGCCTCGTCTGCATGATAAGCGCCAGCATCAGCGAGTAGCCGGCTGCCGCGCACATGGCCGGCGATCATCCTAGTGGATCCCGCGCTGTCCATTGAGAATGGCCAACCGTCGATCTTCATAGCGCCGTTATAAGAGTAGGCCTACACCTTTTCTCGGAGTCTCCGTCGTGGACCAGGCTACGCAGCGTATATTCCTGTTTTCAACCCAGCCGCAACAAGGGTATTCACAAGGGACGGGCGCACTTAGACGCTAAGGAGCGTCACACTGCGGTCGTCTGCAAACAGTTTGAATGGCAGCCCCCGTCGAGGTGTATCGTGTGCTCCGTGTCTTGGTCAACGAGAAACCTTTCCCTTTGACGGGTCTCCGAGGCAGTGATTTTCTGAAAGCATTCCTTGACATCATCTTGTGTACGTCAACCTGTCCCCATCAGGATTCACAACTGACTGCATGATTGCAGGTCATTATATTGCCTGGGCCCGTGCTAAGGTGTATCACCACGATCTGACCTTGAAGGATGCCATGTATAGGAGATTCGGAGGGAAGATCTATGGCGTCCTCATCGACTTCAATCTTGCTACAACCGACAACTCGGGCCATAGCGGCCTTGAGCGCACGGGAACGGCCCCGTACATGGCGCTGGAACTTCTCTGGGCAGCCACCCAGCGTGAGACGCACATTGCCAAGCACCTCTATCGCCAAGATCTCGAAGCGTTTTACTGGACGCTCATCTGGGTTTGTAACTGTGTCGGAGGCGATGGCAAGGAGATCGTAGGGCCCCTATTCCGTTCGTTTAGGACCGGGGACTACCTGGACTGCTACAACGGGAAGAATGCTTCCACGCGTCTACGGAAACGCGAGCAGGCAATCTTGGTGCTTCCTATCCGACGGCCGCTTTGGGTGATCGCCCAGGCGTGGACGGAAGACCTTGAAGATCGGGTACGGCGGGGAGAGAGGAAGGCGGAAGGTTGGGATGATCCATTTGAACCAGACCCGCAGGAGTCGTGGCGTAAGTTCTGCGGGATCCTGCAGTCGAATGAAGTGAAATCGGGACTTGAGGCAAATGGGGAGGAAGGAAAGAATATGCTCAAGGTTGTTGACGATTTCTTGGAATTGGCGAAACGTTACTCGATCACTGGACGCTGAAGTGAGTGCTTCAGCCAACCCTTACTTTGCACTATAGCTCATTCGATGCTTCATATTCTGCTAGATACACTACCCGTTTGAGCTTGATCTTAACCTTCAAGTTAACATGTCAAGCCGATCTGTCTTGCTCAGCCGATGTGAATCATCACCACTCGCCGAGGGAGGAAGAGCACGCGCAGGAGGGATGGACGCTGTCCGTTGACCGGATGGCCAGCCTGGACACTCTGTTTACACGAGTTGATGTGCATATGCATTCCCGGCGCTTTTCGACGGTACTGCGTGTATAGCTCCTGTTTGCGTGTCCGTTATCGATCCATCAGTTGCATATTTTCCCCTCACGTTGAATACTACCACTTTCCCTCGCCTTTGATACTACTAGTCCCCTCATGCGCGCACGACACAGACTCATTTGCGATACGCTCCGTCCTGCGCAGAAGCTTGATGATGCGACATTCTTGAAGGCCTTCCTCGACGTCCTTGGTGGTGCGCGCGCCATGATTGTGCACATACCCTGAGCGATCTTATCAGCATATCCAGATCATTTCGCGCTCTGGACGCACGGCGTACATCACCGGAATCTCGATTTCGACGTCTTTAAGTACAGCGCGGTAGATGGTGATATATGCGGTGCCCTCGTCGACCACGATATACTCTCCCAGCGAGCTCGAGCAGACTACGGGCGCGCAGGACAATTCATGGCTTTCGAGCTCTTGCGTGCGGCCGCTTATGGAGGAGCACGCAAAGGGTCATATCCGCTCTATCGCCACGACCTTGAAGCGTTCTACATGATGCTCGTCTGGAGATGCTGCTGCATTGGAGATGACGGCAACGAGCAAGTGGGAGAGACGCTCTACCGGCTCACTTCCTGCGACTATGAAGAGTGTTACTATGGCAGAATCTGGTACGAGAGGAGCGCTTATGATGAAAGGGAGGGTCTGGTGCACCCGTCCCATCAGGTTCTCTGGGTTGTCGCCGAAGCATGGACAGAGGACCTCGAAGGGCGCGTCCGTCTGCGGGAGAGGCGGACTAGACGGGATGATGTGTTTGAGCAGGACGCACAAGAGTCGTGGACCAGGTTCTGCGCTCTTCTCGGGTTGGATGGGGTCAGGAGTCAGCTGGAGGCGTGTGGAGGGGAAGGAGCGGCCGTCTTGAGGGTGATAAATCAGTTCCTCGCGGGGCCGCGAAAGCCTTTCGTATGATTGGACGAGCTATAATGAAGAGCGATGCATTTCATGTAGATATTCTCAGTACGTAGCCATCGTCGTCGGGAGCCAGTTGTGTAAACGCGCTCACAATCGGGACGGCCATGGTCACGACGGGTCACGACGCACGTGAGCGGTGAGTGGACCAGTGCTCGGTTTGCTCTCAACGTCCACCGGCGAATCGCGTCTGGACAGGTTTCGATGCATCTTCTTCTCCCTCCAGCAATGTGGCTATCTCACTGCGTGATATGCATGGCTGTTTCCGCTAGTCGAAAGCGCTGCGCGTATAGCGCCTGTATTTCATCCGTCATCATGGCACGAAAGACACGCGGTCGCTCATTCGACGAGCACCCGCGCGCACGATAGTACATAGGTAGTCCCCGAAGCTTCACCATGCATTTCATCTCGAAGGTGCATAATTATGGGAGGCCTTTTCGGAGATCCTACTCGGTGCGTTCGCCACATTGGGTCATGTATATATCGGATTCTAACGAGCCTGACGCCAGACTGGACGCGCGGCGACCGCACACATCATCGGAGTTCGATAGTCTCAGGTGCAGCATGGTCGATGAAACGAAATACAGCGTCCCGGTCTCGATACCAGAGCACTTGGCATCCTTCTCTGCGCATCGAGTATGCTGTGCCTCCTTGTTAGCGAGAAGCCCCGACCCATCACAAGGCTCAAGGGCAGAGAATTTATCAAGGCTTTCCTCGATATTGTGCTGGGTGCGTTGCTCTATACCGTCACTAAGCTCTCACAATTTAATACGCTTCAGGTCACTACATCGCATGGGCCAATGGCAGGATATATCATCGTGATATCAACCTCACCAACACCCTGTACAGACGCGTAGCAGGCGAGGTCTACGGTGTTCTCGACGACTTCGATCTCGCCTCAAATGATTCCCGGTCAGACGAGGACGTGGAAAGGCTTGAGCGCACTGGTACACTCCCATTCATGGCCTTGGACCTCCTCCAGGCACGTTCTCAGAACGAGACCTTGCCGCATCTTTACCGTCACGACCTAGAGGCCTTCTACTGGATGCTGATATGGACTTGCAACTGCATCTACGATGGACAAGAAGATTTAGAGGGTGAGAGGGCGGTGTTTAGACGCTGGTGGAAAGGCGATCACGCGTGGAAACTGCAATGGGAGAAAAGCGGTCTGAAAATGCGGGGCAAGTTAGTGCAGCCTTCGCAGAAGGCGCTATGGATCATAGCAAACCACTGGGTACTGGACTCTACAGAACGTGTACGCGTTGAAATTGTGCGGCTTAGCAACAGGGGGTCGCAAAAGCTTTATGAGACAGACCCCAAGGCCAGCTGGCACGCTTTCCTCAACGTTTTGAGTTCGGAGGAGCTGAGGGAGGATCTGGAGGTGGTTGGAGTTGAAGGGGAGTTTCTTTGGTCTGCTATCCAGACCTTCGTGAAGGACGCCGAGGCGTAGTAGTTTTGTCCAGTGACGACGTTGGATATCTATTTGACATGACCTGTAGCCATGATTGTACTTTTACACCCCTCGTCCACAGCCAGATCATTCCTGAGTTGGCGATTATCTCTCACTCGGCCAATGACTCCAGGCTGACATTGAGCCGTCCAATGACCAAGGGCCGCTGGGGAACTAAAGATTAAAAGGCTGCTCACAGCGCACAAATAAAATGCGAGCTGGAATTGATGTCACAATCGTGACCGTTCTTTCTCGATGTGCCTTGCGTTCAGCACCTAGCGCTTAGCTCTCAAAGTTCAACGTTCAACATCCACCGGCATGTTCGGGCCCGAACAGTCATGCCTCATATTAAACGACGAGGCATGCCCGAGTGGGCGCATACCTCACCGTTGACTTGCCGGAACGGATGCACGATCTGCCTTGACTTCATGCGCTCTACGTTATAGCGCGCGCGTATAGCACCTATCTCCCACTCGACATTCATGACATAACGAACACGCCTCGTTCAGTCGACGACGCATTGCGCGTACGGCACAGCAACCGCAAGTTTCCTAATACACCGCTTCATCCCGTTCATAAGCTCGGGATGCAGCATCGTCGACATGCTTTCTGGGTGTCTTGTTCGGTACGTTCACCGCGGCCGTATTGGGGCGTGCGTCGGAAAGATTCTGATGAGGATTGTCAGACTTTGGACGCGCGGCGACGGCACACATCATCGGAGTCTCAACCTCTATGGCCCTAGGTGCAGCGTGGTTGATCAAACGACATACAGCGTTTCAGTCTCAGGGCACTTGCAGAACCCCCCTCCCCCCTTTGCGTCTCGCGTATGCCGCGCCTCCTGTTCAGCGAGAGGCTTCGACCCATCACAGGGCTCAAGGGAGAAGAATATCTTAAGGCATTTCTCGACATTATACTAGGTGCGTTCCTTCATACCCTGAACGGACTCTCGGCGCAAACTGATATGCCCCAGGTCATCACATTGCATGGACCAATGGCGGGATATATCATTGTGATCTCAACCTTACCAATACCGTGTACAGGAAAGAGGGAGGCAAGGTCTGTGGTGTTCTCTACGACTTCGACCTCGTCTCGACCGACTTTAAGTCACACGATTACACGGAAAGGCTCGAGCGCACTGGCACGCTCCCATACATGACCTTGGACCTCCTACGGGCTCGCTACCTGAACATTTCCTCTCCGCATCTTTACCGCCACGACCTTGAGGCGTTCTACTGGATGCTGGTATGGACGTGCAGCTGCATCGTCGACGGCAAAGAAGATACGGAAGGTCAGAGGATGGAGTTCGGAACCTGGCGGAAAGGCGACTATAGGGCTTGCCACGCACGGAAGCTACAGTGGGAGGGTGGTGGTCCGTACTACTGGGAGCAATTGGTGCAGCCCTCGCAGATGGCATTATGGATTATAGCAAAACAGTGGGCAGGAGACCATATACTTCGTCAACGCATCGAAATCGTGCGACTTCGCTCCAAAGGGTTGAAGGAACCGTACGAGGCAGACCCTTCTGCAACATGTTGGGATCGTCAGCCGTAAGGAAGGGACTGAAAGCGTTGGGGAATGAAGGCGAGCTTCTTTGGACCGTTGTGGGGACGTTCTTAGATGACGCTTGCAAGTATTCTTGACACAGTATGGACGAGCTCTTGTATCTGTACATACAACCCAGTTCCTAACGTGACAACTCTTACTATAGGGAGACGGATGCCATACTGAAGTGCAGAATATATCAATTCATGGTGCACGCGAGCGAACGGCAGGCGGTTGGTGCATGGCGTCACGCCATGCACCAACAGGGATACCCGCATTGGCGTGTCCGATCGCTCCCGTATGCGCGTCTTGTTCTCCACGCTCACCATGTCCTGCATTCGGAATCGCCATAGGTTGGTCTGCGAGCAGCTTCGACCGATCACAGAGCTCGCAGGTGCCGAGTTCCTACGCATCTTTCTTGACGTTGTCGCCTGTACGTCGACACGCTCTATCCGCGGGCGGCGCAGGTGCTTAATCACTCCGCAGCTCATTACGTTGCGTATGCTAAGGAGAGCATCCTGAACATTGACATTAGTCTGAGGAACATGGCGTACGCAGAGGACAACGGCCAGCCATACGGGACCTTGATCGACCTCGACATCTCTAGCGATGGGACGTCCCAGGCTGATATCGCACCAATCATGGGAACCATCCCTTTCGTAGCCCACGAGCTGATGTATGCCGCGCAGGTCCCATTGCAAGTCGACCATCTTTACCGGCATGACCTTGAGTCCTTCTACTGGATCCTCGTCTGGGTTTGCAACTGCAGAAATGGCACTGAGCGCGTCGAGCTGCGTGACGAGTTTCGCGCCTGGTCAAATCGAGAGACTTGCCATCTCGCAAGGTCGTACTACGAGACCCGACTCCCGACATGGAAGTACAGGCTTGTGCAGCCATCGCAAAGGGAGTTGTGGACGATCGCGCAACATTGGTTGCAAGAGCTATATGTCCACGTACGAGTCCCGGTCCAGGGCGCAATGATGCGTGGGGACATGGTTGGCTCATTCGGGTTTGCAGCGGAAGCGTCCGATACCTGGCGATAGTTCTGCGGTGTGCTCGAGGCCGATGACCTAGAGAGGGAGCTCAGTGCACAAGGGGAAAGGGGCCGGGAGCTCTTGGCCGCCGTGCGGAAGTTCGTGGTCGATGGGCGGCAGACTCACACCCGATGAGGAAGTATGTCATATTAGGAAAGGAAAGCATTACATTACATGACGAACACGAAAGCAAGAGCGATGCAGTATGTGGATAATGGACAGAATGAACGACAGGTGACCAATATGAATTCCGCGAAACCAAATGATCGGCCAACTCAAATAAATACCACCTCTCTGGGCGCCTACAGCTTGCCGAGTGCACGTAGCTGCGCACGCAGCTTGCCGTTCTCGGTCTGTACAGCATTGAGCTCATCGAGCAACGCGAACTGCTGGCTCTGTTGCGTCTCTCCCGCACCGCGGAGATCATCCCGTTCTCGTTGTGCATCTGCAGCTTCTTGTGCGAGCGCGAGAACACGCGCGCTCAGCGCGGCGTTCGCCTCCGTGAGCTCCGCGACAGTACTAGCCTGCTCGCCCGCATTCGTCTCGACCTCGCGCAGCTTCTCGATGGCAGCTTCCGATTCGCTGAGTTCCTGCTCCAACCTCGCAATCGCCGCTTTATATTCGCCCTCGCGCGTCTCGAGCACCTTGACCTGCCCTTGGTACACTCCGAGTGCCGAGCCGGAGTCCTGCGCGAGCTTCTGTGCGCGGTCGGCGTTCTTCCGGAGCATATCGTGCGCCTGCGCAAAACGCAAGAGACGCTCGATCAGAGCGCGGTCGTCCGTGACGAGTGCGCGGACGCGCGAGGCAAGCGCTTCGACGCTGAAGTTGCCGGGACTGCCTTCGTCGGCACCTGCCGTACCTGCGCGCGGCGAGTAGAGGCCCTTCAGCGTGCGCACGTCGGCGTCCGAGATGCTCGGGCTGCCTGGGTGGCCTTTCGCAGCACCACCCACGCGCGGCGATGTCGGTGTGCTTGTGCCGGCACGGAAGCGCGGGCCGAGTTTCGCTGCGCGGGTCTCGGCCGAGGGCAGCATCGCCCAGAGCGGCTGGAGGATTGCGACGATGCGCTCGGCGTCTGTCGCGAAGGAGAGAGGTTGGTCGGGGCGGACTTCGGTCGGTGTGGATGGTACGCCTTCCTGCACGCCATTAAGTCAGTTTAGAACGAAACCATGAACCGTTCAAGATAGCTTACCTCAAGCTTGGCTTCGAGCCCCTTGAGCTCCGTGCGTGCCGCCTCCAGCTCAGCCGCAAGCACCGCGCTCTTCTCAGCCTCTGTTGCCAACTTGGCCTCCCATTCCTTGACCTCCTCTGGGCTTGCGCCAGTACCTGACGCAATGTGGCGATCGAGAGCATCGGCGTAAGCCGCAATTGAGTTGTCGCGCGCGAACAGCGGTACCTTGTGCGTGTCGATGATATTGCGAAGCGCCGCGCGCGCATCGTCGAGTTCCGCTGCGTGTGCATCAAGCAGCTGTTCGCGCTCCAGCTCCCATGCCTCGCGGCCGCCCTCAAGCGCGTCACGTTCTTGAGACCAGCTCGCGCGCTCGATGGTCAGTTCTGCCACCTGCTCTTCGAGTGTACCCCGCCGGGCTTCCCACTCCGCGCGCTCCTTCTCCATAGCCGCTTTCTCCTCTGCCCGTAGACGTCGCTCTTCCGCCAGTTCAAGTGCGACTGCGGCAGCAGCGCCACTCGAGGCTTCTCCAGCAGCGGCCTCTAACGCTTGCCGCTCTCCCGACCATCCCTGTTTCTCTGCCTCCCATGCGGCACGCTCGGCTGCGAACTTCGCTCTCTCAGCATCCCAAGCGGCCTGATCCTGCGCTGCGTCGCCCGAACGAGTCAACAACTGCGATCGTTCCTCCTCTAACTTCGTTCGTTCATCCTCCCACGCCGCCCTCTCCTCGTCGATTCTCGCGCGCTCTTCATCCCGCGCCGCCAACTCCTCATCAACTCTCGCGCGCTCATCATCCCATTGAGCCCTCTCATCGTCCCACGCCACCCGCTGATCCTCCCACTCGTCCCGCTCCCTCAACACCGCCGCGCGCTCTTCCTCCCAACTCGCCCTCTCCTCCTCGATCGCTGCAAGATCATCTCGTGCGCGATTCAGCTCGTCCACGATCAATCGCATCTCCTCGCGCGTTTGTGTCAATTCTGCTGCTGCAGACTCCAGCGCCGCGAGTTCTTGCGCGCTAGGTCCCTTGCGTGGCGCTTTGGGCGCAACGGCCTTTTCATGTCCGGCGAAGAGATGTGGGCCGTCGAATCGCAGTTGGGCATTACTGCTCGCGTTACTACTCGGGCTCATCAGCGGACTCGCCGCTCCCCCCAGATGAAGTCCAAGCCCAGCAGCATCCAACGCATCGGGATTAGCCGCAGCCTCAAGCTCGCGAACAGTCGCTCCCAGTACAGCCGCCTGATGCTGTACAATCCTGACACCGAGATCGCCCGCGGCCTCCTTCAATTTCCAGAGCGCGCGCTGCGCCGCGTCGACGCGTGCTTCGGCGGCAGAGAGTGTTGTTCCGGATGTTAGTGGTAGTTGGCCGGTTGTTGAGGCGTTGAGGCGCGAGAGGTTTTGGGCTGCTGCTAGCATCTTGGTCTCGCGGGCCAATGTTCGTTGGGCGGCTGCTAGGCGGGGTTGGAGGAGGTCGCGCTCCTACACATGAAACGGTAGTCAGTGATCTGTTCGGTACAATTGCCCAAAGCGCATGCAAGAGCAATACAATATCCCAAGGCCATTAAACTCTAGCGCCACTCGAAGCGAGCTTCGTCAAGCGAAGCGAATACGCCTTCCAGAAGGGTAATATGAATTACTCCATCGATACGCCGACATAGATCAGGCTGTCGCTATGCAAGACACTGTCGCCCAAACTGGCAACTGTATCGCCGAGGGCAATACTCCCGCCACATCCACCTTGACCTCGAAAGTAAAGGCACACACCTTCTTGAGTTCGTCCAGTTCCTCGGCGTCTAAGACAGCATAATCCCGCGCGTCGACGACAGCTTCGCTCGCGAGCAAGCTCATCAACAGCGCATCCCGTGTCTGCGCCGGTGTCCGTGAACGCGAGGGTCCCGCTCCTGGGCTTGACAACGCGAGATGGCTGTTCCCATTAGCCGTCGCGCCGTTGAGCTTCAAGCCAAGCCCATTACTGCTGCCTCCATTAACGCTCCCTCCGCCGTTCAAGCTTCCAATGGGGCTCCCCAGACTATAATCAGATGATGGCGACTTTGGCTTGCTGCGAATAGTAAGACCCGGTGTGGAGGGTTGAGGCATGGGCAGGGCATCAGAGTCGAGGTAGTCGTCAGAGGATGTGGCGGATGCCGGTGGTGTTATACCGCCCAGAAAGCGCCGAACGCCGTTCATCGCGACAGACGCGAAATATGGAGGAGGCGCAAAGAGCGAGGAGTGATGGTGGTGTAGTTGTGAGTTCTGGGAACCGAAGGCGCGTGGGATCACCGCCGCGCCCGGGCTGCGATTCGGGCTTGCTTCGCACTGCCATCTACGTACTTTGAGTGCCCATTACACTACTATGCATACAAGTTTGACTTGCTCTGTATATGACATAACCGCCGGATCCTGCTCGTTTGACTCACATGAGGGATGGGCAGTTGTGACGTGAACGACAATAAGGACATGCATGGCACGCGGCTATCGAGAAGTTGAGGTTAAGGTTACTCGCGCCGCGGCATACCAAGTAGTGCACGTATCTTCAAATGTAGTATCTTGGTGAATGTGTACGGCTAGTGCGCGGGATGCTACTACTTACATAATGTAGAGAACACCGACGGCAATTTCCGAGCGAATGAGCTTCGTTGCGGTGCGGCGGTCGGCGGCACAGACCTGTTTTTGAACCACCATCATGACCCCAGCCTCCAAGAACTGTTCGTCTACGTACCGCCTGCACGCAACGTCGATAGCTATAGCCGTTGACTACCCGGTTCTTTCAGTACCGAGAGGGAGTCGTCTGATCTGTCTCCCCACTGGGTGGACCCCGTGGCATCGGTGTATGTAGGAGCGCTCGACGCGCTCGATGGAGAATGGCAATCGCTTCGACTTCTTTGTTTCGACCTGACGTCTGCGCACAAGACGCATTGACCTTAAATCCGTCACTCCGGACTCGATTCGAGAGACTCGGCAATTGCGACGCCCTCACGCCGTCATCGTTTCCCAAGGAAGAGGCCTATTTCACGAGCATGTTCTTGTCATCCTGGCTCGGAACGAGCCAGTGGTCACGTCGGACTTATGAATTGCCGACAAGTGCCACCACATCCTCGTACAGACTCCCTGCCTGTGGACTCTACGGTTTGCCCATCCTTTGAAGACATGATAGCCCATACACGTTGTCGGATACCAACGCTCAACTGTGAGTAGTCTGATTATGGTTCATATAAGCTCGGCTCAACTTTCTAAGGGTGATGTTTCCGATTCGAACCTGGATGCTATAGATCCCACACGTCTCCAAGAGAACTTCCGGCGATCCCAACACGAGGCTTTCTTCGTTCGCGTGTGTAGTAACCTCCGATGCTATGCCTCGCTTATGACCCCCATGCTATCACGGCAACTCCGGCTCTTCCAAGAGAACGATATAAGGACCGGTAACCCTTCCCCGAAGACTCTATTCTTCAGCTCACCATGTCCATCCCACTCACCATCGCCGCTCTTCTCGCTGCGATCGCCCTTGCGGCGCTGCAACCACTCTTTCGTCGTCTTTGGAGACAGCGATCCCTCAGCAAGATTCCGGGTCCTACAAACAACTCCTTCATAACCGGTACGTTCAAAAAATGCTCGGGCAATGCGTGCGCAGCTCACTTTTGCCGTCATCTCAGGCAACTTCCCACAGATCTTCCGTCCGGAGGGTATACCCTTCCAGGACCACCTTTTCTCAACATACGGCTCGCTCTTCAGGATCAATGGATATCTTGGGGTACGTTCTCCTGGCGAGAACGTCTGCGCAAGTCTGACCTCGCATAGGAACATATGCTCGTGACCTCTGACCTGGATGCACTGCATCATGTCATCGTCAAGCACGTCGACATCTTCGATAGTGCAGAGTACTTCCTGATGTAGGCCACTCCTCCAGCTTCATGTTGCGCCTTCCTAAGACTTTTCGCATAGGACCCTCGACATGGTCTTCGGCCGGGGTCTCTTGGCCGCTCCGATCAAAGGTCTGTACTCTTCGTTGGGCAATAGGCGATCTGTATCGCTTAAACCACTCCTTAGGCGACGTGCACCGCAAACACCGCAAGCTTCTGAACAGCGCCTTCAATATCTCTCATATGCGTAGACTGGTCCCGCTCTTCAACGCCCTGTCCAAGCAGGTGCGCGAGATCATGATGGCGGACATCAAGCGCACCGGACGCACTGAGACGGATGCGCTGGACTACATGGGTAGAGTTGCTCTTGTGAGTATCCACCTTTGGTTCATTGGGGACTAGCTGACATCCTACTTTAAGGAACTTATCAGCCAAGGAGGGTTCGGTCACTCATTCGGTGCTCTAAATGGGGGCGACGACATACTAATTCGGTCCCTCAAGCGTTTTGCGTAAGACACATGCCACTTTTACACTCCTTGTGCGCTGACTAATACGCTTCTACAGGCCGTCCAGCGCAGCCCTCCACAAGTTTCGGCCTCTTCTTCCCACTTTAAGACGCCTCTTCCCGCCTTGGCTCCTCCGCCGCGCAGGCGAAATGATCCCCTTCGACGCGCTTCATGAAGTCTTCGGCGTTGCGGATACCCTCGATCAGTTCTCGACGGCGGTGTGGACCGAGAAGAAGCAAGCGCATGCTGAAGGCAAAGTCTCCAGTAGCGCACTACTAGGTCAAGGACGCGACATCCTAAGCCTTCTTCGTACGTGTCTCTATCCTGTGCGCCGACTTGATCCGCTCATGTACCGCTCTGTGTGTAGTGGAGGAAAACGACAAGACCCTCGAACAAGACAAGCTGCCCGAGAACGAGCTCAAAGGTGTGTTGCTTGATTTAGTCTTCAATTCTCACGGGCGGTGCTCAACGAATCACAACAGCACAAATCAACACCTTCCTATTTGCCGGATCAGACACGACTAGCAACGCTCTATCGCGCATCTTGCATACGCTTGCGATTCATCCGGAGGCCCAAGAGAAACTCAGGCAGGAACTGCTCGAAGTCGGCGCGCCTCATGGGGATCTCGGCTATGATATTCTCGACAAGCTTCCATACCTCGACGCCGTATGTCGCGAGTCACTGCGCCTCTTCGCACCGGTCAGGTTCTTGCAGCGCGTGTACGTGCCCTCTCTGTACGCTCGAATCAGCAGATGTTGATGGTGCCCGATGCCCGCATAGCGCGCGCGAGGACCACGTCCTTCCTCTCCGCGAGCCCATCGCCGACACGAACGGGAAGATGATGACGGAAGTCTTTGTCCCCAAAGGCACTTTGGTCTTGTGCGCTCTTGCGGAGGTCAACCGCTCGAAGGCCATCTGGGGAGAGGATGCTTTGGAGTGGAAGCCCGAGCGTTGGCTCAACCCGCTGCCGGAGACTGTGGCTAGCGCTCGGGTCCCGGGCGTGTACTCTAACGTGCTTACTTTTGCGGGAGGTTCTCGGGCTTGCATGTACGCTATCGACCCTATCCTTACTGTGTGCGCATATGCTGATCCAATCCTCTAGTGGCTTCAAGTTCTCGCTCTTGGAGATGAGTGAGTGTCTCGTTTCCACGGTACAAAATTGAGTGCATGCTGATCCAACATCGCAGAATCCGTACTTGCGCAGTTCATTCCCTCGTTCAAGTTCGAGGTATCTGAGAAGTACCCGATCGTATGGCGCTACGGTGGTCTAGTTACTCCGGGCGTGGGGACACTAGAGAGCCGCAAGGCGGAGCTACCTCTTCGCGTGACGTGCCTGTAGTAGACGGTTGAAGGCATTGATTCGATGGAACTTCATTTGAGCGATGGCGAGTATTAGGGTAGGATTCATAGTGTGTGCTCGATATATGCTCCAATCGACGATTGCTATTCATGCTTTGGGCTCGGGCTGCACGTCAACCCGGGCCCGCTGATGACTATCGTATTCAGAGTGAACAAACTGATAGAATTACATGGAGCTAATCTTTATCCTTCGCATACTGATGAGATACTCGCTACTTTTGACAGCGCCTGTCAATTACTTTATCCACATACACCGAAACCGTTTTCAGAAATTGATTTTCGACAACGATAGGCAAGACCCTACGACCATTCTCCACCTGGCCCCCGAGGAGTTCAAGCACTTTCAGGGGCTGTCCAGAAGCCACGCGTCCGTGCGCGTACGCGATGATAATGTCCCAAATGATAGACAGGTTTCTGAAGCTGTGTGACTGCCAACCAAAGACCAAGGTGGCCTCGATGGGCGCTTGCGTTGGCGGATCATTGTCAAACAAAGTTGACACGACGACATCCAGGTAGACGGTCGTCACGTTTTGAAAGTTGTCGAGAAACGCTGCAAGCTCGCTCGGGGGCCGTAGTAGCACATCAAAACGAAGATCCAGGATGTGGATGTTCGTAGTTTCAACGAAGCGGGGTAGTGAACCCATGATATAGGAGACGTGGAACGTGTCGTCCCATCTTATCTGTCCACCATTCGGGAGTCCTTTTTCCGTGATTGGAACTTCCGCAGGTGAGACATCAAGGTGGACGAAGTTATCGGAGAGTGTTAACGTGAGTTTGTCGTAGTCCGGGCGACGCAAGTGCGACACGGTGGAGTATAAAGCCGCGGCGACATCGATCATGACCAGGCTCACAATCAAACAAAGGTTTGTATCGTCTGGTACATTGAGCTTTGACCAAAATGATCCCCACTCTTCTGGTTGCGTGATATCTAGCACCGCGGTCCGTAGACGGGCTAGTTTTACCGGTTCTTGAGATGTCGCTGGTTCGTCTAAATCGCCGTCTATGAAGCAGAAGATCCGCTTGAGCAGGAGTTCCTCGAGAAGGGGTGTGCCGCGCAGGACGTTCAGAATGGGGTGAAACGACGAGAACGATATCTTCGCAGAACTGAGAGAGATCTCGAGTGTGCGAAGCATGGTCATAGTCGTAGGGAAGAGCGGCATCGCGCGGCCGTTCACAACGGCTTCCCTCAGGTTCGGAGCGTTGATGAACAATCGCTTCTGAGAGTAGACGTGTGGTTGGTATATGGCCAGACTGAATAATTTCGGTAGCGAGGTATGACTGAGGTGCGCCCTCCAGTCCACATCCCGGGGAGATCCAACTGGATGGAGCAGCTTCAGGCTCGCCGCTCGATCCAAGTGTTGAATAGCGAAGTCGATCTTGCCTCGATGTTTGTACCAGTAAGGGTCATATTTCTCACGCACGGGAGCATGCCAGTCGATACGGGGCATCCCAAAGTGCAAAGGCAGTTGACGGGAGCGTTCCAGGAGGGTGTCCATTGCCGAAGTCGCGGGGAAGGCAAGGACGACGCGACTCCATAATGATGGGCTCTCTAGGCATATCCTGCGCAGGCGGCGATTGACATGCGACAGATAAACCCAGCCGAGACAGAATTCCGGTTTGGGAAACTTCTTGCGTTCGTAACTGGAGACGGGATTGTGGAA